CCTAAAAAATTATCACTTTGGTGCTCAGAGTTGATTGCAAAATGAAATAATAGTTAACAACTTGTAAAATTATGTATCATTTTCTTTCGTTATTTGTTTCAATATTTCCAAATGAATGTCCATTAATATATTTAAAAAAAAACGATTTAGATATATAACTACATGAACTATAAAACAGCTTTTAATTTCAATTCAACAAAAATCAAGTAAGTTTTTTAAGAAATATATTATATCAATATCATTTATATTTTTATTGAAAAATAATACATATACAGTGAAAGATCTCTATTAAAATTCTCATTGGACAAATGATGTACTTTTCTTCACATAATAAATTTACAGATTTCGACATTTAACCACTCTGAAATATAAACTCTAACCTTACTTTGTACCACTCATTACAACAGTCTTTATGTCATTATGTGTTATGTCTAAGAGCCTTCAAGCGAATAATAACAGAGAATGTGTTGTCTAAATAGGTGTCAAATACAGAATAACATAATCGCCTGGGACATAACATTGTAGTCTTAATAGTGGTTAAGCGGGGTGGCCTTAATGTAGGATATTGTTTACAATGTGAACTCTTTTAACAATGGTCTTAATATAGTGAGGTAGATAAGTAGCGTTTCTACGCTACTAATCAGATAGATCAATACCCGTTAGAAAAATTGACAATAAAGGAGAGCAAAGCATGTGTGTTACTAACATTTTGAACATTTAACATTAAATACCTATTGCCCAGCTGCAAGCTTTTAGTCCAGATTCTGCGTCCGATATATCCCATTGAAATTCCAGGTTACCTCCACTGATATAATCAAGGTCTTGACCTAATGTAAATAACAAATACATCATATCATCAACACCAGAGAACCACGATAAAAAATTAAAATCCATGTTCGAGAGATGATCATGTAAAACCAAAATTACATTATATAACCTTTCACAACGTTTAACGTCGTTGTAGAATTGGAATTCGATATAAACATGTTTCAATGGTTTGTAGGTACAACTTTTTATTTGACAATGTTATAAAATATCGGTATCATAGCGTTTATAATATTTTGTCAGCAACTTGAAGAACACCCCCAGAAACGTCTAATATGACAGAAGAGATCCTGAACAAGCCCGCCGTTAATTAGACAGTATTTTCGACTGTAATGGACGTTTTTTGTTTTGGGCGATTGTACATCCTTAAAAATGATAGGTCTAAGGTTGGTTTTAAAAGGACATAAACGTCCATCATCGTTTGAATTTGATTTATATGTGTTTAGCCTTCAGTTGCGAAATATTTTATGCCGGCTATGTTTACAGATATTGGGGCATCTGGAATTCTTCAACAGCATGACTTCAAGGTAACATGTTCATCCGATGGGTTTATGCGCATCGATGATCTATTGTGTACTGAAAATTATACTATGATTTGTCAATGTGTTGTTGACGACAACGCCGCATGCCCAAACCTAAGATTGTTAAGATATTTATGTGCTTGTCACGAGTGGGTTATTTGGTACAGTTCTTATTTTGTTGTAAAAGATTTGACATTGTTAAAAAGTTATTTTTTTGGATGAGCAATAAATATTATTGAATTTTCCGGGTATTTTTCCTCGTATAAAGATAAAAGTCTTACCAATAATAGATCCATCATACACATAATTACATGTTGGCGGTGTAAGATCGATAAGGATAGGTTCGGAGTAGCTAACTGTGCGTAGTCCAGCAGCATTAACGGCTACAACTGTTATATAAACCATGGTATCGTGCTCGAGTCTTAAACTGTGATTTCTGGCAAACGACTGTCTTCCTACGCTCATGAACGTCTGTAACTGAGTTCCTCCTCGCACCGTCCCTTTTAAACAATATATATGTGTAATAATTGCACATAGTAAAGGAATGTATTTTAAGTTAACTGCAAATCAGAATGCTTTTACATGTATATTGATTGAATTTATTTATCAATAGCTTAATGTCTGAGAAACTTCAGGCATATAATTTGATATAATAAACCCATGAAACAGTTAATCTAAGAAACCTGAGATTTTTATGTTTAAAATGATATCGTTATGCTTACACAGATGTTAAATTTCTAGAAAAGACACTAAACATCGAGTTCTGATTATAATTCCTAAGTCAATTTTGTTTCACACATTCTCATAAATGTTATGTTTGCACACGGGCTCGGAAGTTTTCAGCATTTACTGTCAGTCACATAAATCAGATTTTAAACGATGGCGTAAGTAGAATTGATGTAGTGTACGTGTTATTGACGATATTTAGATTAGTAAACTCTGGTTAAATCTGATTTATGAAAGTTTGTATTACCTATGGCCCAAAAGTATTCAAGTATATCCGTCTCGGGGTCTATAAAAGACCATTCTGCGTGAATTGATGACCAATCGTGAACAAATACTGTATGGACATCAACATGACCAACTGCATCTTGGTCTTCCTGATTTGTAATCTCACAAAGCTGAAACTGTATATCATCTATAGCAAACACAGAAGTACTCATAGCTGTTCCGATCTCGAATAGCGTAGTATTAGTGTCAATGGTAAAAAAGAATACATGCTTTTGCCAATCGTAAGTTCCTTTATTATGCTTGTTGTACATTAAGAAAATGTATCTTTGCCCGTTTATCTGCACATAACCTTCAAGGGCAGACTGATATAAATTGCTTGAAGGTATAGTTGATGTTTGAAATATAAGTCTGTATTTACCGTGTAATTCGCTTTGTAATGTTTGGAAAATTGAACCTTGAATATGTAAAACTGTTTGACCATGAATAGACGAAACAGTGTTAACTAATGACACACACGTTCCGGGTAAAAACATCCAGTCTGAACTTGAAATATTTTCACACACTGTATCATTTATTTTTATGTCATCGCTTTCTTCAAAAAACGAACTAAATAAAATATTCGGTTGACACAATTCGCTTTTAACACGAATAGGTGGAGTACTGTCAATTATGAGACCATTTGAAGAGACAAGCTTGGAGGTATGTCCAATAACATCACGAGCTCTGACCTCTCCTCTTACGATAGAACCTGAAAGGGAAGAATAATACATCTCGACATGAACATATCACAAATTTCAAAAAGAAATCTCTATGTTATGTTATGTTATGTAATGTAGTATTACGTTACATAATTATAGGAACAGACTGACTAAACAAACAAACGAAAAATACAAAAAAACAGTAAATTATGTTAAGGATAGCAAACGAAGCTCTGTTCGGTCGGCGGTTCTAAACATATTCTCGCCTGTGCTGAAATAATGAGACGAAAAAGCAGACAAAAAACCCGATGCAATGCTTATGCGTTGAAAAGAAAATACAAAATAAGAAAAATGATAACAGTTTTTGTGAGCATGCAGAAACAAGATCATTTTTTTTAAAAACAACTTTTATTTTAAATCGTGCACACTTTATTATTGATAATGATAATACTTTTAAAATACATTATTAGTGTATTATGCTACTGTAATGATATAATAAAAATGTTGTACCCTGTCCGAGACTGTCTTTTGGAGTAATCTGAATACGAGTAGCAATACCAACTTCAGAAAGAGGTTGAATATCACATGTTCCCTCTTCAACACCAGATGACACGCAGTATTCGTATGTTTCTATACCAGAACCAATGTCCGAGAAACCATGCCAAAAGCTTTGAACATAGCTTGAATTAGGTGAGGCATGTTTATCTACCAGAACTGTGTCATAAAATAAAGTAAAACAAACATTTGACTGATCAACAAGAAAATGAAACAGAAAAGCAATTAAAGTTTCCATTTTGTATTTTAATGCTTTAACCATGTTCGAATCATTTTACGCATGAAAAAGATAAATGTGTTAATTTGTAACTTTCACTGTAGATAACTATATAAGCACGAAGTCTTGGAATTTTATTCATTTTAATTCAAAACAATGTAAACATGATTATATTGAATTATAAATGTAACACCAACAATGAATAAATCGATATAAAAGTTTTAACAAAAAGCCATGTGGGATTAACATTAATATAAAAATATTCATATTTACAAAGTCCGTCCATTACAATTCCACTTGTTGGTGCATCTAAATCCAACATAAAGCCATCAGATACTGAAATAGTATGTAGCCCGGCAGGGTTAAAAGCTTGAACAACTGTGTAGTACTTAGTATTTTCCTCATAACTCAGTCCGGTGATATTGACATTTGTAACTGTGCTTACCAAATCTTCTGATAAAGTGTGTAAATCATGACCTAAAATGTGATAACGATGCTATAATAAGTAAACACAAAATTTTTTTTTTAATATGCATATCACTTTAAAACATTTTTCCAAAGCAAATACTTTTATTGAAGTCTGAGAGTTCATCTACAAGAATATGTTAAATAAAATTATTATACCCTTTTATAATTATATTACATTAAACAGTAACTAAAGCGGTTCTGATAATAACGTTAATCTCATCAAAGAAATATTTAAGGTATGATACACATTGGAAAATATAGCATGTAGCATTTAATTCTATTTTTCAAGAGATAAGAAAGTACAAACAACAGTTTTACCTCCTGGAATGGTGCTAATGTACACATGGTATTTAGATACGATGCCTCCAAACTTTCCCGACCAATCAGCATAGACATGCGATTGTCTAGTGATAAAATCAATATCCTTTGAGGTTCCTTGTATGACTTCTTTGACACGTCTGCCCTTTATGACGATTGATAAGGGCGGCGAGTGAAATATGGTAACTCCTTTGCTTTTAAATATGGCATATGTATCACTGCTATACCAGGCACGCACAAAAACAGAGTAAGCCCGTTGTTCTGTTAAGACTTTGTTGTCTGAAACGCACAAAAACCATATATACTTTACCTTTTAGTTAAGGTTTTAATGCATTTTACCTTTGTAAGTTTTACATTAAAATAAGTATATTTGACAGAAATGTTTAAACACTTAAACATTTATTAAGAAAATAGTATAAGCGACAGTGACAGCAGAAACCTGATAAGCCATAAACCAGTTAACGGGCCTAATATCACGTTTTGTATATTCTATACGATTTTAACGATTTCCATTAAGTAAAGTATCCTTTCTTGGTAATAAATTCGAAAATCACGTAAGTGAATACAGTAAAACTTACTATTTTAATGAGGCTTACACATTCGATTACCCAATCTTACATATATATTAAGATGTCTTTATTATATTGCAATATATTCTATGAAGATATGTCAATATTCTTGGTATATTTCATACATACATAAAATTATGTCTGTAAAAAACTTTATGTATGCTGTTTACCATTTATGCTTTGCATTTGATACCCTTATTGATGTTACAAGGCGCATTATTTGAATGTTTATATAGTCATATCTCGTCTATCATTAGGCTATCTAAGATAGGCATTAAACATCAAAATCATACTACAAGATGACTGTTCACACCCGTTCCGCTTTTCCAAATTCGACACGGCCTTGCGTGTAGTAGGCAGATATGCAGTTTCGCTGTTCCTCTAATGGCCTGCCATTACCGTCTGAATCAACTTACATTTCATATATTTATCAATGTCTGAATTAATACATTCATACGTTCTTCAAGATAAATTGTCTTGTCATTCACCGTCAAAATTTTGTTGTATATTCATTCAAATATGTAACAGAAAATATATTATCATCATAAATACCTCTTTTTACAGTAAAAATGCATGTAGTTTGTTGACCAGCATCATACCACACCTTCTCTGTTGCTGTATTGAATATGCCAGTCGGAGTGTCAGAAATACTTTCGCCAACACTCCACTCGTACCTTGAAAATAATATATAATTATATATTATTTATAATAACAAACCCGTTCAGTATTCAAAGTTTTAAAAGTTTTATAAATCAAATAAATAAATAAATAAATTAATTTATAAAACAATACAACAACAACAATATACTTTTATGTACTAATAAATTTATTCATATTGTCAACAAAACTCCGTGCTGTAAAACACTACGTAGCAACTCACCACAAGGGACTTTGTCCTTGAATAGTTTTAATATACCATTTGGCAGCAAGCATAGTGTTGATAGGAGTATGATCCGGTTGAATGTAATTGTCAGGGAATCGAAGATCAAGATAGTCATTGACCTCAATTATTGCGTTGTTGTTATCTGAATGTAAATATGAAATACAAATTCCGATTTATTGCAAATTTACAGATTTACATACAGGTATACACATTTTAGATGATAATAGTTTTCATAACAACGTACATGTTTATGATTTAAAACTGAACATACACTAAGCACTTACCGATTCTTAGCATATTTCACTCAAGCATTTTTTTTTTCATTTGAGAATTATACAATTTTTATTGGACGTTAGTCTGTGTGAGTCCACTATTTAAGGTGACTATGCCTTATAAACATTGAAAAGGACATGCTTTGACAGAAGGAATCAGTGAACGTCATAAACTTGAGGTGCTTGATGAGATGCTGCTCTCTTAGACTTGCTCTGTTATTGGAAAACTGATATTTTCTAAGACTTGCTTTGTTACTCGAAAGCAGACATTTTCTACGAGTAACTTCTCTTAGACCTTCTCTTATGCGTTATTTCCTAAGGGGATAGCAGACCTTGTGCACTTGCATCAGGGAAAGATGGGTTTCACCCGATCTTCTACAAATGAACATCGGGTTTTTATTGTTTTTTAAATCATATTTAGCAACGGCACGAACGTAATAGAAAAACAGTTGACATAGCGTCACAATATAAATGACGTCGCAGTTCGGTTAAACAAAAGTGTTACTTGTAACGCACTTAAAAACACTTATAACTTGTGTTATAATGATCATATTTACATAAAAGAAAGTGCTTATAAAAGCTGACCTAATTGTCTTTTAATTGATACTAAAAGGCTTCAAATTCGTGCCGCTAAAACAAAAATGCAATAAAACGATAAAAATGTGTAACAATCTATTTTGAAAATATAATGATATTTTTTAATTCACAAATATCTGTCGTATTTTATTTTATTTTTTTGGAAAACCCAGATATTCAAATGAGCATGGCGCTCAGAATAAAAATATAAAAAACGTAAACATTCAATATGACGATATTCCTTTACCTGAGATATTCAAGTTGCTACAAGACTGTTCACTGTGACACAGACTGCCAAATGGAGCGCATACACAGTGACCTTCACACGAATAGCTGACACATCTACGTACCAATTGCATCATGCCCCCATAACGAAGATTAAACTGGGAATGAGCTATTTCACTTGAAAGTCCCACCTTAAAGTAAAATGGTGTCATTAAAAAACCATGAAACCACTGGTTCACAGTGATTTTGAAATAAATAAAAAATAAATCATCACTGGAATCATGATGCAAAATAGGTTGAGAAATATGATCAATACGAGACGTACAACAAAAATGAATGTATACGTTTATGTAGATTATAATAAACAAAGTATGCTCATCACAAGTGCACTGCTAGGAAAGTGCAATACATAAGTATCTCATAGCCACATACTTTATTTTCAGCTGTAACACTGATAAACACTGCCATGTTTTCCTTAAGTCTTTGTGTTTCAAATTTGAAAGTTTGGACTTTTCCATCTTCGTGAAAGGAGGAATTTGTATCATGTGTGACGATCATTGGAGTGTTCGGTTCCTACAATATAAGAAACACTGGCAAATTACGTGAAATGTCTTTAAAAAGAGGTTTTTGTTTGAAGACACTAGAACGTCAAACATTATTTAAGAAATAACATCGGCCTGAGAGGTGTATATCGGCTATTTAACACCGGTTTGGAGTTTTGATGCGTAGGAATTGACCACGGAGGGCGTAGGCCTGAGTGGTTAATTTTGTCGCATCACAACGACAAAACCGGTGTTAAATAGCCGATATACACCTCTCCGGCCGATGTTATTTCGATTCTAACACGATAAAATAAGGAAAATCACTAATGTTATTTTTCAAGCGTATATAACTTCCGGTGCCGATTTTCGTATAACGCTGTTCGATTTTCGCACCCTACTGTTGCGAAGATATAGAAATTGTCAAACAAAAGAAATAATAAGAAAAACAAGAGGGCCATGATGGCCCTAGATCGCTCACCTGACTTATCAAACTCATCCAAACAATTACATAGACAAGCATTCTGACCAAGTCTCATGACAGGAGAGCCAAAAATGTGACCACTACAGTGTTAACAAGGATTATCCATATTTGAGCAGTGCGACCTAGTTTTTTACCCAGGTGACACATATTCAAACTTGACCTAGAAATCATCAAAACAAACTTTCAGACCAGTTTCACGGATACTTGGATCAAAACAGTAGCAACTAGAGTGTTAACAAGATTTTTCTATTTTAAGCTCCGGTGACCTAGTTTCACATGCGATTTCGAACTCATCCAAGCAATTACCTAGACAAGCATCCTGACCAAGTTTGATGATAATTGAGTCGAAAATGTGACCACTAGAATGTTAACAAGGTTTTTCCATATTTGGGCGGTGTGACCTAGTTTTTCATCCAAGATGACCCATGTTCGATCTTGACTTAGAAATCATAAAAACAAACTTTCAGACCAATTAACAGAATATTTGGATCACAACAGTAGCCACTAGAGTGTTTTTCTATTTTTAGCTCCTGTGACCTAGTTTTTCATCCGAGATGTCCCATGTTCGATTTATTCCCAGCAATGACCTAGACAAGTTTCCTAACCAAGTTTGATGACAATTGAGTCAAAATTGTGACCACTAGAGTGTTAACAAGATTTTTCTATTTTTAGCTCCTGTGACCTAGTTTTTCATCCGAGATAACCCATGTTCGAATTCATCCGAGCTATCACCTAGACAAGCATCTCGACCAAGTCTGATGATGATTGATGCAAAAATGTGACCGCTAGAGTGTTAACAAGGTTTTTCTATTTTTACCTCCGGTGACCTACTTTTTCATCCGAGATGACCCATGTTCGAACTCATCCGAGCTATCAACTAGATAAGCATCCTGACCAAGTTTGATGATGATTGATGCAAAAATGTGACCGCTAGAGTGTTAACAAGATTTTTTATTTTTAGCTCAGGTGACCTACTTTTTCATCCGAGATGACCCATGTTCGAACTCATCCGAGCTATCACCTAGACAAGCATCTTGACCAAGTTTGATGATGATTGATGCAAAAATGTGACCGCTAGAGTGTTAACAAGGTTTTTCTATTTTTAGCTCCGGTGACCTACTTTTTCATCCGAGATGACCCATGTTCGACCTCATCCGAGCTATCAACTAGATAAGCATCCTGACCAAGTTTGATGATGATTGATGCAAAAATGTGACCGCTAGAGTGTTAACAAGGTTTTTCTATTTTTAGCTCCGGTGACCTACTTTTTCATCCGAGATAACCCATGTTCGACCTCATTCGAGCTATTAACTAGATAAGCATCCTGACCAAGTTTGATGATGATTGATGCAAAAATGTGACCGCTAGAGTGTTAACAATGTTTTTCTATTTTTAGCTCCGGTGACCTACTTTTTCATCCGAGATGACCCATGTTCGAACTCATCCGAGCTTTCACCTAGACAAACATCCTGACCAAGTTTGATGATGATTGAGGCAAAAATGTGACCTCTAGAGTGTTAACAAGGTTTTTCTATTTTTAGCTCTTGTGACCTAGTTTCTCATCCGAGATGACCCATGTTCGAACTCATTCAAGCTATCAACTAGTTAAGCACCCTGACCAAGTTTGATGATGATTGATGCAAAAATGTGACCGCTAGAGTGTTAACAATGTTTTTTTCTATTTTTAGCTCCGGTGACCTACTTTTTCATCCGAGATGACCCATGTTCGAACTCATTCAAGCTATCAACTAGATAAGCATCCTGACCAAGTTTGATGATGATTGAGCCAAAAATGCGACCGCTAGAGTGTTAACAACTAAATGTGAACGGACGACGGACGGACGACGGACGGACGACGGACAATCATCGATCCTAAAAGCTCACACTGAGCATGCTCAGGTGAGCTAAAAAAACGTTATTTTATCAAGTTTTCAACAATAAAAACTTACGTCGTATTGTGTTTACATCAGTGCCCCATTTATCATTCTTGTATGTATGAAATAACGTCAGGTATTTTAAAAATGGGTATTTTATCCTCTATAAATAGTGTATTTAACCCACTTAAATTTTTGGCCCCTGTTATCTTGAAAAAAAGGTAAATCCTTAAAAAACTTATGTGTACTAAAGGATGGCGTCATTACGCTGCTTACGGATTGGCGCCGTTTTGTCAAAATATTTATTAACTGATATGGATCTAATATGTGGCGTTAGTGTATGTGAGATATTATTTCGGTATTGTATGAAAAGGAAACATTATACGAACTGAAAACATAAATAAAAATTCTTTTTATTGTTGCTTTAAAATGCTTTGTAAACTATACACTCGAGGGTGAAAACATAACTGCGCATATACAAGTAGTCCCTACTCGGTGTTTATTGGCAGTTTAACACCAGTTTTTTTCCTTCTTTGTCTATAGTGACAAAATCACGTGAGTGTTAGAATAAAAAATACAAGTTCTGCTTGATTGAGTCTTTTCATTAGAGATCATGAAAAAGTGCAACATATCTCACGCCCCCTCCCTCGCACCAACTGACGCAAATTTCAATAACAACACAAATATTGCCGGAATATAGGACTGCTCCCACATGACATAACAATATCACTATACTTTGATGAAGCTTTAATAAACAAAGATAATCATACTCTTATAACTAAAACATATAGCTTGTACATTCTATAGAGGGTAAATTAAGAGTGTTTCTGCATAAATATGGGGACGCATGTCAAGTCTATTCCCAAAGAACAAAATTTCTTTGATACAATTGTCTATCAGATATTAAAATAAACACGAAAAATGCATTAGCGCTATTTTGGCATTTCTGTTTAACTCTAATGTTTTCGTGTATCATCTTGTTTTCTTTCTCGAAAACTAGTTTTCGTCGTCATGATTTTCACATATTAGTTCAATATCATTAGACATTTATGGTTTGATAATGAAATTAAGGGGCTCTCTTTGTTTTAAAGGGACTCCACTGAAGGTCTAAAGATCTAAAAAAACATAACATTTGAATTTTTCTTACATAAATGAGCTGGGCACTTTAAAACAGTAATATATGCAAAGATAATTATGAAATATAATTTGAAATAAATTGAAAATATATTTTAATTGCTTTTCTTAGCCTAATTTTGAGTGAAAAGCGTTTAAAACGTTTTTCAGTTTGGGTCAGTTTTTTTTTTACAATTTGAATAATTATTCTGGGAAAAACGGTGTGCCCGAATGATCTGAAATTTTGCACAAAGATTAGTGGTCTAAACCTACATCAAATGGTACAATCATCTGGAAAAATATTTTCAGTCCCATCATGTCAAAAAACCCTGTGTAGTCCCTTTAAACCCTGTGTATTGCATAATTGTATCCGGTAATTCATTCTTTTCTACATAAATGTATACCTGCGTGGGCAAAAAACTAATAATTAATTCAATCACTTGACAATACATTAAGATTGCATGTTTCTTTCAAGTAATAAGTCCTGGTATTGTTTAAGCTATTTTATATGGACGTTTTTTAATGATAATTCAAAACTTATAATTCTGAATTTACAATTTTAAGTTTTTGCAGGTACCTGATTTAGATCGCTGCCCATATATTGGCTACCGATATTTACACTGTAAGTGTTGATGTTGGAATGCATATCTTCAAAACCAAGCCAAGCAAGATTGACATATATCGAAGTCCATATCATCCAACCTTCTGGTTGCCGGGATAAAGCTGCAGCATGGTCAGTGTTGATTGCAAATGTTCCTAATAATATAGTATTAATATAATATCGTCACTTTAACTAGAACACGTTAAAAAGTATATTTGAGTTTTGATTACAAATGCCCCTTTGTTGAACATACTCGTTTTTTATGGCAATTTATTTCCTTTAAAAGTTTCATATAAAAGTAATTTCCTCAATCATTTTTGACAGTATCTTATATGTGGTGTATCAAATTTCTGACTCAAATAACTGTACGATAAAAACTTCAGTCAAAACTATTGGTATAGAGAAGTATTCTGGGAGATATACCTGTTGTTGGCGGGGAACTGTCGACTAAAATGCTTTCTATTATTGATTCTGTGCAAAGCTTAGCTCCATTGCACGATATAAGTTTAATATCATAATAGCTTCCGTCATGAAAGTCCAATCCTGTAAATGTATAATCCCTGACTATGCCCTCGATCTGTAAAAATATTTGTTATACAAAAAGTTTGAATTCACATCAAAACAAAAGAAAGCAGATCTGACGAGAAACAACTATTTCTATGTAATTACTACCAATGTTGTAACATAGGTTGTCAAAGTCACATAAACAAAATCCTGAACATTTCTTTGAAAAAATATTCAAAATCAACTTAAGTAGTCAAAGTCTTCGAATACTCCACATTGACTGACCAGTGAACATACTATAGTGTGAGTAAAAAAATAACTTTTAAGTAATTAGCCTAACACTATTTCAATGTAAAATAATTCACTTATTTGACAAATGAATATTTTACTCACTCTAGTTGATGATAGATTAAAATCGCCTCCAATATGCGACGAAATAGATAGATATTGTTTTTCTATAAATGACTCGCTATCTTCTACGTTCCAATGAACTTTTAAAGTTGTTCTTAAGACTGTTGTTCCGTCCTTTATTGTTCCTATCGGTGACATTGATATGTTAGCAGTAAAAACCGGTGGTGTGTCATCAATAATTAATCCATTTGATGACGCTTCTACAAACTTTCCTGAAAAAAAGGTATATAATAATTATGTGTGGAATTCAATATTTGCTGCGCTCCCGTTGCAATAATGTTCAACAAAATATTAAGTAAAAATTGGTATTATATAACTTAATATTCAAAGATAATGTAATTAATTTGATTATATACATGCACACCGTATTACAATGCAAATCAAGCGCAAATAAGATCTAATGGCAAATATTGATATAGTTTGCAAAAATGCTGATCAAACTATGAATGTTATTGAAATTCAGTTAATCACTTGTAAGAAAAGAAGTGATTTCGTTGTGTTAAATATTGCACCTGCGAGGTTATATGCACGGACAGTGCAGTAGATCCGAGTTCCATTTGATGGCAGATATATGCTGTACTCAGAATGAAGATTAAATATGAATGCCAACTCGTGTTTATGGACTTCAGTGGCAGTCAGAATATTGTCACCACCTTTTACAGTTCCTACTCGCCATACGTAATGAGATATTCCAGATTGAGGATCTGTAAAGCCATACCATTTACACCCTATGTAGTTTCTGTTAAAGGAATATAATGGCAAAGCAATTGAGAAGAAATGAATATAACATGTTAATGATAAAAAATTAAAGTCATAGGTCATCATAATTATGAGCATGTATTTATACATTGAAAATAAAAAAGGAAAGAAACCGATACAATCTAAATTAAGTTAGACATATCTTAAATGCAGACCTGCAGAAAAGGAATTATGTTCTAGATTAAATATTGATCTAAAGTTACATATACTAGCAAAGTACATGTACCTTGACGATTGGTACTGTATGTCATAATCGAGGAGTCCATCATTTACAATCCCCTTTACTGGTGGAGTTGAATCAACAATAAATCCGTCAGATGATGCATCCGAGCATAGCTTCGCTGTGTTGCATGCAGTCACAGTCACAAAATAATGGAATCCTTCTGATAACTGCAGAAAAGTGAACCCAATATCTGAAACAAATGTGAATATAACATAAAGTCGTCAAAGCTTTTGTATTAAATATGATCTTGCATAAACAAAAACAAGTAAATGAGTATTATATTTCCTGAATAACTTTCTTTTTAATTCTGCACTTTTGAATATTCATCATGCATGCTTTGGCTCAATTACATGAGACTGTAGGAGAGTTAATAAAATAGAGAAAATCAGAGACTTTTAAACTAACTCATTGTTGTGATATACCTGTTCTTATTCCAATTGGCTGCTTAACTAAAACATCTTCACAATGTTTACAAGATCCTATGTTCACAAAATACTCTTCTAATGTGGTATGAGGGTCATGGAAACCTTTCCAGCTGGCATGTAATGTTGCATTATTGCTTATATAATCTACATCAACATTTTGTCCTGTAAGCGATAGGGGACCATCATAAACCGTTCCTTGAATAGGTGGTGTTGAATCGACAACGAACGCCCAGGACGAGAATGACGTAAAAAGGCCAGCTTTGTTATTAGCCTTACATACAAAAAAGCAAGTAAATCGTAATTACAATTTTATTTTGTAAGAATGGCTACAATCATATCAAAAATGATATAATTCTAATACATTTCCTTTTGAAGTAGATAGTTAAGCCTATAATTTAACTTGTTAAAATAATAGACAATGAAGAACTGATCATCATGATGAGCACATGTTAATTGAATTTTATGAGATTGTTGAGTGAAGTGATTTGCATAATTACTAGGAATGTTAAAAGTAACATTTTTTTATTTACCTTCAGCTTATACAGAATTTATTTAAATACGATTTGTAGGATAGACTTTCGAGCCATTTACCTTTACAGTAACAAAATATGCATGACCCTCTTTCAGTGATATATTTTCGTTCTCAGGTGTACTGGCACAATCTTCTTCTGTATCAAAAAATGGGAAAATATCATCATAGCCTGTGTGCGTTCCTACTGCCCAACTATAATGTGATATTCCACTTTCTAAATCCATGAACACATCTTTCCAGCTAAATAAATGTATACCGTTACAGAGTTATATTTTATGTTTTAAAAGAATAAGAAAGCATGGCTTCACGAGTCACAATTCGAGACGGGTATATTTACCTGAATGTGGTTTCAAATTAATAGCTTGAATCATTTTCCAAAACCAATTTCCTTCTCGGGACTCGTGTAGTTTGAATCGAAATAACTTAAAATGTATTTAAGAAATTTATGTTCAAATTGGGATTATTCATGAAAAAACTTTATCTTTAACATAAGTACAGATTCAGATGTAAATCAAAAACTGGCCAAGTATAAACAATCAAAACCGAACCTTGAAGTTTTACCATAAATTTGTGTATTCTATTAATCGCGCGTAAATTAGATCTATTAATACAAACAGAATTAAAGATTTTCTAGCAAAACATTTAGCTGATTATTGCAGCAGTAGGCCGAGCGATGATATTTTACGCAACCGCTACACGTTTTATTTAGAAATACCATTATATATCAATTTAGGTATTTAAGAATGATTATTACAACGTTACAAACAAAAAATATTGCTTTAATTTTCTGTTAACGTATTAACGTTGTATAAGTGTAGCATATTTCAATTGCTTTTTTATTTTGTGTTATTAAAATTCGTCAAACTTGGAAATTTACTTAAAAAAACAGTGAAGTACCGCTAATTTCTACAACACATATGTGCGATATATCAAATATGCAATTCATTTTACCAAGTGTCAGCCTTTTATGCATAATGCTACGGTATTGTCAAACAAACATACATGTGTACTTTGTCTATATATACTAACCAGGCCTCAACAAAGTCTGTGCTCGTAATATGCCTTGAAGGCAAGGTTATAGATGCCTTCGTTATTTGTGGAGGTGTTGTATCAACCTTTATACCCTCTGATATGGAACTTGAAAACAGTCCGGTAAAATCATAGGCTATAGGTGTAAAAGAAAACACAACACTCAATGTAAACGTATGCAATGTGTTATTTAAATTATTAAAAATTTAAGAATGCAACAAATTGTGAGATAACCATTAGTAGATATGTTCGCAAAATGAAACACTATTTATTACATGCTTTTCGGTGGTTTATAGAAATATATCAGTGATATAAAACTGGTAATTAAAAATATAAAGCTGCGCCACTCGTGAAATATACCTTTTGGTGCTCACTCGGTGAAATATATTCCGATCTTACACTGAACTAAACAAATATCATCCATATCGTACATAGCAAATAATGAGGGACACACAGTAATGCAAGTATAATAATAAAAGCAGTTTTTGCTCAAAAGTTTGTACAGGTGCTGAATAGCAGACACAATCATATACATTTGTTTATATAAAGGAAGGAAAATAAGTTGTCACCCTTAACAGTTGCATAATACGTATGCCCGTTCTGGAGTCTAACATTGTGGAAAGTGTAATGATTCGTCAGCCCAATTTCTGTAAACTGTTGAACATCAACACCTCCGGGACTTGAACCTGAAAATTGTAAATAATTTTAAGTTCTCCAGTTTATAAACTTGTTGCAGAACTAAAGTTGAAAGCTACATTTGGAAAAGTAACTAAACGAAGCAGCTTTAGAAAAGATTATCATAAAATATGTACAAATACATAAACTGTTACCTAAAGCTACTTCATAGTGTGTTATTCCGCTCACATGTGCTGCAAACCCTTCCTCTTCCACATCAGTAAACGAATTCCAATTAACTGATATTTCAGATGTAGAGGTCTACGTGAAAGAAAAGGACATACAGAAACAAAAACCATGATTTTTCAAAGATAATCCTTGCACAGCGATATACATGTTAATAACATACGTGTAACAAAATGCATTCTCATAAAAAGGATATGTCATATTTACTTACTATGATGTAAAAGAGTAATTTAAAAAAATATAGCATAAGTACTGCTATACATTTATTTGCTATAAATGTTGAATTCCGTTGACGTGTCGAGTACAAACATAAGAAACTATTTTTAATAAATCCCGATGTTTTTGTGTACCGGTAGAGTCCGGATTATATACATATACATATCGCCATGTGCAATGATATACCAGTGGCACGTGGCACATGTTATAGCACGATATTTGAGAATTAACTGCATATTGACACAATTGTTTTACAATTATATTTAACTTAAAAGTAAACTTCAAGAACGATCGCTATGATCGAATGATACAGTTAAATAATTTGCGGTCACTTTTAATCGGATAGTCTATATTTAATGCATATACCACATGCACTAATAAGATCAGATTGAAACAATATTACGCTTTCCAGAGTGTGATCCGGTATGACGCTGCTCACGTTACATCTATTATGCTTTGGTTGTATTTTTGTAGTTTAGATTCGACAAGGTATATTATAAAATCGTTATGCTAGGAACCTTTGATATTTTACTAAATACATTTGTCTAGGACGGTCCACACTTGGCGATACCGGGTCTGGTGAGTTGTTAGTTATCCTTCTTAAATCCGCTTGAGTCAAATGAAAGTTCCAGATAATGAATAAGTGATATTTTTATAATTATACCTCTTTGTTCTGCTCAACTAAATAATACATGGACGAAAAGTTATTTCAACATAAACAACCTCTTTAGGTGTTTAAACAGGTGTAAGAAAACAAACCACTAAAAACCTGTTGATTAACATTGAATATAGGATACAAAAGTGAGCAAATTAGAATATAGAAATAAATAAATTTCCATTCGGCTTGTAAAATAAACACTAAACATACTTGATACAAGTGTTCTTTATCATTTCCAATCCAAATGTCTGCGGGTATTGGCGGTGTAAGATCAACAGTCACGCCATTACTACACTCGTTAAGTTCATCCAATTCTTGATCCCAGAACTCGTAGTGAATAGTTGTTCCATTTGCATGAATACATATTATGTACCGATACCCATGTACCAGAGTATCAGCTCCAAAATTGACATTGACATAGTCTTGTTCTGAAATTTCAATTACTAACCAAATTGATTAAATACGAATAACAGAAACGTAACTGTGATCCATTATGATGTAATTTGTATCCATATATATTTAGCCCAACTTTGACCTAAAATTCAAATACTAACATTTTTGTTGAAAATGTGTTTTTGAATCAGCTATCTATGATCATAATTATATATAGATGTATAAAACCAAAGGAAAACTGAAAATTATATAATAGAATTTTATTCTCACCTTGCGTGATCTATTATATGGTGACAGACTTAGTTTAAGCAAACATAATTTGGGAATCACTGAGGCTTTGAATATACCTTTTTTTAGAAATTTGCGTTGGTTTAATAAACGAAGAAAAAAATATACAAAATTCTCTTTACCAATATAAGGGTTCAGTAGCCCCTTTCTTTTCGCTTAAAATATTTTTGTCATTAAATTTGATGATCAGGCAAAGAAGTTTGAATTATTTCAGTTTGTTCAGTTATCAGTCTGCTTTGTCTTTATATAACTAAAGCATATACATTTATTTGACAGCTGTCAGTGTAATGAATTTAAGAAATGTGTATTTTGTTGCGAAATTGTTAAAAAAAAATGATACACACCTGTAGTGCCACATTTTATTGCATCAGGATGAGAACAGGGTTCTTTCAAGTCAAGAGTGTCCGTACTTTTGTAAAACACTGTTGGGTCATTTACCTTTACTAACAGAACAGCCCAATAATATTTAGTATACCTACAAAAGAAAGATAATATGTTTTGTCATATATCTTATCGAGCCTGTGTATTTTTCTTTTCGAAAATAATATGACATGAATCGGCCATGGGGAACACTTTACATTGGAGAACATCTAAAATTACTAACTTAACGATAGTCAATTGAAAACATGTTAAATATGCCTAAATGTTAAAAAATATACAGTTATAATATAACTATTTGATATAATGCAACCCTAAATTCAAAAATAATTTATGAAAATAGGTGTCTTAAAAATATATAAACTGGTTGGTATTAACAAATTAAAATATTGTTTTTCCGCAAATTTTATGATATTTCGTTTCTATAGACCTTTTTATAACGCGGCAAGCACACTTACATGAAAAGGGTAAATTTAATTCTACTGCTTGTATATTTGCCTGACGGTCAATGCGCATGCGCAATATGCTACTCTTCCATTTCTAAGCAAAATATCGCATTTTAAAATGTTCTATAAGAACGTTAATACTTATATAATATCTGCACCTTTCATAAACATAGACATTTCACTGTTAAAACGCGACAATAAAGAAAACAGAATTATTTCAAAATTAATGTAAAGGTTTTTAGGCAAGATTGGTGACAACTAACAGGAGGTTTGATGGTTTTGAACTTAAATCTAAAAATTGTTCACTACACAAGTATTAAAATATCGTCTCATTCTAAAAGGCAGCAATTAAGCAAATTAAGCAAAGGAAATAACTATTTAGATAATAAGACATGATAAACAATATCATAGCTTTTAAAATGAAACTAATCCTTATAATATTAAACAATGAAAAAGATAAAATATCTATATGAGATATATTAAAAGACAAAATACCCTTTGAAAAACAAACCTTAAGGTTGGCCAGACGGCTGACAGTATATTAGTGTAAGGTGTGTAATCCTCGTCTGGGGTTTCCCAAATACTATTTTCTTCAAGGTAAATGTCCTTTCCAATATGAGCTTTCTCTATAGGAAACATAGATAATGAAATCTCACAGAGACATTATCTATTTGATTTGTTTTTAAAATTACAGGGCTTAAATTTACGGGTTACTTTAATAAAAGTTTTTTTTCCTTATGTATTTGTTCATATGAATCATAATTAAAGAAAAACAAAAGAGCGTGTTCTGTGGGCAATATTTGTCAATGTAGCATTTATGTATTAATAATGTTTTGTGCAATTGGTGACATTTGTAAAGCACCCAATGCAAACATGAGTGTTGTAACGAAAACGTTTGTAAACAAAATTATTAATATAAAACTTTGAAAAAATGTTTTTAAACGTAAACAAATGTAAATGTAAGAATGAGAAAATAATGTCGATGAATAGATATAAAGTGATCAAGGAAATGTTTTATATATCTCTAGACAATACTTAATGTGTTACAACAAGTACCAGTTGATAGAGGGTCACCGACAGCATCAATAACTATACTAGGGCGAATTTGTTGCACATCCTGGCAGTCTTTGATTGGAGACGAAACAGTTGACGAAAGACCCACTTTCGTGTAACCTCTTATTATCAAAAGCCAACATCTCGTAAACGCAATTTCACCATTTAAATTGATGGTAAAGTTAAGCTGCAGGAAAGTAAAAAAAACAGAAGTGATAATGTTTGAGTATACTCAAGTTAAAGACAAACTAGATTTAGAAACTTATTCAATGTAAAACCTAAATCGCTTTCTTATATACATATATTTATTTGTTAGATGTTGACAAATAAAAATGCTTATGTAAACGGAGTAATCATAAAACTATTTAACGATCCTATTTCAGTTGAATTACCATTTTTTCTATAATTATATATTTACAATTGTATCCGATGTTTCTTCTGTTGTTACAATGCGTGTCCATTTTGTCAAAAGACGACCTAATTCAGCCTCATCAGCAAATGCCCATTCATAATGATTCATCGCTTGGTACGATTCAGATACATCTAACAGGTCTGAATCCTTGAACCGGTCTAAGGATACTTGGATCTTAAATGATTATAAAAGTAAGTTCAAGTTGTATCAGAATATGATCATTGTCATTATGATCGTATACCCAAGAAATTGATTTTCAGTATGAATGCCTAAACAGTAATGTGGTATATTTTCAAAAGATTCGTTTTAAAACAGTCTACATTTTAATGTGGCCGTTGCCGCCATTTATTCAGAATTGTTTTTGTATTTTGTAAATCATTTTTAAACAATCTCATTAAAATCAGATCATCGTTTTCGCTCCGTTACTCTTCGAGCGTGGGGTAGTGTACCGACAGTTAGGATATGATTTTAATGCGATTGATTTTTAAACAACAGCACATTAAATAAAATCAACATGGGGAGACGTCACAAGTATGTTCTCTTTGAGAAGATGTCTTTTGATTTGAGATCGCGAACATTTCTAAATTTTATTTTTTTACGTGTTTCAAATTCTAAAGGAATGACTACGATATTATTGATGGACAGCGTACATGCAATATCAAGCATGTGTTCGAACGTTTTGTTGTTGTTGTTGTTTTGTCTCCAAAATGTATTTTCCCGACATATAAAGAAAGACCAAATTTATATGAAGCTCGAAGTATCTCTGGAGTACCTTCCATGAAAAAGGGTTATGTTATTATATCACAACGCTGCTTTGTTGCACTATTTTCCCGGACATGCTGTGGTCAAGCAATAACACACTCGCTTCAGATGTAAAAGAACTGATATAGGAGACCTTATTACTTATGAATTGATAACAGATGAATACGGCTATATATGCTAAAAGCATGCCCGTGTTTCAAAAATTGAACAAATCTTAATGTCTGATAGTTAAATGCAAACTAATCGACTTGTTGTCGGCGAGTGAAGATCCAGCAGATATTGAATCACTCTGGAGCAGAACTTCATACAATTGGGTTGTTTAACCGTTTTGGGAGCGGCAAGCATTATAACTGTAATATACAGTACATATTATATTGTCCAAGCTATAAAAAAACAAATGCAATTGGTAAATTGTGTTGACATTGACTTAAGAATTTTGTTGAAATTTAGAATACTTAAGTGTTTCAATATTATATATACGTTTAAGTACATCTCAGATGTATATTAATCACTTCTCCCAAAATCCGTATGACGCTAGTTTACATACTTTATCAGGCACTTCAAAAACTTGAAAAAGATTGTAAATGATGACGTTTCTATCACTTGAAACATTATTGAATATCGACATTACGAAAATGAATAGACAACCATAAGTTCATTCATAAATGAGCATAATTTTTATAAGATAACACATATCTTCACCTAACAGTTATATATGGAGACCTAGTAAATAAATTCAGCAAGTGTGAAAATAACTGTTACGTATGCGAGAGCTTAAAATTTTGAAAAATACTTGCTTTAAATTACATTTTGAAAATATAGAAAGGGGAATGATAATTTAGAAACATCATTCAGTACATTTTATAAAGCTTACAAAATAAAAAAAAATATTTATCTATTATCTATTCAAGTTATTGCATTATGTTCAAAATTAATTTACGTTATAAAAAAAATTGCAAGGGCGGCGACATTGATGCTTTGCATCAATATAATCATGCATTCACCTGGTTTAAGTCTGCTGAATGCGTCACTGACAAAGATTCGGTTACTGGAGGATTTGGCACTACAAAGACCCCATCACTGTGCACGGGTTTAAAACAATGCTGTCTGGCACAAAATTGTAAAGATATTCTATACTTTCTTCCTGGGGATAGGAATACACCACTTATTTCAAGATGCGTTGCATTTGATCGTAAGTGCTGATACTCTGTTAGCTTCTTCCAAACATCTGAATGAAATGAAAATGTTTTAATAATATTTTATGATAATATTTTTGTATTGATATTTGAGTATGAAATAATGCAAACATTCTGCTCACTTGGCAAAATATTCTATTATCCTACTTAGAACTCCAATTAGCAAACATGCATCTTCAAGTTGAATATAATACCACTGAATAATGTTAGTTGCAAAATAATTGTATGAATACTACATCAGGTTATGTATTCATTCATACATTTTATTTTTTTCTTGTGTTAAGTAAGTGTTCCCCTCTCGGAAACGTCATTAAGATTTTGAAAATACATTATATAAAATCTATATTTTATCTATAACTTATCTATATCAATGGATATGATATCAAAAGTTAAGTAATAGTCTATTATTCTTCTGCGTTGATTATACATTGTTGCAACAATGTGTTGAAACCATAACCGATTACTTCAGTTTGTACCAAATTGGACGCGATATATTTTCAATTAGATATACAAGGATTCTTATCATTAGTTCAATTATTAATATTGTAAAGGATAGAACTAACCAGCGACCGGAGCTCTTTCTTCTATTGACCAATTTATGTCTTTCAGATAATGCCTCTTTTCTGTAGGAATCGTCCAGTGGGCTTGAAGTACATTTGTAGACGCTTGGAATTCAAGATCGTTTTGACAGACTAAACGTTTATCCTGTAAGAAAGGTTTTTTAAAAGTTAAATGAAGGAGCGTTTAATGAAATTTTCAAAATTCGTTTTTGATATAAGAAATATTGTTATTAAAATTTAAAGCCTTGTTAAGTTCATAGGGCATAACCAACAAAGAGCACAACTTAGATTTCGTTTACATACAATAAAAGATGTTTTATTACTGAAATGAGCATAATGTTATACTGTGATGACCATTTGTGTAGAAATTTTTACATATTGAAGTTTTGTGTATTTATAATTTATTTACCTCATCATGGTGTGACAGTGTCAGGTTCAGATCTGAAATTAAAAATGTACGTACATGCGAAAGGAGATAAAAATTTGAAATATGTGATTTTATGGTATAGTAAATGAATCTTGTTTCAACCATTAAGTAAATGAGAAAGTAGTTAATAATATAAAGACATCAATTATATGTGATTATTACATAATTTACTTTTACCAACCTCCACTTAAAGGCTTATAACATGGCAAACCATCAAAAACTTGTATCCCTGAGATGGTATCCCCTTCAATTACAACAGTAACACCATCAGAGGCAGCTGTGGAATTTCCAACTTCGGTTTCTGCTATGACCGTTTGGTAATATGTCTGGAAAATACAATGTTAATTTGATAAAAAGATAAAAGAATCTATCTACAGGCTAACAAAAATACATTATTAATACATTATCGTACATTTATAAAGCAAAGTAATATTTTTCATTTCATTTCTTGCATTTAAACAATATCTTGAACAATAAAAATCATTAAAACACTTTTTAAACAATATGGACTCTATCTAGATATGTTTATTAGTTTTATAATTTTTCTACTGACTTGGCGCAATGGGAAGAGAATCTGATAAATAATCCAGGGGTTATTGGTTCAATCATCGGGCTAGGGGTCATTTCTCCATGCCATTGGTCTCGGGTATCATATTTATTTATCTATATCGCTCACCCCTGATTCAGAGATCATATCGGATAACTGTTACATCCAGAAAGTCTGGCTGGGTGTAGCGACAGCCAAGATATGACCAGAATATATGTATTTAAATCGGCGTTAAAGCGAGATAAACAATCAAACATAGATCAATCCATAAAGATATCAATAAATTAAACCATAGCATAAACATAACCAAACCGAAAAGAAAAACGACATTTTACTATTCAAATGATCAACACTATTAAGAAAATTTACCTCATACTCTGTTAAATCTAGACCAGAAATTGTATACTGATCAATTGAAGTGGTTTGTTCACATTTGATGAAGTCAGTACTGAAAGCATTTGAAATGCAGACAGTAAATCTAATGTCTTCATGCGGATGTTTAAAGCCAGACCATCGTGCTGTAACCTTCGATGTACTTGTTTGGAAATCTATGTCATCTATGTCAACAAACTAAAATAAAAGAAAACAAATAAGGTTAGTTTGTATCAACTTTAATATAGTTATTGATTTTAAAAATCTCAAGTAGGTATATTATGGGGGGAAAAGATTTCAATTAATCTTTCTAATAAGCACGTGGAATATTACATAATGTTATATTCCCGTGACATAAATTTTCGCGTTTTAACAAGGGTAAGAGGTTTGACATATTCAATAATATTTACATGCCCGTTTTCAAAAATTCCAGAGAAAAAACAATTGTGCGAAAATTTGTTAAAATAAGTTTTAGAGGGCATTGCTAGCCATAAATTGCAATAATTTAGATTTATTTAAACTTAAATAGGTGCCTACCAATAGTTCAGCAAGAAACGTATACACTAATTGTTGGCTAACAATGTTTTCAATTTCTTAATATACAATAAAAATGTATATATATATATATATATCCTTTTCAAATACTATTTCGGAGCCGTTATATAAGAATATTTTTCGAAGCCTTGTTGTTCAGGTTGGTGTCTTCGACCCGCGTTGCTGTAGGCTCAAGTTTTACCAAAAAATGTTATTCCATCATATAGACATCCCATCTTGCTATCATAAATGTTTCATTATGGGTATGTTCAGTTGATAATGTTATTTATTCTGTATACCATTCAGAAATATTTATTCTGTATACCATTCAGAAATAATCATGAAATTAAAATTCAACTACCTTTGCACCAGTGTCATCAACGTCTTTAACAATCCCTTTAGATGGTAATTGACTGTAGTGTCTGTATTTTGAAGAGGAAGCGGTGACAAAGTGACCTGCCGTATCCTTAACTTTAATAGTTACATAGTAATCTTGATTATCATGTAAGTTCCATCGAAATGTTTGTGTTGAGAATGCCGTACACGAAGGATTATCTACTTGAATACAACTTCCACCGAAAGATAAGATGCTAAATGGGTGTACATCTTGTGTGCCTTTCGAAGTGCCTAAAATGATAAAAAAAACTTAATTTAGTGAGTAAAACAGATAAAAAAAGTAATTCAATGCATTCGTTTATTAATTTGACTTCTTTTATTTACTTATTATTTTGATAACAACAGCAGTTACAACTAGACTAAAATAGTTGAATTATGTTAAAGTTGCAGTGCCCAAAGGAAGGTGGTCCGTCGTCAGACTCAGTCGATAATATTCTGTGACATTTTTATGATGCAATGTACTTAACCAATTTAAAAGGTTTGCAGTTCAATTTATTTCAATAATATAACATCAAAAAACTTGTTTGTTTATCTTTTTTTCTTAAAATGGATACTTACGCTAAAACAGAAATATTGTACCAAATTTATCAATATTCTTATATCTTATCTTATTGTTTACATTTTGAAAAAATAAATTATATTCACCTATTGCAGCTTCGTACGTTAAAGAATGTGGATCACCATGATCAGTAAACGCGCCGACATCCCACCTTGCTATTAGAAATGTTTCATTATTGGTATGTTCAGTTGATAATGTTATTTCTCCTTTAAATTCAGGTTTTGATGAATCATATGCTAATGGACCGATAACCTGAATATACAAATATCCGAGCCTTTCATAAACGCGATAAACTTCTGAAAATCTCGGCAAAATTTCTGACAAATGTCTTGTTAATCTTGATATAATTTTTATTTGTCTAAGATGACCAGGACATAGAAGCAAAGAAGCGGCTATCATTCTCCATTCTCCTAAAGTTCATCAAACAAACAAAAAGTATATATTAAGGTATGCATTTATTATATTATTCCAATTTAATGAACTGTCATTTGAATCGTATCATACTGAAAATTTCATTACCTTAATGTCAGTAACTGACGATTGAGTTATAGACTTGATTAACAGATAGAAAATTTCACCATCAAAAATATCTGGATGAAATAATCGCATATGCTGATGTTGATGAGAAGTTGTAAAACCCATTATATCTGGTATCTCAGAATGTTCAGATGCTATTCCAACTTCATAATCATGCAGACCACCGGGTCCAGTTGTTACATTCCAAGATATATCGACCTGTAATTTGAAGTGTATAACATGTATAGAATCCTTACTGGTTTAGCACTTACATTAATTTATGATGTACCGCCATCAAGCATTAACTGCTAGTATCCATGAACATGCTTAATCAAATCATACCGGTAATTTGTTTTCCATGTGGCCATGTTGAATGACCATGAATGCTTCTCTTTTTACAATTTGATAACTTTACAATCGTTATGAATTGATAAAAAAAATTGAAGAACATAATGTTTGCATTGGTTAATTATTAATGAAAGTAGCATCATAATTTAGATACTTTGCTGGGACATAATACTGAATAATATTATGTAAACTTACAACATAGTCTGATGATATGAATGAGATTATATCTGACTGAGGGCCATAAAGATCATTACAGTTGTCATTTAGCTTAACTGTGCTTCTCGTACCATTTTGTTGTAGTTTATGGGGGAAAAGCTGTAAGTCCATATCCGATAGTGCTTTTGATCGATCTCTGGAAAATAAGTTTTTACATTCATAACATACATAACGTTGTGTGTATAACTTTATTTTCAAAAGAAAAGTAAAGGCATTTTCTTTTTCTTTTTTACAAATTTTACAAATGTAAATATAAAATGCTCAAGAATTGACATTTTTATACATTCAAATGTTTGCAACCAGTTATTGAGATCCAAAATTCTACAATAACATTTAATTAACATTTAATTGTTACATAAAAGACTGGAACACGTAAAATTTGCGAAATAGAGTAAAGAAATATACCCTTAATTAAATTGAAAATTGATTTTTTGTGCAATTCTAAGCATGAATATAATTTAAATCAGTTTTGTGCGATTTGAATTATAACGTTTAAAACGATCTTCATTTTAAGTCATTGCAAAATTAAAATGATTATTCTGGAAACACTGAGTAAGGAAATCAGACCTTTATCAAATGGTACACAAATGTCGGAAAAATATGTCCAGTCAAGTTATGTCTCAAAACACAAACCTCAGTGTTGTCAGTTCCTTTTAAAATACTTTCATAAAAAACGAGTATTTCGGAATGATGTCAAAAACTAGTCGAGTTAACAAAGTCCACCAGTGAACGTATAAATCTTACTTGACGTTTTATGAGATAAAACGATTTCGTTGTAAATTAATATGTTTTAAATACCTTAATTTATACAATGTATCAACGTGTCATTTATATGAAACACACTATGCCAATTATGACAGTTATTTTCTTCTAACAGTGAATAGAATGTTAGACTATGGCATAAAATATCGATGTTAACATATCAGATGCTGTAATGTCTGCAAACGCAAACTCTTTTTGTAATACAAATATATACAATATCACCTGCAAATTTCAGGGGGATTTTCAACTTGTACCAGTTCCCTGTTTCTGTACAGAATGTATACTGTCTCATCTGTCACACTCTTTACAAGCCCTTCAGTTGTAACAGCATTTTGAATAACAACGTCCGATACAACTGCTGGAGTGTCGTCTATTGTCACGCCATCGGAACAAACTGGTTTACTATGGTCAAGAGCATGGTTATAAGCCATAACTGTCAGGTAATATTTTCCAGGCTTATCTACTGTAAACTCCGCAACAGTATCATACGTCCAACTTGCCTAACGTAATAAAAAAGGAAGAAATAGACAATGATTGAATATTGTGTAGGAAATATATTATATTAACTATCTTTACTGTTACTATGACAAGCAGAATATTTATTAAAAAAAACTAGGGCACAAGAGATGTTGCACTGTTCAGAATCTTTCTTCAACATATTTAGTTAAATCGAGTCTGCAAGTTGTTTCGCGGGTACCGTTGTTGTTGCTCTCTATTTACCCATTTTTAAAGCCACTGACCTCCAGATGGTAAAATGAAAGAAATGAAATAAAATTCCAAGTAAATGGTAAATACTGATCTAGTTAGGTTTATTATATAAATTCATCATTACTGACACCTTAATTCAAGAAAGAATGTTGTCAAAAGCGTTGATATATCGGGTTTTCTTTTCCATCATCTATTACGTTACTAACGCAGTAGCCAATATTAAAAAGAGAAGATAATTCAATTAACGCGGTTACGTGTCACAACAGTGATCCAGAAAAATCCCGGTATCTGTTATGCCCGGAATCGTTTATCAACTTTCGTCATTCATAGGCCCCTATCATATTTCAAGCTAAAGGTTAAATCGATAAATTGGTCATCATATATATGAAATAATTAATCGATTATAATTTTTAGTGTCCCGGATTCCGTGCGTTTCAGAGCACAGGTCGCGAAAGCACGTGTACGAGCACGTGGTACTAGAAAAAAACCCGGATGAAAGAATTCCGTCGTATAATAAAAGAAGGTATTTCCCGTTGATGGAAAAGCGAACTGTTTTATTATAGAGCAATAATGTTAAAATATGAACATTTTGATGTGTCATTTCGATTTTTTTCACCTATATAATGTTTTTGAGGGGGGATTTTGAAATATTAGCAAGACGGCAGTTTTTCTGCTATCTTCTTGAGGTCAGCTGCTTTAAGGTTTGTTGATCTTACTCTTTAAGTTACTGACAGGCTACAAAGCTACTTATTTTAACATCAAATGACGGAGGGTATGAATAATATAATTCATGATTCCTCTCAAAATAAGGACAACATTTTAATAAGTTTAATAAGAAAAAAAAAGAAATGCACCGCTCACGTTATTTACATAATTCAAAATGCGTTACAGGTTTAGCTATTTAAACCAATTGTTTGCGTTTTAAACAATATTCAGTTACTGAGTAACTATTTTTATTTTCATTTCAAAATACAAAGTACATTTTCTCTTAATTGTATTCATGCCCTTTGTTTATAACGTATGAGGATAACACAAAGTGTAACAGCTATGAGTTGCTTAAAACTATTATATCATTAATTTTTATAAAATAAAGTAAAGTGTAGATTTTGCAATTAACGTATAGTAGACCCAATATACAATTTTTATTTTCATTTAGATATGTAGTTTAAATATGTGGCAGTGCATACCTGTTTATAGCTGATAGTTTCATAGGCTGATAAACTTTATACTTCTGTTTTCAATAAAAAAACTTACGTTTTGATGAATGTCCAACTCGTTTTCGTTTAAACATCTTTCATTAAAGCCATATGTATACAACCAGACACCACTTTCCTTATCAAAAAAGTGATCCCAGTATCCATTAAGACGAAGTGTTTGCTGAAAATCGAGCTCTGGATACCCCGGCAAACCATCATTTGTAATTCCCTCATGAGGTGGTGAAGTATCAATAGTGATCTTAAAACGCCAAAACAGTATGACTTTGTAAAATCATTTATATGGGACAGTTTTTAACGTATTAGTTGGTTTTCACTTAATACATTCAATTTGATACATACATTTGTATCTATCTATCAATAGACGTATGACAGTTGAATATATATTAGAAATTAATTATATTAGCATTTAAAAAGAAACAATATAAAAAATTTCTGACTGATTTGTATACACTACAACAAACTTTTCTAGTTAACATTCCTATAAATTTCATAAGAAAAAAATATTGATTGGTAAGTGAGCACTATATCTTGTTTTTTTTCCATCATGAAAACCATCATCATCAACAAAACAACATCATCATCATCATTGTCGTCGTCATCATCAAAATCGTCATAATGACGAAAATAATGCACTTTTATATGCAAGCATTTGGTATACCTTCATACATACTTAGCCAAAGAGTAGACACTTTTAATTCAAATATTTGGATATAGGGGTATTTCTTTACTTTTTTCTGTTGAACTGTTGTTAATCTAGCATTGTTGATAGCAGTAACCTCTATAATGTAGTCAAAATCGTGTTCCCCTGTTTCTTTTCCGCTAATAAGTCCAGTGTTGTTTTCTATCGATACTTGTGGGTTGACTTGGAAGTGTTTGTGGAAGCATCCATTATAGGGCGAGCAGTAACAGTTTGCTCCTCGGGCGTTCATGGAATAATTACTCCAGCACTCTTCAATTGTCTAAGTAATTCGTGTAATTGAAAGGTAAATGTCCGATGTGATTAAGAAGAAATTGTACAAGATTCGGAACTAAAACGCTAATTAAAGTATTAATACAAATGGGAACGAATATAAATGATTCTAGATGTAAATATGCAATTGACATTAAAAATATATAAAAAATGTAAATGAAATTGCTTCACAATCTTTAAAACCTTGAGAGTGAAAATCAGTACCACGTAATGAAAAATGTTTCGAGAAATAAATGTATTTTTAAGACTAAGACAATATAATTATTTAAAAAACATCTTTAAAACATGATTTTGTTAAAACTTGTCTGTAAATTATTTACGTTGACACAAACGTAAATCTACACTCTTCACTCAAAAGTTTACTTCTATCTTTGTTGTAATATTACTACTATTCAATACGTTCATCAAGACGTGCACATATTGAGAACTATTTTCATTTCTACCAAAATCAAATACCTCTGTTTCCCCTTGTGGTGGCTCATAGGAATGTCCGTGGACTACTTCTGTTTTGGTAAAATTATCAAATATTTTCCATGAAATTTCGTGAATACCACTGTGGAAATCAAATGCTTCCCATTCAATTCTACAAATAATTAGGTCAATTTTTACATTTGACTAAAATGTTAGTAAATCTGATGATTATCAAAGCGATAGCACATATCTTTTATATCCATATACATGCATATGTATAAATGATATCGACAACCGGGTCATACTATAGTAAAATAATCCGTAAATAAAGATTTTTTGAAAGATAAATAAAATATTTTGACCTAAAATGAATCATTACTTACATTAATTTGTTCAGTTCCAGAACACTGTGTACACTAATGTTGACCCAGTCACCCTTTGTAAGCCAAAGGTTTTGTATAACTGGAGGAGATAGATCTATCATAACTGTTACATTATCCTCAGCAAATTCTCCGACAGCATCTATCCCGCGTATGAAATACATTAGTTTCTTTCCATCAACAAATTCTTCATCAGTATAGACCATATTTTCTGATTTGAAGAAAACTTCAGGTACTTGGTCGAAATCGATAAAATCTGTATTTCCATCCAATTCGACGTTACGTGCAATATCAAACCGAACAATTCCTGAAAAAAGATATAAAGTAACAAATCTTTCTTTTTAAACGGTAATCATTACATTGTATAAATGTTTTTTTTTCAAATTATAACAAGAACGATAAATTTAGAGATATATGTTATCACTATTCAATACATATAGACAGGTTACCAACCTGTCACACCAACTGATGTCGTAGAAATCTTGAAATAATACCTGCTAACTTATCAGAAAATAACTAGTTTGAAAGAGTTTTGACAAAATATATGGCCCTATATAAACTGTTTAAATATAATGAACGGTAGTTATATTGCATACAAACGTTCATATGACGCCATATAAACCTTCGAGAATATTTTAATGAATTTAAAATACAGCAACCTCTTCTATTTGAGAACTATATATTAGCTGTGTAATTTATATAAACGTCATGATATTATCTTTAACGTGAAGTTACAAACGCGCAGTATAATAATTAATAATGAAACACGTATCATTGCTAATAGATCTAAAGTATAAGAAAATAATGTTGTTTTTTACTAAATTTTTACCGTTAATGTTACTTAATTCGTCCACTGTTCTGATTGATTTTCCCTCTCTGTCGTCAAGATCTCTACTTATGTCATCATTTCCTTGTACTCCATTTAGCCATCCACCATTGCTATGTCTAATATTTCGGAATCTATTGGGCCATACAATTTCTATTTGTTCGCTTTTTTTATTTATCCATCCGTTTTCCAGGGCTTGAATAACGCTGGCCTGTTCACCGTATAGATCAACAACTGACGCGTTGTCATAGAGAATAATTCTTCTTGCGACTTTATAATTCTTAGCACGGTCATGTACAATAATCTCTACTGAATACGGCCCGGGTTCTTCTAGGTCTAGAGTTGCGCTAGACTAAAAAAAACAATGTTATTTTATAATTCTGAATAAAATCATTATATCGAGGCTATAATGATAAGGCTTTTACAATATTGCTTAAAGTTGATTTTTATTATCAGGCATTAGTCACCTTGGTAAAACAATATTATTATTTTTATCGAAATTATTTATGGATAAATCATCCAATAAATTTCATACTTACATTAGTTGATGTAAATCTGCTTGGCGTTAGCATATATTTGTGTCTCAGAAGATTATCGTCAAGTGAGTTTTCTAAATAATATATATTAAATTCGTATTCGTCTATACCGGAATCCAAATCTGTCCATCCAGCCCAATAAACAGTTACTATTGGCTGCAAAAGAAACAACAACATAACAACAATATAATTAATGTATTTAATTTCTTTATCGCCGATCTGATGTCAATTACCTTGAAATATGATATTTATATTTTATTATTATATATATAACTTTTCGAATCTTCTTTAAGAAATGCGTCTATACAAGAACTTACGCAGGTAAGAACTTTAAATATAATTATGTACATATCTTCAAATCATTACAAAGTCAAAATAATGCAAATTTGACATTCAAAATGTTATGTTTTTTTCAATTTGTAAAATCTCTTTTATGTGTATAAATTTCCCAGGTCAGAATGTTGTTTTTATGTGTAATATATTCGAATTTCAATGAATTTATCCAGGTCATTATCATTTAATACAATTTTTATTGAAAGGGAATATAGAGTATTAAGAATTAAAATAAAAAAACAACATTTTGTTATTCTACTTTGAAATAAAAACCCTTGAAAGCTATAATGAATTTTTTATCAATATACCAGTTCAAATCGCTGAAATCATTTTTGTAGCTAGACAGAATACTGTTACTGATCAGTGTATATAATTATACCGAATCAATATATAATGCTATGCTGCAATATGTTTAGCATTTGTACATGTCTTCATAAAGGCTAATGTGAATAATCTTAACTGAGTTAATTATGACAAAAACTACAACATGATTGTATCTTTAGACAAATAAAATTGAAGCACACCAAATACAAATATTTAACATACATGACGTGAATGCATGAGAAAAAAACTCGTTAGTCTCTTAACTTTCAGTCAGATAATGAAACAATTACCTGAGTCAAAAAATCTGTAACTTGCAATGCATCTTGCAGACAGTTACTGTCTTGTTCAAAGCAATGTATTGGTGGAAATGTATCGAAACCAAGTTCGATTTCTTCGTTGGCCGTTATGCCATTGAGATAATATTGGTATTTCCTATACGGAGGTGTAAAAGTACTTCTGTACTCATACTCCACTTTGCCACCATTTTTAGCTGACACTTTGAACTTGATCCTATAAATAATGTTTTATTGCATTGATATTTTATATCATATACTAAATGTTTTTATAAACATGGACAGATAAGTTTTATTACTCAGGAGCACTTACTACTTTACAGCAGTCAATAAAAAATACAAAAAAGCAAAAGATTTCATGATTGGTTTTAATATGACTCAGCATTTACATCAGCGTTTAAATGGATCCGAATAAACGAGAATTGGCCAGGACTTGAGGACAATGCTTATCAAAAATATTTGACCGTCTTACGTTAATGATATATATTTAAAGCAGCACGCCTCCAGATTTATGCTAATTTTTATGAAAATTTTGAAAATGTATATGAATGTTAAATATTGTGAAATAACCAAAAGAAAGCAATTAACACATTATCAATGGCACTTTCAAATCACGTAAAGTACAACAAAGTGTTCAAAATATGTATTAAAAGCCTTTACTGCGTTAGTAACGCAGTAGAATACTAACGCAGTAGAAATATAATTGTAAATACTGAAAAATCAGTCATTAATCGCACATAAACGTAGAATATTACTTGAATCTTGAAATTTTAAATTTTCCTTACATCTTAGTACATTTTCTCAAGTTTGATTTTATTGAAATATTTTGACTTATCTGGGGGGTGGTAAGTTTAAGTACAGGAACTCAAATTGCATAATTCTCCGGGGTTCTCCATATACGTATATTAAATATTATATTAACAATACTCATAATCAATATCATCTTAGTACTGTAACAAACTCACTTATCTCCGTGTTTGAAATTTCCATTTTCTAAAATCTTTCTCCAGTCGCCTATGCTACTTATTACTTTATCTGTTATATTTTTGTCGCAATTTGCATCAAAGTTTGTACAACCTCCATCTATTGTCCATTCACCGTTATCAGAACCTGTCCGTAATGTATGTTTTGAGTAACATTTGTCAAAAGTGAAATAAATAGTCAGTTATAATACGAAGTTTAAAAAAACCCCTAGAACAAAGGGCCCTTTTAAAAATCTTTATAGAGTATAATCTATCTTAAGATTCGAAATGTTTTAACCCATCTATGCACGGTGTTCCTGAAGTACGGAGCCCCTAAGGTGACATTTTCCACACAATTTTCCCGGAACTTAATTCGTTTTTACGAACAAATAATTCGTAATTACGAAATATTTATTCGTTTTTAAAAAATAATAATTCGTAATTACGAAATATTAATTCGTGATTACGAAATATTATTTCGTAATTACGAAATATTAATTTGTAATTACGAAATATTATTTCGTTTTATGAATTATTAATTCGTTTTTACGAAATATTAATTCGTAATTACGAAATATTAATTCGTTTTCACGAAATATTAATTCGGTTTTAGGAAATATTAATTCGTAATGACGAAATATTAATTCGTAATTACGAAAAAATAATTCGTAAATACAAAATAATATTTCCTAAAAACGAATAAATTTTTTCTAGGGTTTCAAAGAGTTTTGGTAATATTCATAAAGAAGGCCTTGAAACTAAGTTCGTATCTAAGTATAAGGCATGTAAATGCAATATAAATAGTGATTTGTTTCCTCCCCAAGTTTTATAACTTAACACTATTGTATAAAAATTAAGATGATCACCTGTCAATAGCGTTGCCGCCACAGCGTGATAGTACACGCGCTAGGAAATCTTTGTTAAAATGGGGTCCTGTGCTTCAAATCCAAACATGGACAATTTTTTTCTGTTTCGTTTTGTCGGTATTATTGAGTTTTGTAATAAAATATTATGTTTTTATGATCACACGGTGCCCATACATAAATTGTAAGGAAATATACTTTTTAAATTGATTAGATTAGTGAAAATCTGGAGCCCCTCCCCCTTTAGTTTTACAAATGTATATGATAAAAGAAAGTAAAAATATAGCATGTTTCTTTTTAAAAAAGAAAAGATTAATTGCCTCAAAAAATAAAACATTGCTGATGGGAACATGTATTTGACAATGGGGAAAAGCAGATATTTTGGATTGAGAATGACTTCTCACTCAAAAACCATGTTCACTTAAAGATACAAATGTATTAACTTGAGACCCATTCGGCTTATAATCGAAAGGTTCATCCAGGCTTGTAAATGACCCCTTTGTGGGTTTTTGTCAAACTCACACTGACCTTTAATAAGATTTCGAAATAACGAAATTATATTTCGTAAAAACGAATTAATATTTACTAAAAACGAAATATTATTTCGTAAAAACGAATTAATATATCGTAATTATGATTTAATATTTCGTAAAAACGAATTAAATGCCTGGAAAAAAGTGTCGAAAATGTTACCTTAGGGGCTTCCGTACTGAAGTGATATACGTGACATTTTATTTTATCGTGAACGTACAAACGTAATATATTTCATAAAAACGTAATCATTTCTTAACGTATTATCTATTTGTAAGTAACATAGCATATGTGATGAAAGGTGAAGAGAGGTTAAATGCTGGAAAACACTACTCCACTCTATGACAATGTTCATTTCTTCGAAATATTATTAGTCTTTTACGAAACACATTCCATTATTCCGAAATATTATAATCATATTTATACGAGCTCATTTTTGTTTTTTACGGCTTGATACATTTGTAATACGTTTTTACGAAACGCATTTCGTAATTACGGAGTTTTATAGCGATTTTGCAAATTTTACGAGTTCAAAAAGTGTAACGTACGCCACTTTTTGTGCACAAACTATAATATACTTATTGAAAAAGTATTTATAAAAGGGGTGCATCATAGCGTGTTTATTTATTTCGTTAAATTATTCTTATATAGATGCAATACCCATTCAATAAAATATATTGCAAAGAAATTTGGAGCATTTTTAACTAACAGTATAAACATTTAGTTTAAACAATATTCATTTAATTTATACAACATACATACACAGTGAGAATTACCAACATTTAATCTGTACACTATTATTAAAGCCTTTTCTGTTCATATTCAGGTATATATACTGCAGTTACTTACCTCGTGATAAAGTTAAATGAATTTTTAGTTCTTCCATTCCAATATAATATCCAGTTATATAATTTGGTTTATTCAAACTGTCAATCTCTGGTACGTAGTTTGAGGAAGCCTCAAGAAAAATGGTTGACCACACGACCTCATTTGTCCAAAATAGTGTCTTATTAAGCGCCTTGTCGACTATCTTCAAGCTATTTGAGGGACCATGAAGCTTAAAGTACAACTGTTTAATCGTTGGTATTTTCTCAGAAGTCGCTAAAATAAAAAATGCATAGCAATGGGAGTTACATGTAATGGTTATTATGGAAAGTATCTGGTTGCCAAGAGAAATCACATATACATAAAAATCTATGTAACCCCGGGGTGGGAAAATTTTGACTCAAGGGTTATAATTTGAATATTATTTTCTTAGGGTCCACCAGACTATGTTTCATGCTAAAATATCTAGACTAAAGCTTAACATAAAAGATTTTTTTAAATAAATTAATTTACAAAAAAAGAAGATCAATGACCACCTGGGGCGGGGCCAATTTTGACCCACGGGCTATAATTTGAACAGCATTTGTAAAGGTCAACTAGACAATTTTTCATCCTAGATATGTAAGCTTAAGGCTCTTTAGTATGATATAAGAAGATCCTATTTCTGTTTTTGCAATGAAATATAAGACAAACAATTTTTCATTCCATTGACCACCCAAAGAACATTGTTGTGAAAATAAGATGGAATTTGCTTATCGGTTTATGAGGAGATGTTGTTTAAAGTAAAAGTTTAAGGACGGATGACGGACGGACGCCGACGAATTGCGATCGCAAAATCAAAAATAAAAATCACATATTAAACCTTATATTTAGAAATCAATCTATTGTAAACAAAATTTGCCTTTGGTTATTTGTGTTAATTTGACACTCGAAAGTATTTAAATAGAATAACGATGTATACATACCTGATGAACAATCACTGTACTTCGAAGAAAACCCTTTGGCACACTGACAGTCATTATCCAGTATCATGTTACCTGTGCACGTACCAGGAAAACACCTTGCGCCAGACTTCCAAGAACAAGTTCCTAAACAAATTACTCTAATTTAAGATACTTTACTTACTGGCCCACACAATTAAATAAACATGCATATGAGAATTACCGAATTAGATTGTACAATTTGATTTTAAAAGTTCTTAAAGATATCGAGAATTGTGCAATTTAGTATAATTGATTATTACAAAAACTATTACCTACTTCTGTTTGCATTTTAAATTAATAAAGAGTATAAACGCAGAACAGTTTCGTATTATTCTACAAAGTTCATATAAAGTTGTATGTGCTGACTCTAGTACCAATAATCATAAGATTTAAGCTTTATGTTTTCTTATTTGCATGTAGATAGATGTTTTGATTTGTCTATCTATATAATATCCTTATCAGTTATAAATCCCATTTGTGTGATAAGTAGCTTATGTCCAATCTAAAATGCTTATTAACAGAATGTATAACAAATTCAGAGTTGATATATGATCGGACAATTTCAACAAAAGGATGACCAATCTGCAGAATCCGGCTAGATATTTGTATAGTGTACTTGAATTGACTGACATTCATTGAATGCTGAATGAATTGTCCAATCAAAATCGGAAACTATCACATTACAAGCAAGACCTTTTTTAGTTCTCGTTTTATAATTTCAGAATGTTCCCATCAATGAGTAGCACTGACAAAAGTATGAGTACCACGCAAAATCAAACCAGTTGATCACATTGTGTCGGAAAAATAATTGTCTGGCATGACTGAAAACATCCTTAAATGGTTAGATAATACATTGATTGGTGTTACTTTAATTTCCGTCTTTGCGTATGAAGTTAGAGTGTGAATAAAACACATACGAGGCACAGTTTTCTAGCACCGCTATGTTAGTAACTTTCACCTCCTTTTCATATTCTTAGTGAAACATGAATACGTTATCTTACTCAGGAACCATTAGTCCATCCTTGTAGGTATGTTAAACATTGCGTGTTACAATTCCTTCGTTTATTACGTTATTGATATCATTATTCATGTATGTTAGGTTTAAAGTCGCCCCGACTTTGTAAACAAAAATATCAACTCTCCAGTTTTACTAACGTTATAAAATCTCTGCAAACATTGTTGTGATGTTATTGATTCGAACTTAGCGATCAAAATGTATAGTGCAAATGTTATCTTTCATATTATAGGTTCAAACATGCAAATACGAAAGTCTACTTAAAAATGGAAAGTCACCAGAATTAAGTAAAAATACCAGATATAAAGTGAGAATAGATTGCTAATGTTGTACTCGTATTATAGTAATAGGTTATTTAGAATTTTAAGATTCAGTTCGGGAATAAATTTTGGCAGTACACTCACATTGAGGAATTTCAAAATGTGTCCACATAATATACTCTTCATAAGTTTGTTTCCAATCACAATTTCACCGAACGTGTTCATAGGTCGTGACAAATATCAATAGGATTTTGTTGTTTAATTCTCTTTTAACAGTAATGCACATGGGCAAAAGTCATACGCACTATCATATTCAAGATATTTTTGATCATTCAGCGTCCAATAAAGAGATGTATTGGAATCTCAAGACATGTGGTACAAATCGGAGCCAGCAATTTGATGTACAAATGGGTATAGCATATAATGACATACCCCAGCAATATATACTGAAAGTTATCTAATAAAACAACACAGAACCGAGGAGTATAAATGCAATTTAACTTACTTTGACATCTTTTGTTATCTGGTTTCCCAGAATAAACGTTATAGCCAGGTTTATCCCTTATATATTCCTCTTCACAATACTCACACCAATAATTATACCTTGATGTACATACTGGTAGATTGCATTTTGTAGGCTTATAACACGCTGAAACAGGCAGAAACAATAAAACTGTAATTTGCAAAAGAAATGCAGAAAATCTGGCAATGAATTTTGGCATGTACACATTGCAAACTCAACAAAATATTTATTTCGGTTACACAAAATACTGAATGACACAGTGCAAACTAATACAAAATAAATAGTTTGGATATAAGATTTACTGAATAACACCGTACAAACGCATACAAATTAAATAGTCCAGATATAGAGGACATTAAATAAGTGTAAGTTTAATACTGAAATCATTGAACGAGTTGAATACAATAATTAATTTTATGCAAGCCTCTGGTGAGCATAACATTATTTTATTGAACGAGTTCAATAAATTTGTATTAAAAACTTACACGAATTTAATATTCTTTTTATCACATACCAAAAATAAAGACAGTTTGAAGTAAAAGAGAACCATTTTTCATTGACGCGCCTATAATATAACACTAACATTTAGCGCGTCTTGACACTATTTTTATATAACGAAAATGACGTCACGTCAAAATGTATGCACGACCGGGCAATACCATTTTCACGGAGTCGTTCGTATAAGCGGCACGGGTATGTGATAAATGAATTTACTGAATAACAAAGTGTCAACTCATTAAAGATAAATTGTCCGGAAATAACAAAGTGCTAACTCGTACAAAATAAATATTTCGGATATAAAATTTACTGAATAACAAACTATGCTAACTGATACAATTATATTTCAAACAGAAAACCTTTGCAATAGCCATTGCTGGAAGTAACAGGATAATATCCTTTGTTGCAACTGCTGCATTTGAATGGTGCATAGCATATCCCGCCACTGTGTCTAACCACATCACCATTTTTGTATTTAACATATCCCTCGTAATTGACATTGCAAGTATGTGCACCATATCCCATCCGGCATTTTGCTTGAAAAGACAGTATCATTATGGTAAATGAAATGTAAGTTAGCTATTGTATAAAAATGCATTATTTTAACACAGAAATAACTCATTTTAACTTGCATGCCAATTATTTTCTTTCTTATCTTTTGAACAAAATCTTTTTAGGCAAATGCATTTTGAAATTTGATTTGTGTCAAAGCATTTCATATGATGAAAACATGATGTCTGTTTGTTTGTTTTGGGTTTTACGTCCCATCGGCACAGTATAGGTCATATCGCGACGTTCCAGCTTTATTGGTGGAGGGAGACCTCAGGTGCCCTTCCGTGCATTATTTCAGGCACGAACGGGCACCTTAGTAGAACCACCGACGTTCCGTAAGCTAGCTGGATAGCTTCCTCACACGAAAGAATCCAAAATCCCGGTCGGGATTCGAACCCACAGCGGTGAGTGGCAAGTGGTTTGAAGTAAACAACCTTTACCACTCGGCCACGGACGCCCCAAAACATGATGTAGATGCAAATAAAAATAAACACAAGTATAAATAACATGTTTTTAACATGTAGAACAAAATTAATTTATTATCTTTATTATATTTTGTGAAATGATACAAGATCATGAAGAAGTAATAAACACGAAGGCAAGAAATAAGTTTTCGTAAATTTTATGTATTACATCAAAAATACATTAAACTATTTACGATCTGAGCACGAGCCTCCACTGTAATTAGGGCAGCAAACTGCGACTGTGAAATATCTGTAAATATAATATAACTTTATCGAACAGAATATGTCATATTTTCTTGTATTTTTCTTATTTGTCATTTCTGCATTTTTAAATGATAAAGGGAAAAAAATAAGGGAAAAATTCTTGAGATTCGTATCAATTATTCTAATATATCTATAAATCAATATTATCTAATTTCCCTTATTTATATAAATGAAAAGTTAATAAATTATTAAGTTTATCCAAAAGGAAATGCACAAATTACTTTGTTTCACAGCCCCATCCCCACCACCAACCGGAACATGTCTCCCGAGATCCCTGTTGATATTCGTAACAAGAGCCAGCATCTGATCTGAAATATGACATCATTATCAAGGAAATTGTCTAATGGGAAGTTGGTGTTGTCAAAGATCGTTAACAACTGAACTTATGTTTATTTCTATAAATGTTTAAAGACAAGTATACCAATTAAAAGCAAATAATTCCGAAAACTCATAACTAGACACCAACAGGCTTCCCCCCCCCCCCCCGAAATCCTACATGTAACCATTTTCTTAAAGATCGAATGAGATTGAGTATATTATTTTGAACTGCTGTTCAAAACCTTCATGAATAAATATTGATGAAAACTATTTTTTCATGTCATGTTTTCTTTTAAATGTCTTTACTTATAACTAAGGGAGATAAATCTACAGTAAAAAAACATTTCAGTTAATGTTCTGTGAAGTTATCCCTCTTGGTAACAAAATAAACATTCTCTTGTAATTTTATAAAGAATGGCTTAACATTAATGCATGGTATTTTTATCAATTGTAATAAAATATGAACAGATGATACTACAATAAAAATCTTTAAATATCCCTCTATTAACTTAACTAAAATACCAGATTTTGTGTTTTTGTCTTAATTTATCGGCATTTATTTATTGTTTTAGTAAATATATCAGCATGTACATTATATGTGACTTTGCCAGGGACGTTGTGTCTTACTCTATCTCATGTTTGTAAAATTGTCTATTGATACTCACGTGATTAAGATATATTCAAATTGTCTTACTTTTTTGTTTTGGCTATCCTACACGTCATTGATACGGTATCTTACTCCATTATGATATAACATCTTTCTTGATGTTATTTGCCATAATATAATTATCTTATCCCATATTTTTCAACTATCACTCCATAAAATGAGTTTTGTATAATTTCTTAGTGTCATTTTAGTGATTAAAATTTTAATTGAATCTTTCTTAGATCTTTTCGGTGTGTTAGATTTATCTCAAGCTGGTGTCGTAGCTTGAACCCACAACATCTGGGTTGCTTAATAAAAAAGTATACAAATTTGTTTTATCAACAAATAATGGTTGCAATTTATAACACTGCCTAAGATGACTTCAATTTCAACATTTCAGCACAGCAAATTCTTTCCAATTTGATAAAAAGTTAGTTCCAAGATCACTTACCAGTAACGTTGATTTTGACATAATACCAGTTTTTATGCATGCATTTGAATAGTGCGATATTTAACGGTAGTGATGCGACATTTAACGGTAACGGAAACTATTGCGACATTTAATGTTACAATTGTGACATTTAACGGTACAATATTTTGCGACATTTAACGGTGGTTGCGACATTTAGCGGAAAGTAACAGGGTTTTATGAATAAATACTAGTTGAGTTATAAACTGTCTAGTAAGTTTATATTAGGTTGGCGTTTTATAGGTAGCTGATGTTAAGCTGCGGTCTCACTTACTCCCGACAGAGCCCATGACCACCCGGGTAAGTTACCGGGATGATCCGGGGTGAAATTATTATTGCGGTCACACTAACCCCGGCAGCACTACGGTAATTCCTAACCAACCACCCAGGATGCGCTCCGGACCATCCAGGCAGAGCCCAGGTGAAGCTACGGTTCATGCCGGTGCTTCCCCGGTCATTCCCGGATGACGCCGGAAGAGCCCTGGTTGACCCAGGCAGAGCCCCGGTCGATCCAGGCAGAGTCCCCACAGAGTCTAGGACGATCCAGGCAGAGCCCCTGTAGAACCCCGGTGGAAAACCCCGCGAAAATTATTACATTGATACATAATTTTTATATAATATAATAACACTAATTCACTTACTTGTGAAGAACAAGCAATTACTCCATAGTTTACTAAACCCAAATGGTAAAGGTTAGGTGAACTGCCTACCGATACATAACTTGAATAATTTTGAGAGAAACAAAAACAGCTTCATCCTTAAAACAAACTTTACTTTTAGTGAAAGTAATATTTTTGGAAAGAAAGCTGCAGGAGATGACTTTGTTTCGATATGCATCAATGGTATTGCCGTCCTTTATATCTCATAATGCATAAATTGTTAAAATAGCAAAGAAATGTCAAATAGAATTGCGGAAATAAATGTCGAAAACTTGCTTTTATTTGACGCTACATTGTATATAGTTTGGCAAATGTGTTAGGTATACCGAAACCAAATTATAAAGAAAGTTTGTACTCATTAACATCGGCGAAACACAAACTTTTACTTAAAAAGGTAGCCAGTCGTTTTTCCCACAAGTTATTTCGAAATGAAAAATTATCACGGAAATATATGTTATGACTTGTAAGAGTTAGAATATAATGTAATAGCAGCCGTTTGCGCAAACTTATTTCTTTTAATTTGATGAACAGGTACTTTAAAATATGTATCGGTCCTTTTTCCTATTTGAAGAGGTCATCATCTCCCCTCCCCATACATTTGCAAAATGCAGTGTTATTTTTGCACATTTTCTGCATTATTTCAACCACCCTGCGTTACGGGATATACGTATACGGTGATTATGTAATTATAGTTAATATTTGTGTGCTTCAGTTTCTCGACTTAGCAAGTTTTCTTTTGTACGGAGAACAATGGAAAAACAGGTCATTAAATATTTGCAGACATGTTAAGAGGAATAGACCGGTTTTAACAAAAGTGCCGGTAAGGGACATTGGTATTGTAACAAGGTAAAATTATGATCTGTTCGCCTTTGATGACATTCTTTTTCAAGTAATCATATGATATTTATATAATAATACCCAACATAACTAAGTGAGATATATATTATTTCGTGAACATTGTATTCTATAGATATAATTATTTGCAACGTTTACTTACAAAAAAGTTTATTTTGGTTTCATAATAATAGATTATATCATTCTGAAAATTTGTTCGTGGGGGTACTTAAAGCAACATGCCTCCAGATTCATGCTTATTTTGATAAAAATATAAAATGTATTCAAATGTAAACCATTGTGAAGTGGACAAAGAAAGTAATTTAAACACTAAATCCACTTAAATTTATAAAAAAAAGACAGGTCAAAATATTAAAAGCTCTTACTGCGTTACTTACGCATTAAAAATATGGTGTTTAATATTGCAGAATCCGTCATTAATCGCACATAACATGTACATTATTACTTGAACCTTGAATCCTTTTACTTTTCTTAAAATCTTTGTCCTTATTTCAAGTTTTATTTTCATTTTCACAGCTTTAAAATTCTTCATGATTCAATAGAAATTTTCAAACACATGCTAAGAGTTAATTATGTTCACTTAAAAATTACATATAGCTTCTTAAATACCCATAAATATGTCAGATAATAGTTAAAAATTATGTATAATCACTATCATTTGTTGAAAGATAGCCTTTGAACCTATTCAATCATTTAAGCAGCACTTGCATTGTAATGGTACAATTATAGCATTGTTCGCTATTATAGGAATAAATAAGGCAGTGTAATAGTTATAATCAAAAAAAGCTAAGGACACACCAATATAGAAAATAAAGTTGGGCTCGAACCCACAGTCTTGTGATTGAGAGGCAAACATCTTAGCCATTAGGTCACCACAACCCCTTATCATTGTATCATCCATAATTTCATCAGGAAAATATCTCGCTAGAGCTTTAATAGCACATATGCTGCAATCATGCAAAAAGCAAAGTTACGTAGAATGTGTAACTTATGCTGTAACTTAACACAGCTGTGATTATTTCGGCCGACTATGTCCCACATAATACGGTCCGACATACCACCATTTAAATTAAAAAAGGCTGTGCCCTGTAAACGTTGAAGCAATTAAAACACTATAATAATGGAAATAACAGGTACAAAGTTATTTTAGAAGTGCATATGTACCTAATCTATCGTGCTGGTAAACACACATCTATTTACATTTACTTCTAGATATTTTCTTTGATACACTGATTTATGACTAAAATGATTTAAAGTCTTGTTTGCTTTTGTTACTTATTTTCTAACCTGCAAACATTCCTGGCATATTGATTACCGGGAATAGATACAAAAATTCCCAAAAACCTGAACTTGTAATTCATAGCAAACCCGTTTATGTTGACAGAGAAAGTACATTATGCATGCCAACTAAGAAGGGCTATTTACTTTAAGAACGTGTTTTTGCACAATCAAAAGTACTGCTTTATAACTCATGAAACTTAAATGCAAACAAATGAAAATGTATTTGCGTATACCATGTATACACGTATCGCTAAACATGTCTATGCATGAACCCTTGCCATATGTAAGAAGTCTGCGTTTATTTAAACAAAGTGGCCGGCAATATTATTGTATTTCTTTTTTTTTTTAAAGCATTTACATTCTTTCAGCCTTTTTTAGTTATTTGACGATTACATATATTGTATATTTCATTTTATAACAACAAATTAGTTTTTGTTTCACAAAATGACTTGAATATGGCGTTTCCTCATCCTCCCACATAGTTAAACCATAGGGAACAAAAACAAAGAAATTGAACAACTAATAAAGCAAATTGAAGATAGTAGAGTGCTCACAATAATATACCTATGAATGGAAACAAACAATGTGACCGTGTTGTTACCGTCCTGCTGTAGATTTTTTTCATTTTAAGTTTCCATTCATATGTTATGTAAGTTTGAATATAGAAATAAACTCAAGTTTCAATTTAACAAGAGCTGTCGGTAGGACAGCACGCTCGACTATTCTAAGTGCTTGATAGTAAAAGAGCCTTGATAATGTTAAATTTTTTAAGTTCACAAAAGGGCTAATTTTTTTTATAAATTCATGTTATAGGCCTTAGAGAGAGTCTAATTATACAGTATTGGCTTGACTATTCGGAAGGTAATGTCACAAGGGTGTTTTATTGAGTATAATAATACTAATTACCTATGAATACATAAATTGGACAGAAAAGGTACAAAGGCTTGTTATTAAGATGTTTTAACAAGTAAATCACTGCTTTATTATTATGAATGCATAAAATTGTCCCAAAAAAGGCACAAACCCTTCAGTAGTTATTGAGATAACAGCTTACAAGCAAAACTTTACCATGAAGTTGAAAAAGGGGAGAAAAATCAGCCTAAATGCAAGATAGAATTATGGATCTTTGTCAGTGACCTACAATTATGACCCTAAATGCATATGTGAAGTTTTAAATAAATATCTTTATTAGTTATTGAGATATGTAAAACTTGCATGTAAACATTAACCAAGAGACTAAGTAGAAAAGGGGATATGAATCAGCCTTAATGCAAGATAGAGTTATGGAACTTGGTCAGTAACATACAATTATGACCCTCCAATTATGACCCTAAGTGCATGTGTAAAGTTTCAAGTAAATATTTTTGAAGACCTTTAACCTTTAACCAAAATTTCTAAGTTTCAAAGGGGCAAATTATTCTGCAATATTGCAGGCAGAGTTATGCAATTTTGAAAACTGATGTACATTGTTACTATAAAAGTGTTTTAAATTTCAATTGAATATCTCAAGCAATAATTGAGATATTTGACTTTACAAAAAAACTTTAACCAAAATTTCTAAGTTCCAAAGGGGCATAATTCTGTCAATATTGTAGGCAGAGTTATCCAACTTGTCAATCTGATGTACCTTGTAACTATAATTGAGTATTGTCAGTTTCAATTGAATATCTCAAGCAATAATTGAGATATTTGACTTTAACCAAAATTACTAAGTTAAAAAGGGGCATAATTCTGTCAATATTGTAGGCAGAGTTATCCAACTTGTCAATCTGATGTACCTTGTTACTATAAATAAGTATTGTAAGTTTCAATTGAATATCTCAAGCAATTATTGAGATATTTGACTTTACAAAAAACTTTAACCAAAATTTCTAAGTTAAAAAGGGGCATAATTCTGTCAATATTGTAGGCAGAGTTATCCAACTTGTCAATCTGATGTACCTTGTTACTATAAATAAGTATTGTAAGTTTCAATTGAACATCTCAAGTAATAATTGAGATATTTGACTTTACAAAAAACTTTAACCAACGCAGACGCGGACGCGGACGCTGACGCCGACGCCGACGCCGGGGCGACTAGAATAGCTCTCATATTCTTCGAATAGTCGAGCTAAAAATGTATTTTTATTTGAAAAATATACAACGTTTCGACTCAAATGCCCTCATGAGGTATACTTTTTTTTACAGGAAATGACGTTCATATGTTAAAAATTATCTAAGCCCACTTAATGTTTCAAAAGAAAAAAACCCACTGTAAAACTCTGTTTCACACAAACTGACTACCATTTTATAACTATATAACTCGTTTATAATATGACCGACCACTAATATCCGTTTAAAGTATTCATTTTAACATGATGTCATTTCTGTACATTAAATAAAAACATTTTTGAAGCTTAAACAAGCAACAATTTAGTTTATGTTTATTCTTTAGTTCATTGTTAATGAAAAGTAAAAATATTGCATCTGCATTAGTACAGTTTAACTTTAAAACTAAAACCTGTACATGATTACAGTATAATAGACTCACTTTTAAATTATTATTGTATAAGAATATTTAATTATTTTGCAAAGCAACACATATATAAGCATTATTTTTCCTTCTTGAAGAAATGTGAAATTACATCTTTAGACTGTGACAATAAGGAAACACCGTTTTATCAAAAACATGATAAAATAAATCTCAAACAGTTTATCTATATATCATCATTATCATGTTCTATAATCGCCTAACATTTGATAGAGCATAATCGTGATGAAAACATACTCGCGACGTATATCTCATTAAACGTCACATTAAAAAACATTTTTCATTTAAAAAAATAATGTGTATCAAAATCGTTAATGAAAGAACTAGGCAGTCTATATTCGCTATAACTTTAAAGAATAAAGTCAACTCTTTAAAAGGGTTTTAGAAATCGTTTATATGGCAATAGATCCGCTTTCGTCAGAATATATTTTTCGTTATTTACTTTACGCTGAATATCTTTAGATCTTTAGCCTTCAACAATGCAATGAAATTATGTTGGTTATGGGACCAAATCTTAATTGACGAATGGAATAGATGTTATTGTTTGATGAGGCCATTATCAAGTTAAGATATGTTATTTGTGTTTAACGATGGTGCATCTTTATGTGTCACCTTTTTAATTATATTAACTGCAACAACCACCAACAACTCAATTGAAGCTTGTATGGAGAAAAAAAAATAAAGTTAAAATTTTCTTCAATACCATTACAATTAGCTTTTCATTTTATTTTTGATCCCTTACGCTACCCGGTGAGGAAAATGGAATGTAGTAAAGATGTAATTTACATGAGATTTTATCATAATTTGGAGGCCTTTCTATAATAATTGAAAATGTGCCAGAGTTAAATCGTATACCCATAAATGAACTGTGTATTAACTGGAGTGCAGGTATTAATTATGCACTCCAAAATTACCGCACTGTCGGTCGGTTATAAACATAGCGCATGCTCGTTGATTACTAACATTTTTCTAGGGTTTACTTTTTATGACGAGGAAAGGGATAATGACAGACAAATTGGATACTCGTATATTGGTTAATTTGTTCTTGGGTTTTATATCGTGCCGACCAGGAGAGTGTATTATTTTTGCTTGAATGCAAAAGAAGAACATCAAAACATTTAAAACATTTAGCTATTTAGCTATCTTATTTATACGAGCGGGCTATGCCCCCCCCCCCCTTCGTACAGATCAGACATTCCCGTGTTTAAACTTAGACGTTTTCCTGCATTTAGAAACATGACCAATCGAACGCGCTCCCTGCGTCTTGGGTCTTAACAATCTCCTTTTAGTTAAGGCTTTTTTTAACCCGTTTACGCCACCAAACTATACAGTAAACCGATGAAAACCAACTATATTGAAGCTATAATGACAATTTGCTATACTAATATCTATATGCCATAAGAACACTACATAGTTGTCTTTCCAGAAAAAAATCTTTAGAAAAGTACATTATTTAAATCAATCAAATAGGTTAGCAATTTTCAGAAAACAGACATTTTCTTTAAAAAATGTATTTTTGTAACACAAAAAAAAAATCTTTGTTAAACAGTTGAATAATCTTACCTCAAAGCTATAAAGCTCAGAATGATAAGCAATTGTAGAAATGTGCTGGTCATTTTTAGACAATCGCCTTTAACATATGTGCTTAAACACTTAAATCCATTTTGAAGTACTTTTTAAAAGTTATAATTAATGCACACTGGATGCCATTCAGTCGCATTACTGGGGTTTATCGATTTCAGTTATCGACCATTTTGATTGGTTTATATATATTTTTAACCAATAGAATGCAAGTATTCGACTTCCTTGTTGAACTTAGACATGAAGACATTTTGACCAAAGCATTTAGCAGGAAATGACGATGTTTTGGTAAGTCAAAACTTTTATTTGATTATTGACATTTAAAAACGAACAAAAAATAATAATAAAGATAGCTTAAAAGTATAGCTTCTTTTATACCATTGCCGGTGTTTTTTTAAGTATAGATAAATTTTGTAATTTTTTTCTTGTTCATTTAGTTCATTGATTGAATTTTGTGAAGCATAAAAATGCAGCTATTATCGTGAACAATATAATGTACTCTATAATCTTTCCATACAAATAAAGTCAGAGAATATAACTTCATTGTTAATCTTTAAAGACGTTAAGTCATTAAATGATAACATTTTCAAAACTGTGCAGTCAATTTGGCGTTATATAGTAATATGCATATACAAAGGCCTATCAATTATAATATTATCTAAATATTGACATATTTAGTATGTTAACATTTTATTTTTGGTCACTTTAATGTTGTGAATATATTGCAGATTCTATATTTGATTAAACTGAGTTAAACAGTGCCGTGTATCTCTTTTTATCCTATTAAACAAGGTTGCCGATGTTTTATCTATGTTATATATTTTAACAAGACAAAGTACTGTCGTTCGAGAAATATTTGATTTGCTGGCGTATGAAAGTTTTTTTTTTCTTATAAAGATAAACATTTAATTCAAGTTCCTTATATAATGTTTCATTAAATTAAAATATTATTGTAGATCACAAAAAAAGCAAACATGACATTGTTAGACAAAAGACCCGGCCGACTCTGGTTGTGTCTATTTGTCCTCGCAGTCAGCCCTATAATTGTGACGTCATTCGTGAACTATGAACCTGGCTATGAATATATTTACAACATTGACTCAGCTATAGAACTTTCAGGAGTACAGTCATTTGTTTGTAAAGGAAAGGTAAATGTAGTAAGATTTTACAACAATAAAATGTACAGTTTATCAAATAAACATACATGTATACGGTAAAGTAAAAAGGTCATGCGAGTGATTAAAATTCGCAATTTGACGGATTTCGCGAAAATAAATGTAAGAATTTTCCATAAATAACGAACAGAACTAAATGTTGAACATTGCGAAAATTTAAACCTCGTCAAAGTTGGCAAATATTTGCTTTTACACCATTTTACTTTTATTTTTTCATATATATAGTATTTTGAGGTGTATTGCTTTTAGAATAATTCTGCATCATTATTGAATATCATAACATCAACCTTTATCCATAAGGCACCTCATTGTTATCTTTAAATTATCACTTATGAGAGAGTGTGACATGTAATAAAAAAAAACAATGGCACGAAATTAAGTTATGATATACGCGTGAACTGTAATCATATATTTACATATATGATATTTTGTATTAATATGTTCCGATGTTGTCATTCACCTAGATTGGATTCACAAACATAGCAGAAAATGAGGGATATCAAGAATTGTTACTGTCTGTGTACTTGCTGAAGTTTAGTCCAGAAGGTCAACCAGGTAAAGTTAATGTTTCAATAAAAAATCTTTTATTGACCAATATATTAAAATTTTTACAAAATACTTGTATGTTAAACCAAAGGTTAATGTTAAGATTCTAAAACTCTCAGTATGTATAATTTATAGGATCTTAATTGGTAGCAACAACTCAATTAAACCATGATTTGCACGTGAAAGTACATGTATTATATACCGTTGAAAATATTATTGATTTTTTTAACCCGCACGATTTGCATGTGCAATAAAATTTAAGCAGTAATTTACAAACATGTGGTTTTTAGCTCGACTTTTCTATGAAAAGGGGAGCTATCCTACTCGCCCCGGCGTCGGCGTCGGCGTCGGCGTCGGCGTCGGCGTTGGCGTCACACCTTGGTTAAGTTTTTCGTACCACCCCACTTTATTTCAGAAGTATTACAAGTATGGCTTTGAAACTTACCATACTTGTTCACCATCATAACCTCCATCTACAGACAAGAGTACATAACTCTGTCAAGGTTTTTGACAGAATTATGGCCCTTTTTTGACTTAGAAAGTGTATTGAGCTTGGTTAAGTTTTTTGTACCACCTCTTTTTATTTCAAAACCATTGGAGGTATTGCTTTGAAACTGACCATACTTGTTTACCATCACGACCTTCATCAACAGACAAGAGGACATAACTCTGTCAAGGTTTTTGACAGAATTATGCCCCTTTTTGACTTAGAAAATACATTGAATATGGGTAAAATCCACTTATTGCCTTAACCCTTTGAGATATTGCTTTGAAACTTTTAATGCTATTTCACATCATTACCCCCATCTGTACGCAAGAGAAGGTAACTCTGTCAAGGATTTGTTTTAAAAATTAAGGCCTTTTATCGACTTAGAATCTTGGTTAAGTTTTTAGTACCAGTCCACTTTTTGACTGAACTGTTTGAGATATTAATTTGAAAGTTGGAATACTTGTTTACAATCATGATTCCCAAACATGTCCAGGAGAAGGTAATTCTGTCAAAGATTTTATTTGAATTATGGCCCTTAACTGTCAATGTTTTGTATTATAGGCAAGCACTAAAAAACTTAAAAAATCTAAAAAAATTCATTCCTATCCATTGGCCATTGTTCACTTTAAAAATACAGAGATTCTTGTATTGCCTTTTACTGCAAAAACTTTTTTTATTGGCAAGCAATAAAAAAGTCGAGCGCGCTGTCTTACGGACAGCTCTTGTTTATACTGGTTGTAAACATGGCTGAGTTATATTGTGATTTGAGAGAGGAGAAAAGAGCTTATTACAAAATTCATGGCTTATTGGGTAAAAGGGCGTCAGAAATATAAACGGATCTAGATTTAGTTTATGAAGACGATGGCTTTCCATATCGTACAATTGCCAGGTGGGTGTGAATGTTTAATGAAGGTGGAACTAATGTTCAGGACGATGACCCGCCACTTGACTTATCGGGCCTTAGTGCATTAGATGTGTTTTCCATCTTGGTTAAATCTATACATCAAATCTTGCCTCTGCGGTCGCCGGTTCTAAACCCGTAGTGCCATCGGAAGAGCTCCATACCAGTGTATAAACAGTTTACCCAAAGAACAGTTCAAGAATGCTCTTTTCGGAATGGATTCTGAGGCTGGAAAAGTGTATAAAGGTCCATGGTGAATATTTTGAAGACCTCGACTAATAATAGTCTCACTATATGTTTACTTTATTTCTTTCACAGAAGGTGACAGTCATCATGAAGACTTTTCAAAATGGTAATATATTCATTTTTTCAACTAAAATGTCCACATTTCATATATATTGATGTTCATTTTTTTTAAATTATGAATATTGCCATTGTAAAAAGAGTTAAATGATTTTACCTAGATATATATCACTCTCATTTTTAAACATGATGTATACAAGTTCAATGTGTAATCATTATAGTAGTTTCAGTAAATTTAAATCAAAGTTCTGCACCTTTTGGATTGATTTAAACGAACCATGTCTTACTACTGGTGTGGAGATTCTATCACCAAACAGACTGACTCAGATCTGTTTAGTGCTGATGTAAATATCGTGGTTGATTGACCAGGGCTCGGGCGCTAACAGTCGATGGTCTGCGCACGACCAATTTCGGTGATCGCCAACCATAGAGACCGCGCATATGCTGAGGGTTCGACTACAGTAAATTCGTGACGTCACTAATCTTGTTAAGTTTTCGCGTTGTCTATAAAATGTCTAGTTGATCTACTGTCACCATTGTTAGCACCCGAATCCTACCAATAGCGGTCAATTTGTTTGCACTGCAATGAATGATCGTATAATTTCTAAATCAAGGTTTTCATTTGAAATAAACCGCAATGGGGAAATTCGGACAGTTTATCATCCCCCGGATGAAGACAGTGAGGTTCTGATGATGAAGAAAGGGTTTGCTAGCATGATTTCTGCCAAACTACACCATCGTCACGAGGTACATTTTTGAATCATTTTTGAATTGTTAGAGATTTAATATGCAGTAAGAGATGTAGGTGTCATTTCTATATGAGGCAAAGTATGAACAATTCCTAATATGTAATATATGATTTTTTAATTCCATCGGGGTCATGATATATGTTTTCCCCGTGAACGAGGGTTTTAAAAACGCCTCGGATAAAGAAAACAAGCTATCGATAGTTAATTTTAATAAAACTAGTCAAATATCCCCTTAACATCAATTGTAGGTTGAACACCATGTTGGCAAGGATGGACAATGGGAATATGCAACTGACGAAATAGGCAGAGAGGGTGAGTAATAGATATGTCAAATGACGTAAATGTGTTTTACTTTTAAAAGCACAATTTAATTATAACTATGTTAGAAAGTAAATATCTTAAATAAATGGGGTAAATGAAAAGTTAAAAAAAAAATGACATCTCTTAGAATAAATTGACATGTATGATTACCTACTGATCTTGAAGTAATTGAGTCTCATACTGTATTGCTTTAAGAAAGAAACGGCATATTTCTTAACGTAACAACTTTCAATTGTTTTCCGTGATTTCGTTTATATATATTTAAATTGTGTACTTATATATATTCAGGCCAACACCGTGCTTCTTATGCAGTAAAGGCAACACCGACAGGGGTTATGTACATAAAAACCAGAAATTCCACAATCAAACATGCATTAGATGGAAATGGAACATATCTAAAGGTAAACTTACGCAACAGATTTTAAATACATGCGAGTAACTAATAGCTGCATTCCAATTAACATACTGTGCATGTATTTCAATTATTTGGGATAACATTGAATTATACTGGTACTTTCGCTTTAAATATTAAATGTCTAAAAGGCAAAGCACTTAGGGCGATGCACACATTGTTAAAAAATATCAAAAGATATAACATTCGTCCGGATATTTCATTGTAACTTTTTGATGCATTCGTAGGATCAATATTAAATTATGGTTGTCCTATTTTGGGGTTTACTAAGTCTTGTGAAATAGAACGCATTCATTTACAGTTTTGCAAAACAATCCTTGGTGTAAAACAATCGACAAGTAACGCAGCTATATATGCAGAATTAGGTCGCTATCCTTTATATGTATTTCGTTTTGTACATATTATTAAATACTGGGTCAAGGTTATCAATACGGATAATATGCTATTAAAATCAGTTTATGCACATTCATTGGCGCAGTATAATTATGGTTGAAAAAATTGGGTTTTCCATGTTAAAAAACTGCTCGATGATTGTGGATTTAGCTCTGTTTTTGTAAATCATGAAAACATAAATTTCAAATTATTTGTAAATTTGTTCAAGAAAACAGTAACGGATTGGGGCTTACAGACACTATTTGGAGATATTGAGAAAAATGAAATACTGAAATCCTTGTATCGAGCTTTGGTATATCGGATTACTTGATTAAAATAGATTCGTTTAAAATACGTAATAGCATAACTAGATTGCGCGTGTCGTCGCATAATTTATTTATAGAATCTCTTAGATATGGGCGTAATCGAAAACCAAGAAATGAAAGATTATGTTATTTCTGCGGTGACATAGAAGATGAATTTCATTTTATAATCACATGCAAAAAATATTCTGACATGAGAAACAAATTCATATCAAAATATTATGTGAAAAATCCGAGCATGTACAAATTTATTGATTTATTAAGTTCTAAAAAGAAAAAAGTCTTGTTAAATTTTGAAAATTTTATAGCACAAGCCTTTAAACGCAGGGACTTAAATCAACCGAATCTTCAGAGACATAATTATAAATATGTTATCTTGTTAGTAATATAACTTTATTTCTTTTCATTCTCCATATTTTGTTAATACAGTCCAAAGATGTATTTGTATCATTGTATGACACTTTGCTACTAAATAATGTTAACTTTGATGATTACGTGATGTTTAATTATATTTGAATGTATGTATCTTGTGACCATGTGCATTTTGTACACGTCTTATATGAATAAACTATCTATCTATCATGTAATTGATATACGATTTAACTCTAACACCTTTTCAATAGTAAAGTCTGCAAACTATGATACAATAGAGGGTTAATGCACCTTTATTTTGTGCATTTATATTAAATTTACAGAAGCACAAGGACGCATTTAATGCCCAAACGCACAAGGCGAATGATTTGATTTTTAAGTTGGGTTGCTTCTGATTACGTTAATGCGCGAGAAAGTTTGCATTAGCGCTATTCTTACATTAAAGTATACTCCAATTCAGTATTTATGCGTTTCGTTATCTATTTTTCTTTTTTTAAAGAAACCATTTAGTCATGTTTTTTTTCATATGCTGGTGCGGTGTCATTTGCAGTAAACTATTTTACATGACACTCAATATCTCGGCAACAATGGCGCATGCTCAAAATAATCTATCCGTCAATGCATGTTTATTTCTTTGTCAATATTTACCTACCTACGCAGTTTTTATGCAAGAATATTTATGGCAAATAATGGACAAGTCAACAAGTAAAGTGAAATAAAAGAAATAAAATAGCTCAGACCTGTGTGGATTTTAGGAATGTAAAGAAAAAATATTATATCTATATTGTTTTCAAACATTATTGAATTGGATATCGTGAGGGATTGATCACGCAGCGGTGACGAACAATTCAAAGCCAGGTTTAAAAACCACACTCTAATTTTAGCCAACACGCATTTCATAGATACGTATCAAGAAATAAACAATGCACACCAGACTTTTTTGTAACATGCACAAACAGATTCTTTTGATAAATAAGCCATGAAAAGCAAAATTCCTTTGAAGAAACAAAATAAACTATTTTAGTAGGTGTTATGTTTGTTAAATATCACGGACTTTGGGCTAATTTGTATTTCTTTCACAAGAATTTGGCACTCTTTCAGACGTTGCATTATCATAAAAGCCTGAATACCATCCATAGTGTGATGATCAAAGAAGAGCGCAACTTACACTTCTCAGCAAAACCCGGGTAAGCATTAAAAACAAATAAACCCTTTACATTTTTTGCATTTTTTCATTCTCAACATTGATAAATAAGTTTATAATTTTTTTTCTTCAAGAGTGCGAATGTTTCAATGAATGGAGGCGTATTCACGAATTTAAGTTCTACGTGATAATTCATAGATTATTGTTACATTCAAACTGTGCTTAAATATTAATGAAGTCACGTGACATTGATAAAACATGAATGTGGCATTATTTGTATAATTATATCCTCTATATATTTTACTAAATATATACCAAATTTCTATTTCTGAACCATTTCTTTAAAATATATATGCGTTAGCAGTAATACGTATATCTGTTGCATATCTTGAGTCTTTTTTGGAGATAAAAGTTTAATAAATTTGCACAACGTTCTTTTAATAGAATCAAATGTCATATATTTGAATTAATGCACGATTACGCATTTTTATTATGTATTTTCAAAGTCTTCCGATTAAAACACTATGGGTAAAGATGTATTTAAATGTGCCTTCAAAATTAGCAGGAACGTTACAACCCTTCAGAATAGAACACATGTGAACTATTATGAAGTTATTATACATTGTTGTGTACAATACTGATTACTACTGGACGAGTACACAGCTGTCAAACCTATATTGGAAGAGGCCGTAAACTAGTCCAATTTAGATTTTGCACTAATGTAAAATTACTTTTTATATTTTAGTCCTCCAGTTTTTAAGATCTTGACAGAAATATGTTTCTTCGAGTACAATATAGATTTAATATGGATTTTCCGGATTCGGAAATGAAAACGGAGAAGACGGCGTACAATATGAATTTGACATGGATTATTTTAACTCAAGATATGAACACGAGGCTAAAGTTATGATTCAATGATATTTTGTTGGAACATAATGTGGTGAAATAAACGCCAGTTATTGTACTAGTCAGTTGAAAACAATGAATTATCAGGAAAATAATATTTTTTATAGTAGTTTTCTCATAGACGTCATGTTAAAATTATCTTGCTTTTAGCAAAGTTATGTTTGATTTCACTCTTCACAGGATGTGTCATGAAAAGTCACCCTCATACACAATTAACTTAACTAGTCATTAAAGATAACATTGACCAAAGTAAGCGCATGTATTGCTACTACATGAAAACAAAGAAGTCTTAACACGTTCATTGTTGCAATGATAAAACACAAATGCTGACCGTTTATTTTATTCATGTTTCCTATAGGTTTAATCCACTCTACGGGATGAGACCTGTTAAAGCTGTGTCTAATTTTTCGAAAATCGGTATGTATCTATTTATAGTTTTGAAGCTATGCATTATGTTTGCCAATTCTACTTGCCGAATGACAAACGCGTCATTAATGTATTATGAAACAACTTATCCCCCCAGAAGTGGTCTACTTTTTCAGAGTGCATAATAAACAAACCCTTTTTTCCCAATTCAAGATTTATTGAAATAACTTCGATCGTCCTTGTACTATTCAATGTGACTTGTGTTTAGTACATGATTATGTTTGCAATCACGCAATCACGCGATGTATGTAAATACAAGCATTTCTTTATTAAGATCTATTCAAGCTAAATAATTTGCAAGCTGTCTTCGGTCAACCTGACATTTTACGCGAGTTCCTACGCCTACTTTTATTACAAAATAACCCCTCTTTGACATTTCAGATGTTTGAATTTACAAGTTAACACTTGCGTGTTTATAACGGTATAATGACAATTACCAATTGTCCTCGACTCAAATAACGATCATATTTTGTATCTTTAAAAATCATTAACTATAAATGGCAACTCTATATGAAGTTTAACAGTATTGCGAAATTTAAAGCTGAATGCCTCCAGATGTTCAAAAAAAAAAGAAAACAAAAAAAAAATGAACTTAGATTTCAAGAAAAGTACAAATATTCACTATTTAAGTAATGATTTATGAATTGAATAATAAATGGCTATTTTTTATTTTGACCTTTATTTGGTAATAAATTTGGGATCAAACGCGCCGTTTGCATTGTGTTAATTGCTTTCTTTGTTTACTTGACACTATTATATTCTTAAATTCATCATCAAAATTTTATCGAAAATTAGCATGAATATTGAGACATGAATATAGAATGCAAATAAATAGAATGCAAATTAAATCATATGAAGTTGTAAAGAGATTTTGCTTTTAATCATTGTATAACTTTTAATTTCATAAAACAAAAATGGGGCGTCCGTGGCAGAGTGGTTAAGGTCGTTGACTTCAAACCACTTGCCCCTCACCGCTGTGGGTTCGAATCCCGACAGGGACTTTGGATTCTTTCATGTGAGGAAGCTATCCAGCCAGCTTACGGCACGTCGGTGGTTCTACTCAGGTGCCCGTTCGTGCCTGAAATAATGCACGGAAGGGCACCTGAGGTCTTCCTCCACCAGTAAAGTTGGAACGTCGCGATATGACCTATACTTTGTCGATGTGACGTAAAACCCAAAACAAAACAAACAAAATAAAACAAAAATAGATAAACAACAATAAATAGAGCAACACGAATAACAAAGTCAGGTTTATTACAACTATTTCACTTGAATCCATATCATATATCATTTAGGAACACTCTAAGCAGTTATTCATATTCTTCGAAAAAACAAGTAGTTATGATGATGATGATGAAAATAGTAATAATAATAAAATAATAATAGTAATAAATAAAATAATACTTATTTGATATGATAATGATGATGATGATGATATGTTGTTGTTGATAATAATCATTATAATTATAAGATGATTATTATCATTTTCACCGAGTTCATTATGAACACAGTGATAATGACAATGACGACGACGACGATGATGATGACGACGACAAACACAATGATTAAATGATGATTATGATGATTATGATGATGATGAAAGGAATAAAACATTATTTCATTTTTATGCTCCCCGAAAATTTTCGGGGGAGCATATAAACGGCACCTTGTCTGTCTGTCTGTCCGTCCGTCCGTCCGTCTGTGCGTACAAACCATCCGTCAATCCGTCCGTTGTCTTGTCCGGAGCATAACCTGAAAACCCAAAGAGATAATTTGTTGAAAGTTCATACAGTGGTAGAGGGCATTGAGGGTAAGTGCAGTGTCAAAGAACCATAACTCTATTTTGCCCGGTTTTTTAATTATCTCCCCTTATAGAAAAATCATGTCCGGGGCATAACTCTAAAACTATAAGAGATATCAACATGAAACTTTGTAGGTGAATATATCTCAATGGGTAGATGGGCAGTGCATAAGAACAATAACTCTTTTTGTCCTAATTTTGGAGTTATTGCCCTTTGTTAATTTTAAGACGGTGAACTTTGTCCGGAACATAACTCTAAAACTGTAAGGGAATTAATATGAAACATTGTAGGTAGATAGATCTCATTGAGCAGAGGTGCAGTGCAAAAGAACCATAACCCTGTTAAGTCTCATTTTTGAATTATCTCCCCTTTTAGAAAAATCTTGTCCAGGACATAAACTGTAAAACTGTAACTGTATAACTATAACTACTATCAACATGAAACTTTGTACGTAGATATATCTCAATGGGTAAATGTGCAGTGCACAAGAATCATAACTCTGTCTTGCCTAATTCTGGAGTTATTGCCCTTTGTTTATTTTTACTTTTTGAAGTTGTCCGGGACATAACTCGGAAATCATAAGAGAAATCATCAAGAAACTTTGTAGGTTGATAGATTACATTGATTATAAGTGCAGTGCAAAGAACAGTAGCTCTGCCTTGCCTAATTTTGGAAGTATTGCACTTTGAACTTTTTCCAGGGACATAACTCTGAAACTACAAGAGATGTACTTTCCTGTGTCCAAATCCTATCCGGGGAGCATCACCCGGCTCAAACCGGGCTCTTGTTTTATTGATTTACATTTTTTTAATTGTCTGTTTTACTTTTCTCATCATTTATTATATCGAAAACTAATATATAATTTTAAATTAGTTTTGTGTTAATTTATAATTTATTATTATTATTGTAATTCGTATATGGTTGAAATTGCATAACTCAATTCGTCGCTTTTCTGATTTCATTCTGAGATAATACATATATTCATACTAACGAACAATATGGTATTAAAGTTTTCTGAAAAAAAGCAATGAATCATTTTATTACTACCTGATTAAGTGCGTTTTTAATTTATTGATTTCACCAAGCTGTCAAAGGTTAAACAAAATTTTCATTGAAATAAGTACATTGGGTATTTTTACCTAAATTAGGGTTTTCCCCAATTTAACATAACCGCCTTTTAAAGTATAAAGTTCGCGTGTTAAGATCATCTTTCAACAAAACCATTGACATTAGTTATTTGACATTAGTTAAGAATCATCAATGATATCTTTCATTATACACGCGTCATTTCCCAATAGACTTTGTATTTATTTCTTTCGAAAATTAATGGAGCTTGCCAAAAAGAGGTTTTAAAACTAGTTTAAGTAAAGGTATACAATAAATGAATTTAATGACATTGACAGTAGAGTCTATGATTAACATTTTCCCTTCGTGTTTAAGTGATTGTTAAACAAACTTGTGCGGTACAGTAAATCAAGTTCTCTTACACTCTTTTCGAGCGGACCATCCCGTTGTAAAAAATGACATTAAAAGAGGCCACAAATATAAAGTACAAAATTTATCCCCCCCCCCTAAAATAAATTTATCAAAATATCAAAAGTTTTAAAACCATTTTAATAATTATACGATTTATGTAATGATCTACAGAGACTGAATAGGAACGGTAACTTAAGATTTATCAAATTATTCACTTACTGTAGATGATTACAAATAAAATTGTGTTTTTGGATAGCGACGAGCTATAGTCGTTCGTCCACGTGCACATTTTCAAGTCTTTATTCAATACGGACAAGGTATGGATTAAAAATTGATATTTCATTACGATTAACACCGCCTAGTAAACCTTTCTTGCGATACCTGAATTTACGCGGATACACCGCCTCCGTGGTCGAGGGGTTAAAGTCGATAACTTCTAATCCAGTTACCTCTCTGGCGTGGGTTCGATCCCCGGGAGATGCTTTGGTAGTTTAGCGCGGAGGAAGGTAGTCTAGTACTGGTGTAACTCTCCAGGAACGATGGTTAGGAAACTACCCGCCTATATGACTGAAATACTGTTGGGAAAAGGCGTAAAATGAAACAAACAAACAAACAAACATTACGCGGATACCTTGGGCGTACTCTTTGCTTAATCAAGTGTATTGATGAAACGTTTTCTTTAAAAAGTAAACGACATTTTTTGGTTTGGCATTCAATGTTATGAACTAATTTTGGTGAAAACTATGCTATCATTAGTAATAAAATGCACTTTTGGACCTATTAGATGATTTTGCACTTGTACTACAGTTCGTTTTATACCAATAGAATTGAGATTTTAACGCCTTTAACTCGTATTTATAATCTACCCAGACATCAAACTGTTCATCTATCTTTGAAATATCTTGATACAACCAAATGAGTGTTTCAAATGCATAGCAAGGTAATTTAAAGCAAATTTTCGTATTCTTAAGGGTAATGGCTTACAATGATTGGCCTGGCACAATTGCCTGCTGTTGAGATACAATGAACTATCAACTCAGACTTGGGTGTTATATATTTTTAAAAATCCTATCTCTATTAAAGAATTATTTATATTGTAAAACCACAGTCAATATCACAATGAACGTTCATTTTGTCATGCCCACCTATTAACAGTAAGATATTTAGAGCATATTCAGTTAGTTTCCTTCTTCAGTTTTTGATAATGACTTAAATGATTTTCCTCCAAGGTAAAAGCAGTTACTTATATTTGTATCTAAATCTTATAAAATCGTTTAGGAAACAAAAATAAAATTCTCTTGTTTATTTACAATTTGTAGAATTTCCACAAACCACAGCAAAATCAAACGACAAAATGACGTTTGCAGAGAAAACTCCATTTACCCGCCAATTTGGAAGACCGAAAGGAATAAAAAACAGCGCCATTCACGATATGCATAAGGTATGTTGACTCTATAACTGTCTGAATTCTTTAATTATTCATCTGTCGGACTTGTGTATGTTAAAAGGTGTCTGGTGCCGTGTGGCATCCATAAAAAGTTGGCTCATACTTCCATTCAGTGTTGTTATAGTTTTCTAGTCCCTCGGAATCACTAATTCCAGCAGTTTTTAAACTTGAAAACTTACTACCGCTCAAGCTGATACTAGGGGCGTGAGGGATGTTGCACATTTTCATTATCCCTCACGAAAAGACTCAATAAAACCAACTCTGCATTTTCATTTTGCTGATTTTTGTGCTTCCGAGGGATCACTTTTCCAGATATTTAAAAACCTATTTTCTACACGGAATGTCTATTTCAGATAAAGAAACGAGCTATGTACGAAGCAAGAAGTGAAGAGGCGAGAAATTATGTTGCAGGAAACATGACTTGCATAAGGAATCAACCAGAAAAAGGTATTTGTTAAGATGATTTATCTATATGTTTAATATAAATGCCCCGAAATAATAAAAAGCTCGCGTATTATATTTTTCGACATAAAACTGAGCAAATACAATTCACCGGGAGTACAAATATGCTAAAAGAATTTTCAAGTACCCCGGTTGTAAAGCTGCAGGAGGTATGTTTATTGTGTCGCCTCTACGGAGTAGTGGCGACATATAGGGATCACTTCTCCGTCGTCTGTCTGTCAGTCCGTCTGTCTGTCTGTCTGTCTGTCCGTCCGTCCGTCACAAAACTTGTCCTGACTACTCCTCATAAACTACTGGTGCAATTTCATCCAAACTTAACAGGAATGATCAGTACCAAGTCTAGTTGTGCATATTGTCAGCATTTTCCGGTTCAATGATTTTGTCAGAGTTATGGCCCTTTAATAATTTTTATTTTTAAAGTTTGTCCAGACTACTTCTCTTATACCACTAATGCAATTTTAATGAAACTTTTCAGGATTGATCTGTAGCTCAAGTCCTTGGGCATATAGCACGGGTTTTCCGGTTGAATGATTTTTGGCGGGGTTATGGCCCTTTGAAAAAAAGGTGTTTTTTTCTTTGTGTTGCCAGATACACAAAAGTTTGTCCGGACTACTCCTCATAAACTACAGGTGCAATTTCATCCAAACTTTACAGGAATGATCAGTACCAAGTTCAGTTATGCATATTGTCAGCATTTTTGTGTTCAATGATTTTTGTCAGAGTTATGGTCCTTTAGTAATTTTTATTTTTAAAGTTTGTCCGGACTACTTTTCTTAAACCACTAAAGCAATTTCAATGAATTTTTCCAGGATTGATCTGTAGCTCAAGTCTTTGCGCATATTGCACGGGTTTTCCGGTTGAATGATTTTTGGCTGAGTTATGGCCCTTTGATAAAAAGGTGTTTTTTTCTGTGTGTTGCCAGATACGCAAAAGCTTGTCCGGACTACTCCTCATAAATAACTGGTGCAATTTTATCCAAACTTTACAGGAATGATCAGTACCAAGTCTAGTTGTGCACTGTCCGTCTGTCTGTCCGTCTGTCACAAAATTTGTCCCAACATGAAATTGGCCATCATGAGGCGACACATGTGATTACTGATCGCTCTTGTTATTTATCTCTCTTGTCTTGTCTTATCTACTTAAAACGATTTTGGTGCATGCTAAACCATGCAAATATAATGTATTCAACTCTTTGATTTGTTATAAAGAGTATACAAATAAACTGTATGTCAATGTTTGATATTTTCTATTACAATCATCCATATAAATGTAACTTATTTGAGATTGCGTTTTGTTTCGGAAATGTTAAGTACAACAAGCGATGCTTAATATGAACACAAATGTAGCAAATGCCTTATATCAGAAATAATTTGATTTATACAATCAGCCATTTCTGGTCTTACATTAGCTATGTTAATTCTTTGAACGTGTATTTTACGAAATTAATACATATATTAATCATGTCCATAGGAAGTTTGTTTTCATGCAGACTTGTTTCTAAAAGGAACTGTTACAATTCATGTCAAAGGAAATGATTCTCTATTTCAGGTTCCCCTGAACTGAGCGACTGTTTTCACGATTTGCTCACTACTTTCGAACACATGCATGATTCAGACGTTGAGGAAATAGCTAACACATATTTCCTACGCACGTAAGTGTTCAAAGTTTCAAGAGAGATACACATTAAAGAAAATGAGTCTTTCTCTGATATAATGATTGACTCTATCACATTCTTGAAGATAAACAGGGCTCTATACAACACGAAAATCTAGATAATATAAAATCGGTTCTTTACCATAACATCATAAAAAAGATTGCAGATATATATCACTTCAAAATACTATAATAAACAAGTACCTGTACACATTCAATAGATAGTCCTCTGTTTTCCCTTTTCCTTGTTACTTTGAGACCGCCATAATTAACTTTCACAATACACAAATGTATCCTCATTTAATTAAAACCGAACAACCTCAGCTTTGATGAACAAACTAAACAATCAATATTTATTGAATCAGTAGAAATAAACATTGATGACAAAAAACGATATTGATACAATGTACCGACTTGCAATATGTATGCGGAAAATATACGCCAATAGTTCTAATTGGACTGAAGACAAAACATTTCCTTATTTAGGCTAGTATTTTGGAAAGTAAGCCATACAATATAAGCGCGCGTATGTATCCAATCTTTCGACATGATTTGCTATACCGTTTCCCTCTGTTATTTAGGTCGAGGAAAAAAAGACATGATACATATATAATGGTAGATGTATTCGTTGCATTAAACAAACAAAGTGTTATTGTGAACAAAGTCCTTAACAATCTCCAAAGTGACGAGCAATTGATTATGAGGGCTTTAACATTACTAACTGCCCTAGACCATGAGCCAAAAACGGTGCGTATAAACTTTGATTTTCTGTACCTGTATAAGAGCATGAAACAAATAAAGAAGGGGAGAAGAGGATTATATGCATGTATAAGTAATGTAATACATGTTAATGCTTCATTTGCAGTGAAATGAAAGTATTATATATCGGATCATATGCAGAAAGGCAAGACAGCATACAACTCATGTACTTGTTTTTAGCATGAATGACATGTTTATCAAAATTAAGATACGGAATTATTTAAAATGTCGATCGAATTAAATAATCTGCACGATATATATTGTTGTCATAAACAATATAACAATATATGTGTCATATAACTTGACTTATTAAGATATACTTAATAGGGTACATGTGTAAATCAAGCTAATGGAGATTGGAAAAAATAAATAGATTTCAAATATTGATGATTATATGTACTTTGTTGTTGTTATTTGTTCTTAACTGAAAAATACATTTCAACTTCGTTATGTTTTATCCCCTTGACAGGAACTTCTTACAACGATCGAGAAGTTTTGTTTTAAAGGCAAGAGAGCAGAAAATGTACGCTTGTCAAAAGAGACAAGGCAAGTGTCCTGTCTGACTTTTGGAGGTTTAATTGGTAGTGTCAAGAAATACGGGAAAGAGGGACACGCTGAAAAGCTTGTCGAGTACTTCCATAATGAACTGGGATTACATGGTATAGTAACTTTTTGTGATGCAAGTTAAAGATCGAAAACTGACCAATTTGTTTAAGTAAACGTTTATTAGGCAGAATGATCTTAACAAGGCATTTTCAGTTTGTAAAATAAAGCCAAATGAATTCGAGTTTAATGATAAAAATGGATGATCAATGTACGATCTTCAGTTGAAGAGCAATCATTCTGAATCCATGATAAATAGATACAGCAAAACTGGGTACTTATTCTATGTTAATATTCTATTATAGATCCGTGGATGTTCAAGACAAAAAGGTCAGCAATGACAGAGGTGGAATGTATTGAGTATGACCACGATAAAGTCGTTTTACTGAATGCTATTGGAAACGCCGGTTTATCTGTATCGTACGATTACATCATATCGCATATCAATTCAACAAACTCCCAATGGATTAAACGTACAGGAGTACATGCCCTCAGAACTTTTCAAGATAAGAAGGTTATTGCATTTGAATAAACCATTCAACATGTCATAAGGCTTTTTACACTTATCTTTAATATGGACTAATTTTATATTTTCTTTGGTTTACGATTAGTGTTCGGAGTGTCCATGGCATACGTGACCGAGTGGTTAAGGTTGTTGACCCTCACCATTGTAGCTTCTAATCCCGCCAGGGACTTTTATGTGGGGCAGCAATACGGAAGGTCGTTGGTTCTATTCAAGTGCTCTCTGTTGTCTTAAATAATTCACAGATGTACACCTAATGTCATCCTCCACCAGTAAAGATGAAAAGTCGCCATATGATTTATACTGTTTTGGTGCAACATTATGATCACCACACAAATTCAGACACCCGAAAATGAATGAATAAATAAATGAATAATGTAAATACATAAGTTTTTACTTATCTAATGTAATTTTATACGAATATTATCGAAATGAGATCATTAACATATTAGTTGGATTCATTTTTACGTGTTATTCCTTCTTTGCATATCTTATATGTATTTTGATCATATATTAAATAATTGAAACAACTTCAAATTAAAGAGGATTAATGTTAAAATCAAAATAACTGCCCGTAAATTGACAAGCTTATATTTTATGTAAACAGACACTTCATGAGCTAGAGAAAGTTGCTCTGTACGATGACGATGAGAACGTTCGTTATGAAGCTCTCCTACAATACAAAGCCCACCCGTTAGCTTCACAAGAAAGGTATAGTAGGCCGCATAATGTAAAATTATGAAAGCAAATAATAACATATTGCATTTTCCTTTTAAACACAAAATAATGCCGGTTATTCAACATCATTATTTAGGATATGTTTATCGTTTGATAGTTGTTATTTCTTATGTTTCTATATTAAATTACTGAATGATAGCGATGTTTTCTAAATTGTTATTTCCCTTTTTTCAATTTCATAATGTAATTAAATAAAATATTTTCGAAATTCTAAATTTTGACATAAGTAACTGTTATGTTAACACCTGATGAATTTATTTACTAGCCTAGTTTCTCTGTGAAACTATCTGTATCTTTTGAACCAGTTATCTTATGTTAAAATCGTTTCGAAAATTATATAATATGCTTTTTGAAATAATTACGTCTATATATACACATGCACACAATTTATTGTAGTCGATTTATTTTATTATAATATTATAACGTTCCTTTACGCGCCAAATGTGGCGTCTATTGAGATAGACGTCTGTTTGGTACATCTACATCATTTTTTTGTCATTTATCAACTCATGAAGCTTATTAAAGCTGTTTTGATAAATTGTGTTGGTAATTATGAACACATACATGTATATTAGCCGACCATTAGAAACGTACAAACATAAGCATAATGACATTTTCTGTACAAATCAGGGCCCACCATTCAGGTTCCTATTCCTAAAGGCAAGTCTGTTAATGTTAAAATTTTCAAAACAAAAGTACTTTCAAAACGAAGATCTGCAACAGGATTAGCCAATGTCAAGTTTGCTGCATGACAATGTCAGTGCACACGCCGTTTAGAAACGGAGAAAGTCTTTATATTTGTTGAAGGGGAATATTTGGAGGGGACACAATATAAAATCATTGAAACCTATGAAAAAATTTAACTTAACGTGCTTAGATGCTTTCATATTTGAACACCACAGATTAATAACATATAAATGGACGTATTATCAAAAGAATGTGTGTTTCTCTTTCAGCTATGTTGATGAAGATGGTTTTTCACACCAAGGAATATCTAAACGAGGACTCTTTGACAATTTCCTTTCATTTAGGCTTGAAGCTCCAGGTGTAGACTGGCGAAAAGAATTAGGTTCGAGAGCGATTGGTGGTTCATTCGGAGTCATAATGGAAAATCTACTGGATTTGCAAATGTGTATGTTTTATATTTATAACATACATATCTTGTTTAAGTCAGTGTCATTTGTTGAAATTCAATAGATGAATGTAAATATAGAAGATATTACAATTGATTGTTCATTTGATATTATTTTTGTTCATCACCATCCTTGGTTTTTTCAGGTTATAGTGTTTCATGCCAATGTAATAAAATTTAACGGAAACAAGGCAAGTGTGTTCCTTCCTAAAGTGTGCTTTAGAGAAGGACGATAATGAAGGACGTTAACATATAGCGCAAATCCAAAATTGGTAAAAAATGTCTATACTGATGATGCAGCAATTAAATCACAAACTTTTATAAAATCGTTTCTTTTTTTAATTTCAGCATTGCTAAAAGGCCATATTGATCTGCGAGTGCATGATGAAGCCTATGTTTCAGTTCATGTTGGATTTCTTGACCTTCGTTATGACTTTTTCAGAGCCCGAATATGTTTTAAAGGAGGTGCGAAATATGCGCTGAATATATTAAAGGTATATTCTCAATACCATTTGATAAGAATCAAGGAAACTTCTTATTTTCACTTACTCAGTTATGTGTCATACATTTGCAAAAAAACAGTAAGCAAAACAACAAACTGTGACATAGCATATAATGTGTCCGCATTAACAGAAAGAATAACAGTATCTATTGTACTTTTAATATGAAGCAAATAACAACTAGATAATACATGTATGTGGACAAGTTCACCAACGCTTTACACTTATTGTTCCAATTCATTTTTGTTGTATTTTTATTTCTATTGTCTTTGACAGGAAATGGATCCTGAACTTGGGTTTGATCTCATAGCCCAATTCAAAAATATTGTAAACAAAGTTGTCGGTGCTGTGAGAAATGGAGTTGAAGCATTAAGAAAAATACTGTCAGATTCACTGGCAGAAATTGTGGATGACCTAGTTAAATCAGTGACAGAAATACCAGTAAAGGTAAGTTTATGCAAATGAATACTGATATTAGGAAACTTTTGTATTGTATAGTAGTTCCAAACAAGATATCGTTTAACGCTTCACAAATTTCATTCTTCATTCAAGACCTCGGAAACAAATATCGTATTCATAAACAATTCAGTAAACAGTTATATCATCCGAATGTTATGAATTCTGTTTATAACGTAACGGACAAAAGTACATGAATAACTAAGATCGTTGAATTAAATACAGATGCCACCTTTTTCATGAAAACACGAACAACAGTCAAGTTGTGTTTAGTTTGATCTATATAATATGGCCAAGTTTATTTCTTTAACATTTCTTTTATTATTTCGTCAGGTGTCGGATCTCGGTGGGAATATACAAAGAGTAATGGGAAAGCTAGCAACTTTTAAGATAGAGAGCATGCCTCCATTTGCTAAATCTGTGATGAAATTTGTAAACAGTGTAACAAGCCTATATGATAGAGTTAAGGAAGATGTCCTGAAATTTTATAATGTAAGAAGATGGACTAATTGGTCATACAGTTATAAATTGTATATCTTTGTACAGCTTATACAACTTAAGGAAATATTCATTTGTTGCTTTTTACATTATATGCTGCAGCAACGTACGTTTATTAAAGATAATGTATATACGCACGGACGTCGGATTTCTGCCTACGTATGCATGAAAATGTGTTTCATAATGAGATTACGTAAGAGGTTGTGGTCGACAAATACCTGTCGTATTAAACTATAATATTGGCATTATGAGAAATTATTTAGATGATGATATGACTGTATTAGTCTAAAATATGTTAAGAAACACAACTTTATCATATTAAACTTTTCTAATTGTTGGTTTTATGTGTTTTATTATTAATTGTTTCATTTACAGGCAGTTGTTCAAGGTATTAAAGTGTTAATACCAAAAAGTGCAAAGGAAATATTTGTTTCAGTTCAAGATATTATTAAAGGCTTTATGGACATCTTTAAAGATCCCAAAACGTCTCTTTTTAAAATTGGAGCAGGGGTTATACGGTACTTATCATAATGATAAATTAGCACAACATTTATATCACAAGTCTCGGTAAACGATAAGTTTATGGCAAGAATTAAATGCATTTTTGAATTCACAGCTTCTATATTATTGCAATTATTAATTTTAGAACTATGTTTTATATGTAGTAATTAAAAAAAAGTATTACACTCGTTTATATTTTGAAGTAAACTTTAAAACTTAAATCACGTCTAACAATATGTATTGTTTTGTCCATATAGAATCACTCGTCCAATTGTAATACAAACATTTCAGTATCTACACGAACATCAAACTTTTAAATGGGACAATACAAGAGATAAAGAGTCACACATTCATCAGTGAAGGTATATTTGAAAAATAACTTGCACATAAAATTGACTTTATCCATTTATTTGGATGCATTTAGTACAATATCTGTAAAGGAACACCCTTTAGTCATTACTAAGGTGTGCAGCTCAAGAGAGATTTTAATTATTTTAAAGTCTTTTTGAAGAAGAAAAGAGGGAAATGTAATGTTATGATAATTATTGATTGCTGTTCACTTTCATAAAATAAATTTCACAAAAATGATATATTTTTATTGTATTTATAAAGGCTTAGGTCCATACTGGGGAGATTTGACTAAAGACGTAGAGGAAATTTTTGATCTGTATGAGGATGCATTATCTGCAATTAAAGAAAAAGGTGGTGAATGGATAAAAGAAACAATTGAGAACGACATTGCTGAAAAGATAACAGCGGGAAAAGTTTCGATTGTACGTAGCAGTGGCTTGGCTTGCCTTTTACTTGTCATTTCAATGATAGTATATAACCCATGTTTCTGTAAATGTCTCTTTGAGCAATTAATACTATTGTGGTAATGGTAGTTTATCCTCCCGATTGCGACAGATTCACCAGCAAAGTTCAGGCACCGCATTGTTCCTGGACAGACAAGTACTAGTTGCCAACACTTTCGCACAGAACTGATACCCTCTGTTCATATCAGGGAAGAGGTACAGTGCAAATGATAGTGAAAAGGATTTCATAATCAATTACAAAAAAATGTGATCTGCACCGTCCGTGAATCGAACCCGGGTCGTCCGATTTTCAGTTCAGCACTCTACCTATTGAGCTGAACGGCTTAATGAATTGCAGACGAGTACAAGTTTATATATCTATTCTCTGCTAATGACAATATGCACTTTAGTCTTTGATAACGTTTCTCAATACAAAGTATCAGTATTTTCTTTTTATTTTAGACAATTTTGATTTTGGTTTTAAACATTATGTAACATTTCGATGTACATAAAAACTAATGTTAAACAAATACTATAAATAAAAATAATTATTTCAGAAATCTATTAAAGAGAAAATCGTAGCTGACTTGGAAAGTGAAATTCAAACATTGATATCACCTTTGGAGTATCTAACTAATATAGGCGGAGTTTATCTAGAAAGTTTTGATATACTTGTCAATTCCTATAAAGATCTAGTAGATGCATTCGAGACTTTGAAAACGGGGTAAGGGCTATAATTGTAAGATTGAAGTAATGCATTCTTCGACGAAACTAGTTTTCTTATTTTTTCCCTAGTAAACGGGTAAGGAGCTAATTTACGTTAAAAACAGTTAAAACAGACATACATTGATAAAAGGTCACTCATATATATTTGGTGTAATGATATTTAAGATAATGTAATGCAATGACAAAATTTCGTGTTGAAGCTAATAGGTTAATTCCTATGGTTACCAATTTAAACTAAAACATAAAATTAACGTATATTCTAATTTATCAGACACAAAAAGATTATCTATTCCGTCATTTCTTGTTATTAAAGAAGACAATATCACAAAGCAAATTGTAGAAAAGAAATATTCAATTTAATAGATTTGAGTATGCAAGATCAGTCGTTGATCGAATATTTGGACCAAAATTCCACAAGGATTTCCCTCGGGAGAGACGTGTTCGTGGTGGTGGATGCAGCAAAGACGGGTTTTATCCCTCAAAACTAGGTACTGGGAATAATGCAGATGAATATGAAAATGATGGAATTGATCTTTTAAACAGCACTGGGAATCCGGTATTTATTCTTCTTTTTGCATTTTAATTGTATATATAGAAGTTATCGAGCCAAAAGATATAAAAATGATTTGTGCCTTAAAATATGGACACTTTTATATATTGTCATGTACAAGTTAGCAGGTTTTCTGTCGTTATTTTCTCATTAGCTAAGTTTGAACAGCAGCAGGTCCATCTACTATGATGTTGCTTGTTTCAGGTCTGGCAAGGCGATTTACATTTAGAGGAGACATTCAGAGTAATTATAAGTAAAACATAATTAAGAACTCGTTGGCTCACCAACTGCAGGTTTCTGGCTGAATATAATGTATATTCCTTATACTTTATTAGATAAATTAACACAAATAACAATTTACTGTAAAAGAGAATGTATTTGGAAATATGTTAGAACATGTCTCAATTCTTTTCGTCATTTCAAACTTAGCTCGTCGCACCGTTTTCTGGTATAGTTATTCGCTCAAAGAACACGAACGAAATTATAATGTTGGAATGCGGTGAGTTGCCAGTCGATTCCGAATTGGTGATAAAAAATGTGGAGCCGGAAGAAGATATTATGGATCCCGATGACCCGGCCTACGATGAAAAAAGGGTGAGGAAATATCTGCATATTGTGACAAATGTCATAATCACAACCCTGAAATGAACTTAAAAGAACAAATCCTTATAGTCCATATAACACCATTTTGAGTGTTGATGTGAACGACTTTTAACACACAAATTCTCGTGTTACTTTTCGGCGGCAACAGTGGCTAAATACTTTGTAATGAATAATGAAAAGTTAATATGCGGTGAAAGTATCATCTAATGAATCACATCTGATTGCTATAATATAGTATTTTGTTACACCACGTGTCACTTACTTAAATCACATGCACTCAAATATGTGACTTATTTTTAAATAAAAAAAACACCTATGAGTTGGCTGTTTCATATTGTTATGCATTAGAAAATTTTCTTTTTATGATTAAGTCAAGGAGAGTGACCATAAACTATTTTGTAAAATCTATGTTGTCAGATTTACACATTTTAGGTGTCTGCCGGAGTAGTCATTGGAAAAGTAGCGACATCTCCTTGTAGCGACGATTATAATCACATACATATTTCAATCAAACGGAACGGCGGATTTGTTGATCTCAGCAACTACGTCCCTGAAAGACTAGTTGAATTGCCAAAATGGAAACAAATTTGTGATGATTATCTTCTTGTATACAAGGTGTGTCTCACTTTTTTTTTATAAGATTCAAAATACATATACATATTTCCCAATTTCAGATACCGCATACTACATATGTTATTACTCAAATGCTAAAGATTAGGTACAGTAATTTGACATGTGACAAATAGCCAGATTTCAACATGAATTCCACTCAAACTTATTAAATGATAATAATTTATATCTTATAACTGGATAAATGTGTTTTCTTATCCGCTAAAATGTATATTCATAAGCTGCAGTGTTGGTAAATTAGTTTGTTATTATGAATCTTTCTTTTAAGTTAGGACATATATTTCTTACAATTTAATTTAATGTTTCTATTTAAAAATGTTTTCTAACAATTTCTGTTATCTATCTGAAGGGCGAAACAATAAAAAGTGGAGTAATAGTTGGTCCCTGGGGTCGCGATGAGGAAGATACATCTGAGGATGTTCCAGTTGACGAATCACTTCAGTCAGAGCCCATGTCTGACGATGACACATTTGATGAACACGTACGAGACATAAAAGGTTGTCAAAAGCTATTTGCATAAGTTTTATTTAAATATTGCGTGTGTTATGTCAAAGAATGAAATGGTATTAAACGTGCGTTTAAAGGGAACAAATGCTGTTTGCATTTATATGCTGTTTTTCGTCTTGCAGTTTCTTCCGGCAAATTGTAAATATGTATACCCAAGCGGTCATACTCGTCAGCTATAAAACAAATATCGAAAATACACAATCTGAATAGATCTTTGAGGAAAACCAGTGTTTTAAACATTTTGACTTAGATTTAAGTAGTTATTGAAAATAACAAAAGAATATACTTTTCACTAGAATAAACATTACACTAGTCCCCTAGAAAGTAGAAAGATTAAACAATAAAAACAGATAAAAATCTTTTTACAACATAAGTAGTTTTAAATTATTACTTCATTGGTTAATTATTAAATTATTGAATTTGAATGCAAGTTTTCCGAGGCATGCATGTAATGTCACGATCATCCAATGAAAAGTGACGTTACCAACGTGCAGTATTATAAAAAAAAATTCTCTTTTAAGCTGATAGTATGTACAGTCAGTTAAATAATCGGCGGCGAAAAAGAGAGACATTTGATGAACTTGGTAAGATAATTTGGTATTTGAATATGAGAATTTCGTTTCAAGAAATTCAAATATTTCTTATATAATTTATTGAAAATTGGATTGGATATGATAGAAGGCCAGTGTTGTAACCGAGTGGTCAAGATCGTTGACTTTTAACCACTTGCCCCTCACTGCTTTTGGTTCAAATCCCACCAGAGACTTCTTTAATGTGAAATAGCTATCGAGTTAGCTTAAGAAACGTCAGTGTTTGTACTCACATGTGTGTCTGTATCAGAAATAATAACAGGAACCGGAACAAAACCCAAAAAGCAAACCATACAACAAAAAAACTAAAAAAGAAGGAAAAAGGGAAAAAAATGCTAAAAATTTCTTATTTTAATTGCAAGTGAGTATAATTACATGTACTCTATGGTATATTATGTAGTTTACCGCAAAGAAGTAATGATACATTTTCTCGTTAGTGATATAAATCTCTTTCATTTTCAGGGGCTAATCTGGACACATTTGTAACAAATGTAAAAGGCTTTTTGAAGCGTTTTGATATTCGCCGTGTGAAGTTAGGAGATATTATCACTTTTCTTGATGAACTAGGACTTAAAGAGACAACAGAAAAAATGGCAAAGCTCGTAAAAACTATAAAGGTACAGTTACGTCTTAGTACCCATAGAATATTTAAAACAAAGTTTACAGAATTTCGCGAAAAAAAGAAAAAAACTCGATTTGGTTAAAATATTCATAATCTGCTTTACTTTCAGGCGGCCATAGATCAAGAAACATGTGAAAGTCCCTATCATATGACCGACCCAGAACTAGAAAATGCTCTGTTAAACAGGGGAAAGCAGGCAAAGACCAATAGCAGAGAGGATATGATAAAAGAACTACTCAAAGCTGACCATAGTATGATAATATAGTTTTATAAGTAATTGAACAAAAAAGTAATGTAGCTAAAAAATATTAATCGAACACTCCCAACATACAGTATATTGCATATATCAAGTACATAAAACTATTGTTCCAAGAGACGTTATCGACGTCAATCATCATTTTATATTGAATAAGCTGTTAAAATTAACAAAACGGCAATTATAAATTAATGTTTTTAATGTGTAATATGCATTCTTTACAGGCTGTCCATTTATTTCCTTTTCACTTCCTACAACCGAGACGTTGTACTGCACACTTGATGAAAAATGTCTTGGACTTGAATGTTGCTTGACGATAGAAGCATTTGACCTGCTTCAGAAGACTTACAAATTTTTTCTGAGACTTGATCCCAAAATTTTTGTCCTTGTTTATTTAAAGTTTTTGAATTTCAAATTTTTTTAAAGGGTTTTTAAATATTCTTTTGAAAATTTTGCAAAAAAAATTTTACCAATTCTCCAAAACAAAAGAAGTATAACATTTTAGAAGAAATTTTGCCCTTTTGAAAATTTCCTTTAAAGTTTTTTGTTATTTTCGTCCAAACAAAGGTTTTAATATTTTAAATTGGTTCAAATCATTACCCCCTGAAACAAAAACTAAACAAAATTAACAAAAGTGCCCTTTTTGCTTGAATTTTTAAATTTTGTTATTTAAAAGTTAACAATTCCATTGACATTACTTTTAAAAATGAATATTACCCGGCAAATTAAACAGAAAAGGTTAAATTTAAAAAATAAATTTTTTTATATTAAAAGCCCCTTAGAAATATCAACTTTTGTTAACCTTTTTTGGCATAGTGGTATTCTATATCCATGTTTGTATCATCTTATTGTGTACAATAATAAAAACTATAATAAATCATAATTTTATGAATTTAATATTTTCCTTTGCAGATTATGAAGGTGTTTGGACAACTAATGTGAAGTTCGACTTTTTGGAAGACTACGAAATTGTTATAAAGTACGAACAAAAATTTTTGGTTTTATACCATAACATATAGTACAATAATTATACAATACAAACTTTACACGTAAACAACTTTTACGGAATATTTTACGTTCAAGCGCATTAGTTATATGCAATATTTAGATTAGTTTAATTAGGTCATAAACAAATCATTCTAATCTGATAAAATTGTATGTAAATAAGTGACGTTTTGGAAAAAATACTATAAGTTTTACTTTTGTTTATTATTGTTGATAAGTTTATGCATATGTATTTTTTCTTTCATTACAGGTACAATGTTTTATCATCAACAAAAGACATAAAGTTGACAGTCGGCGTTGGTCTCTGTAATTCTGGAAATGTCGATGACTGTTATACATTCTTTTACTTGCTTAAAAAAGCCATTTTTCCAATTCCGACACTAAATGCGAACGGTACAATATCGTACACAAAACGTAAGTGTCTCTCTTAAAAGTTATAAAATAGATGATAATAAAAATGGTGGTAACAAAAAGAGCACGGCAAATGCATGCTTACGTTTTTTTCTGAAAAATCCTTAATGATACACATTTTAAGATGAAAATTTGCATAATTTTAAGCGAGGAAATAAGACTTAAAGAAAACTACTTTTTAACAATCCTTGATTAAGAAGAAAGAAGTCAGCTATACAAAAGTCAGAGAAAATGAGGCCTTAGGCTAACTAACACTAAATGTTAATCATATGTTCAGGATATAGGGAATATTTTAAAATTCAAAGGCAAAACAAAAAGCACATACTTTCGCTTAAAACAAAAATGTAAAATGTTTTTATTTTCAATTTCCTAGATCATGCAAAGTTAATTAAACTCTATCAAATATTTTGTACTTTTTTAATCTGCTACACTCTAAATGTAACCTAATCATATGCCATTAAAGTTTGTGCTTTTAATTTTTTGCGATGCAAATATTTTTTTCTCTCCGGCAGTAAACTTCACAGACATTGTAGAAGATTTGAAAGATAGTTTTAATGAAGCTGGCGAAACAATAGTAGAATCTGCTGTTGATGATGCTATAACTATGTTTTTAGAACAGCTTGGGATTTCAAGCGTAAGTTTTGAAGCGATTTTAGTCTTTCTCTTACATGATTGTGTTGAATTGACCTTTCTTGTTTGTGTTTCTGATGCCTAAATATATTAAGGTAGAAATATTGACAAGATTTCAACTTATGTTAAAACTAACATTTTTATGTACATTTAACAGGAATTTCGACAATAAATAGGCAACGAGATAATGAATAATTTAATACATACAACATAAATAAATGTAATGATCTTTTTTTGTCCCAAATGTTAATTATATGATATTAATTAGATACGCATGTTCTGTTGTGAAATTGCTGTTAGAATATGTTAGTGTGAATAAGCCTCATGTAAGGTATTATACTGGGTCCTTTACTTTAATTGTTTTGAAACCGTTTATACTCAGTCTGTCAGGTTTTGTGTCTGGATAGAAAGTCACTGTAAATGTCACAGCTTTGATGGTAAAGGAAAACACCAGGCTACTATTCACCTCACCATTAATTGACGTGATTAGAACCAACAATGGTTAGGGACAAGTGGTTTCATGTCGAAGACGTCTCAACCACTCGGTCACGGAGACATACAGTTTTTTCGACTTCAATATTATGCATGTGATTTCACTAGTCTTATATCTTATTTGATAAATGTTTTGTATTTTCATGTTAAAGGATTTACTTCTGGATGCGCCATCATACCGCTCAATTGACACTTTCGAAATAGATGAGCTAATGGAATACCTACAAAGCAAGAATCTTTCAATAGAAGGGTCTTTTGACAACCTGAAGACGAGATATTTGGATAGTGAAAGAAGTAAGATTGTTTTAATGTTTGTTAACAATTTAGATAAGAAACGTAAACATATGTTGTTTAAGTGTCATTAAAATGTGTATGGGAATGTACTTTTCCTTCATTAAAGTCGTATCATTACTACATTATAAGTTATCTTGAGTTAGCAAACTAAACAAAATCTGTTAACATCTACTTTTGGAATATACGTCAGTTTTTCATTACTAATATACGTCTGACCAATATCTTTAAGATATCTAAAATAAAGATTGTGCATTGTTCCATAGGTTGCAGCACGAATGGAATCGATATAAGCCTACCAGACCCGCCATTAGATTTTCTACATTATAACATATCGGATAATTGTATGCATGTCAACGCATTCGTAGACATATCAGTGCCTGGTATAGATTTCTCGAGAACATTTACTGCATATGTTGAGCTTGACCCATGTCACTATATTATACGAGCTGCCTTTGAGAAGTGGAATACAACTGTCATTCTCTTCGAATATGATTGGGGTATGAACTATTGTCTTTGTCTAAAAATATTCAGAACATATTATTAAGAGTTAATAAATCAACACGTCGTAATAAAAACCTTTCAAATTGATATATGGGGATATATTGATATTATGACCATCCAGGCATAAATAAGTGAAAATTAATCAGCAAATATAAATTTTGAACCATATCCCCCTGTGGATAATACCAAACTCAAACCCGAAATATGCACAATCCTTGTAAAAATTTAGCGACCCCCTCCCCTCTGGTAAACATCCTTGATCTTTCCATGGAAGCTCTCAATGAAATAAAAACTTACATAATCTGCTTTTGTTGAAACTGAGCAACGTTTGCTGAGGCTCTGAATTTATATCCTTTATAAGATACGGACTAGACTCACGAAAATGATGGAAATCGATGTGTGAACTTTCCCTGTTGTGGAAATATTACATATTTAATACATGTTATATAAAAACTGTCTATATCCAAAAAAAATGCACACAAGTAATGTATTGACAAAGTACGAAAGAATAATAATGAGAAGTTCATTATTTTTATTTTGTTTTATTTATCAACTAAATGTTCTATTTTATCAGGTAAAACAGAAACATTACCACTGGCAAAGGATGTCCTCGTTACGTAAGCTATTCTAAATACATTTAATATACATAACATTAGAACAATAGGTATTTACATTTGCTAAGTATAATATAGTCTGATTTTATTGACCTGTCAATTATGGATACATTAAAGCACTCATTTAAATATTCGACCCCATTTCGGTCCTGTCCGTATAGATTACGAGAATTAATATGGAGTTTGTTTGAAAGGTCACACTAGCTTTATATCACATCCGAGATAACAGTCGGTTAAGTGATTACTTAATATATGAGAGGTATATGGTTCGATCCCTGTTTTTGAGATTGTTTTTAAATCATATTTAAAATATATTTTAATGAAACAGGCCATGTGCTTGCAAAATTGTTTTCACGGATCGGATATGAAACAACTTAGAAACACTGATTTGTCTCCCTTTGTATTGTGTTTTACGGCACTAAAATGACATTGATTTTAATTCGAATGAATTTTAGATAATTATTCTAAAACCATGTTTATTTTAAAGAGAGTCTAGTCTTAAATTCTTCATCAAAATAATTGCAATACATACTAACAAAACAAAAACACCAACATAAGAAAACATAATAATATCTTTCAAAGATGTTGAGAATAAATAAGGAAAGACACAGACCTATCGATATCTATCTTACAACACATAGACATTTGGAAATTATAAATCCGAAGTTTCGAAGTTTACCCTATTGCGTTTAACGGTCAGTATAACTATTTCATAGGAACAAAGAAAATGTAACTGTGCACAACTCAGGAAATTTAACGAACATTTATCGAAGATTGATATATTGTGTACCTTGACCGTATGATCAGTATGGAATTGACAGGTTAATAAAATATTACAATACCTCAGATGAAGAGATACCTCATAAATAAAACAAAAACAAAAATGTCAGTGAACATAATGGTGTGCACTGCATGACAGATAATGTGTTAAGCAATTATCTGTTTTGATTTGTATCTTCAACATTCGTACATTACGAAACATCTGTAATTTCATTCAATCCTATAAAGTTTTATTATAGTACACGTAGTTTCATACCAAAGTTTGCATCTTACAATCAGTTTTTGAAGCAAATTGTGTTTATATGATGGGTTAATCTTTCCATTTGCAGGTTTAATATCAACAAAAATGACGAAAAGAAAGTGTTCCTCGTTGATATTGGTATAGTTTTTAAGCCAGCTGACATTGATGTGACACTCCTTAAAGACTTTCAAATACCAATTCCAATCTGCAACGGCAACTTTTCGTTAGAAGGTATACATATAATTCAAAATTAAAAATGTGATGTAAAATTAAAAAACCTTTGTTGTTAACTAAATATCATAATTACAAACACTTCTTATAAAAATACGTTTATCCTCTTTAATAGACACCATAGATTAGTACGTTTCACTTTGCACTAATGATAGTAATGATCAGCACTTGGATTATTCTCGACTTGATGCCTACTCTTTCACAAATTCTTTGTTGTCTTTCAGGAAGCTTAGCAAACATAGCTGAAATACTTGGAGGACAGATAAATAGAGAGATATTTGATCTGGTGTTAAAACAATTAGGGGTCGATGATATCATTAAGGAAGGATCATGCACATTACCTTCGCCGCCTACAAGTATTTTCCATAAAATATATCAGTTGAAAGTGATCCCTTTTACTTAGAATTTAGTGTGTGTACACAGAAGAATAACTTTGATTTTGTAAAATTCCTTTGTACACTTTAGTCGGTATTGAATTGATTAAACATTGTAATTGGAGTTAAGTTTCTATCTGCGAGTGTTCTATAATATATTTCTTTTTTAACTTAGCATTTTTCATTTCTTTTATAATAAATTTATAAGTTTATAGTGTATTGCGGGCTGTGATAACATAATATAACATTTTTTTTCAGACTGCCCATCAGAAATGGACATATCAAAAATGATACCAAAAGCCATGGAAAATCATTTACAGTGTCAATTGGCTGAAAACTGTTTTGGAATATCTTGTTGCGTTTACATTAACTTCACAATACCACTGTCGAGTATTGAAATGAACATATCATTTCCAGTTTGGTTCCGACTAGATCCTTGCGATTTTCGTGTCAACACGGGCATTGGCCATTTTCAATTCGAGGAACAACTTTTGAAATATGAATGGGGTAATCTGTCATTGTATACAATTATACCAAAGTAAAGTATAGATTATTTCATTGTTAAGAAAAATCTGGATTTAGAAAAAAATGTTGCAGTGTTCCTTTGATAGTTGCAGTGTTTCTTTTGTTAAAAAATTAAGGTACATTAATATGGTACTTATTTTTTCTTTCAGGAAAGGAGTCAATCATACCAATTGGGTCAGGAGACAATGCGCCGATACAAATAATGTGAGTGCTTGTGGGTGAATAAAACAATATGCCTTTTAACTTTTTACTTAGTGATTGAAATAGCTATGAGATTTAAACGAAAGTGCACAATAAAACTACATCAGTCATATATGTAGAGAATAGTAACATGAAGACAAGCTGAATACTCGAAGAAAAAGTAAAACACTGCTGCATATTAAATGAACACAACATATACTGGAAAATTCATAGTTGATTTAAATGAATCTGTTCATGATATATAATGACAACATCCCTCATGCCCAAAATTTAAATTTTGCAAAACATTACGGTATACAGTGTAACATTTTAGAGTGAATATAAACATATAAAAGTTGTTCCACCAACACTGCACTAAACTGCTTACCCCAAAATAAAACACATGTTTTGACAGTCCATGCGTGGTAGGCTTGAGTCTATTAAAAACATAAAGTATTCTGGCCTCGTGTCCACTAGGATGTATCAATATAAATTAAATATTTAATACATGTATTAACTTCATTGGGCTTGAAATAGCATGTTAATGAAATTTTATTTAGCAAGATCCCAAATAAGGTTGTTTCTTTGCAAATGAGCATTTCCGTTTACGTTTTGTTTATGTACCATTTAATTCTAACCAAAAAGAACCTATTTCAGTTCTATAAAGCAATAAAAATGACCATTTATCCTGATATCTTTCCTTTGTGAACAAGATACCTGAAGTTCTAACAAATGTCAGTATGACAATACATTTTGATCACAATAACATTTATTTTTATAGATACACAATAGACAACTACGAAGACGGGTTTATACTTGACCTCCGTGTAGAAATATGTCTGCCTATGGACGGAAAAGAATATTGCATTCCTTCAGAAGGCCTTTTGCTTTTAGAAGACGAGCAAATACCTGCATGCTCACTGTCGGCTTGGACTAATCTTACAGGTTTACTATACATTAATTAACCACTGATACTTAAACGAATATTTATTATAACTTTGCCTTTTGATAAATTCCTTAACAAACACATGTTGTTGAATTTGTTTGGTTTTGTATGCATTAGCTTATCTTATAGATCTTTGTTTCAAAGTTTCCAAAGTACAAATTTCACAAAATGTGGAACACAAAATTGTTCTACGAAACCATTTTTATAAAGTACTGTTGGAAAACACGTATAACACTCTAACTTTGCTCTATACTCATCGTAAAGAAAATCAAAGTGATAACAAATTGTAATGGTACTAGTACTTTCAGGAGGAACTTTTACCACATTCACACCTTGAGCATTATTTAACAACTTTTTATATTAGCTTTGTAGATTTATGACATAATTTGCATTTAGCTTAATATATCTTAATTAATATATTTTGCAGACTTCTCTTTTGAAGAATGGATGTTGTCGAAAGGGGAAAGTATCGGAGAGCAACTATCAGATGCAGGAAAAGACGCACTCTTAGAACTCCTTGGCTTGAATGAATTTCTGCTTTCGCCGCCTTGTGACCGCAAAAGAAGTCCATACAGTCCGTCTATGAACGGATGGAACAATTGTAAGACCTTTATGTCTCGAATTCATTTAATCTATAATTTTCTTTATTTAATTCTGAGTTTGTTAAGAAGATATACACATGGTTATAAAAAAGATGTTAAACAAAATGTACCGATTATTTGTTTTTGTTGCTGTTTCAGTATGTCCAAGCAGTTTTGTTAACCTTCCTTCAAAGCTCCCGAGTTATGTTTCATGCAGTGTACCAGATTATTGTACAGGAATCAACTGCTGTCTTCAGGTTGAGAACATTGGACTTTCAATTAACGCATTCATTGACATAAATCTGTGTAACTACACCATTTCTGGAGGAATTGAAACTCTGACATTCAATTTTTCTCTTTTCAACTACGAATGGGGTAGGTGTTTATGTTTATTAAACGTGTTGAGTTATAGACATATATTTTTCTATACAATACAAATGTATTTACTATGCTGTTTAATTATTTCTTTTGGTTTTTCGACTTATTTAACAGGTAATTCATTCAATATCTGCAATAATGGCTACTGAAATATTGGAAAAGAGCAATGATTGCCTGAAGCCAAGAATATCTCTTACTTTGCGTTAATCTGTATTGATTTCTTTTTAGGTAAGACTGAAACGATTACAATTAAGGATATCTTCCGACTTAGGTAATTGCATGCAAATCCAAGATTCTAACATTACAATTTACAACCAGTTGATTGATATAGTTGCAAGTGACTTTGTAAACGTTATGAAATACAAAATAAATTTTTTTGGTCATAACATCAATTGTAATAAATATTCAAATAACTTCATTGTGATATCAACCAGAGTATATTTGTACTTCAAAACTTAGATGAAAACAAATTAAAATCATCATATTGTTTCAAATGGATTGTCTTTTCAGTAGATACTTAATTAAAACCTTAAATTACGTTATAAGGATTTCATATTTCATTTCAACCAGTTAAATATAATTAAATTTCAAGAAAGAGATCAGAACCTTCTGTTTTTTAAAGAAAATATTTGTTCAATATAGGTTTTCAATTAAAAAGCCAACCAACGAAAAAGTATTCATCATAACAATGCAATTAGCTGTGTGTCTAGAAAGAGATGGAAGATGCATAATTGATGAAAAAGTCCTTGATGGCACAAAGGTTTCTCAACCAGGATGTGACATGACCATAGATATATCAAGTGAAGTGTTGTTTTGTATACTTACTTATATTCTGTTTCAAACTACACACTTATTTTTAAGATTAATTGATGGTTTCTAAATCATTGTATTTTTAGTAGTTGTTTGTTATCTATGTTATTTTGAACATTAATTTACATATATTTTGAAAATAAGAAATAATGACATTATATATTAGCAACGTTTCAGCATTATCTTAAGAAGGGAAATGAATTTCTTAATAATTATAAATCCATATTTATTTCTGATGTAATATTTTGTAAATTATACAAACCCCATCTACATAACTCAACTTATACCTTAATGATAAATATAAGTGAGCATAAGTTAACTTCTGTCTTATTTTCCAGACTTTTCAGCAACAACCTGGTTGAAAAATAACGGTCTCGGAAACCTAAGTATTACTGACGATCTATGGGGGGAGGCTGTAGATTTTATATCAGAAGTTGTTGGCCTTGATGAGCATTATCTAGATGAGCAATGTGACATAAGAAAAGATCCATACAAAAATGCCACCAACAGCTGGTATAATGGTAAGTGATGTCGGCGTCCTGATACACATTTTTATTTCCTCTCATAAGTCGACAGATTTGGAAAAACTTATAACGCAAGGATATATTGTATATATTAGAAAATCTCTGAATATCAGTCGATTCAATCACTGAGTACTCCCAAAACATTACAAGATACTAATAAATGGTTTACAAATGTGTAGGGTTGTACAAAGATAACGAAAATCTGCTAGTCCAGAAATGAAATTTTGTGATAATTTCAAAATTGTACAGCATTGAAATTTTATTATAATTATTGATTTCAAAGGTTTATTTGCGTTCAAAGAAAAAAAGATTTAAGAACAAAATACTTCAACTGTAACACAAATGAAAATATGTTCTGTAATGTTGTAGAGTGTCAATTTTTGAAAGCGGAACTTCCTGACTTGCCAGATCATTCAGTCTGTCACATTGGTACTTCATGCACATCACTTGACTGCTGTATACATGTTGACTTCCTTCGACGATCTTTACAAGCGTCTTTTCAGATTGACTTTTGCAATTACACAATTCAAGGCAATTTAGAGAAGTCAAATTTTAAATTTGATCTTATCGACTTTCAATGGGGTAAGTCTTACACTATTTAAATTCGATTTACAATTGTATAACAATGTCTAAAATATTTCAATGAAAAAATATTTTTACAATTTACAACAAATAATTTGCATTCAAATATTGCATTCATGTAACATGTTTTAAAGGGAAAGGCAAGGTTAGAATAAAAACTTGATATCAGAAATAGAATACTATAAATAGTAAATCTGCAAATCGGACAAATGTTTATTAATGTCGCGGCGTAATCAGTTAATTAATTAAAGCAATTCAGTTCAAGGCGATGTTTTCATAACCTTGATTGATTATAACATATAAAGAAAAAAATGAATTGAAGATAATGATAATTATTAAGTTAACGTACATGTAACAACAATCCATTATGGGGGAAAACTTTAAGTTTGACAAAGTCCGGAACATGCAATAATTTCAATATCGATATCTACATAATTATACTACTTATATACTATTGTCATCGAATTCTTGTAAATATTTAATATATGCATGATGATTATAAGTACGTATAGATTAAAGTTCTCACAAATATATTTCTGTTGTACAGCGTGTACACCTATACGTAAGGTTATACGTCATAATTTGGTCTCGTCTGTCTCGCGAGAGTGAAGAACGCTAAAACGGGCCCATAACTATTTTCAAGTAAAAAATAGTTCTTAAACGATTCAGTTTACGGTGATTTTACAGAAAACTTCATGGTACCGTTTTAATGAAATTTTATATTGAATACATCAGTCTATCATCTATTCCTTTAAGAAATAAACATATGCCACTAGTTTATTTATATAGACAGTGTATACAAAATACTTCAGAAATGAGCACAGAACAGTTTAGATTCTTTCAATCAGTACGTTGTAAATATGTATATTGTTATAAAACAATGATACAATACTAAAAATGTATTCACACTTATGAAAAGTTAATACAATGCATATCTTTGCAGGTATAAGCTAGACAAAACAGACAAACACTTCATTTTTGATCTCTCTGTTGAAGTATGCATGGATTCTAGGACATCATGTCAGCCTTCGATTGATATCTACACGAAAGCTATGATACCAATTCCCGTGTGTAACTTAGATGCGGGATTTAATATTGGAAGTATGTCTTTCTATACATTTCCTTACTCCATATTGTTTATGAAATGCAAAAGAATAATTGTTAAAGTATTGTATACTACATATCTTTTGCAATTTTTTCAATATAAAAATCGGAAGAGATCTATTAATAATTGGCTCGCTTTAAGAATTCGCTAAACGGTTAATATTTTATATCTTACACAAATAGTGCCGCTGAAGTGAATGAACTTAATAAAGAGATATTTAAACGCATGCAAGGGAAAATGTTTTTAAATTAAACACAATTTATTAAATTATTATGTTTTTAGACATTGTGTTTATCTTAATATAGCAAATAATGTATCTACATTGCTTTAAATAAAGTGCACATTCTATGAATTTGAAAAGTTTTATTAAAATACACTATGTTCATTGATATAAGTACATTAGTATGTACGTGTATATATTTATTGGCATCCATTTCCAAATGATGTTCACTCTTTTTAATGTTTGACAGGCTTTTCACTCAATGAATGGTTAAACAATGTTGGCAGTTCGATTGATGATAATCTTCCTACAGCAGTTGTTGCTCTACTTCTAAGCCAATTAAATATTGACAAATTTCAGCAAGAAACACCATGCTCTTCATCTGATGTTATGTTTATGAATACATCAAATGGATGGAATTCAGGTACATTGGGCATTTCATAAGTTAAGATATATATTTACAAATTGCTCAACAGTTCTATTAAAAATACATCGAAACAGTTGTACAAGATAATATTTTTGCCAAACATACCTAAAAACTTCAAAATGCCATGTTAACGAACTATTGATATGTTTATAATAAAAGAAGTAAAGCAGTTGCCTTCCGTGCATAGCAGACAAAGCATATTACAAAAACATAGACGCTTTAGTAGACGCTTTGACATAACAAGATATATTGACATAAATGATTTTCAGAGATAATTCGTAATAAAAGTCACAAATAAATATTTTTTATTCATTTTAATATGGAAATAATAAATAAACCGATCACCATTGCTATAGCTAAATATTGATAATTTACCAATTTACAGAATGCAACGCTTCCTTTATACTACCGTCACTGCCAGATGAAATGGTGTGCTACATGACTGACACATGTACAAGTATTGAATGTTGTGTATCTGTTGATATACTAAGAACATCTATCCATGTGAAATTTCTCCTCGATACCTGTAGATACAAACTTACCATGGGAATTGAGCGTTTGGAGACGGAAGTAATCTTACTGGACTATCAATGGGGTACGATATAATAAAGTTCTTTCAGTTTATTTCTTTTTTTATGTCTGAAATAAAAAGTTAAATTCATATTGAAACATTTTATATTAATTTTCCAGTAATATTTATCAACAAAAAAGGAAAAAAAGAACAAAAAAAAAGACACTGAAAGAGACGATAAGCGCTTATATTGGAAATAGTGCAGCTCCGATTTGATTGATCTTAGTCATCTAACTATATATTTTGTATCGAATAATTGGGATCAGCCAAAGGGATTTACACATGTAGGTAAAATGATAATGATTCTCAAAAAAGTCATCATATTGTTATATATACGTATATCCCGTATGATAACAAACATTTTAGAATCCCGTTTTAATGTCCATCCCTTACATTTCAGGTAAAACAGATCAGTTTACACTCGGAGGGGTGTTTCAAATAGAGTATGTTTTTTTGTTTATTTTTCGTAAATTTACTTTTCAGGACTTATTCTTAATTGTTACCTGCTTTTCTGTTGACAGAAAAGTTATATTTTGAATTATAAAGATAATAATTTTCACGAGAGGTTACATAACATTTGAATGCAAATGAAAATAATTTTATCCATAAATCAGTCGAAATATCATCAGAAATACACTCTGTCGTAGGTAAAAACTGCTTAAATACAGGGTTACAAATTGCACATGCCATTTTTTTTTCGTGAAAAAAAAAACACCAGTAAAGCTGGAACGTCGCGATATGACCTATACTGTGTCGATGTGACGTAAAACCCAAAATAAACAAACAAAACTTATTTCACTCGTGAAAACAAGCTGTCATATGTTTACCCGCGGCTATGCGACTTGTGAACATATTACCTTATATGTTCCTCCTGTGAAATATATTTGATCTTACATGCAGAGCAAACAACTATTCTCTTTTATTCGTTTACAGTATGCTACATTTGTTTGTATTATTAATGCTGCTTTACATTTCCTTAACATTCTGTTTTTGGTTCTATAGACTTCAAAGCAATATGCGTAACAAAGTTCAATATAAAAGTGAACTTGTTAATTTAATAAATCAACATTTTAACAAATAAAGTGATCACATTAATATTCGTAAATTAAACAAAGGAAAGGCATTTTAGCTATAATTAAGATGTCTTTACTTAAAGAAAAATATATTTGCAGGTATAGAATCGATGATCTACAAAGTCATAAGAAATTTATAATAAATGCGAAGTTGAAGATTTGTTTTGAACAAGACTATTGCCTCTATGAAATCGACATTTTATCAGACGCTTATATTCCAAAACCTCTTTGTGACTGGAATGCTCGAATTACTGCACAGGGTAATTTGTCAAACATTTCACAATTGCTTACAGTATGGTATAAAAGTGTTGAATATTGGTCATACTAACTTTCCATGTAGTTACATGTATTAAATGTTTAATTCTAATTTTAATGTTTTATGTCATGTTTTTGTTATTTATCAAATTTCTTTATGAGACGCACACTCTTAATAAATAGAAACATTTGTATTGCTCCATCATGAAGATAGCACATGAATTTAATAATAATGTGAGACATCATACAGTCTCTTATGGTTAATAACGTTTATTACCAACGATAGAAGACGTATATATACTTTTATTACACATAAAATCTGCCCCGAAAATGCTGTAAGAATGCATATGCCAAACCTGATGCGTGAATCGTGTTTGAATATTTCTTTTAAATTAAACACTTTTCAGATGTTAACAATTCTTTTAAAATGTATCAGCACTATAACTGTCTATCCACAATACCCTAATTGTTAAATCAAAAGATATACTTGATAAAACTCTCAGTCCTGCTATTTTCGAAATGAACATGTCATTATAAAAGCACGTGTCTTCGAGATTGTAGTATTTAATTTATCTGAATTCAGAAAATAATGTCAAAGCAATTGCAAGTAAAAATGTTAATCTTGAAGAAAATATACTAAATACATAAAGTTCAGGTAGAATAATTCCATTGTATTTCATTTATGTGCACAGATTTTTCACTAGAAAACTGGATAAACAATGAGGGTTACGACTTTGAAAGCGGATCGTTAAAGGAATACATGATAGAAAAATTGTTTGATACTCTTGGAGTCTCCAAATATTTAGACGAAAATGAATGTAATAGAGAATTGCATCCGTTTTCAAATGGTTTGAATGGCTGGACAACAGGTAAATTACCTTATCAATCAGTTTGTATTTTTGATAAAGCATGTAATGATCGGAATATGATTATACTGAAATCATAAAGTACTTTGCTTCAATAAATTTTTATTGAGATTAAGCTTTTAACCTTATGTGACTAATTATTAATAATGTCAAATTCATAACGATTTTGTTTTGTAATTCAGACTGTCCAAGAAGTCTTGATACAATTGGACTGCCAGATGTTATATCATGCCATATCCCAACTTATTGCACAGGATTCGATTGTTGTGTTTACATGGATATAGTGAAGCGCTCTTTCAAACTGTATTTACATATTGACGCCTGCAATTACATGTTTTCAATTGGTATTGAAAAGTTCGGATTGAACGTTTCTCTTCTTGAGTACGAGTGGGGAAAAACAGAACAGTTCTCGTTGATGGGTGCATTGCGGATAAGGTAAAATGTTACTAAAATATTAAGTTTGAAACATATAAACACAAATATTTGTGTAAAATATGTAATTCTACTCTAAATTTGGAATTATAGTATAAGAAATTTTATTACAAAATGATTATTTCGAGAATATGCTTAAACTCCGATAATTGCTTACTTAATATTTATACCCCCACTTCAAAGAATAGGGGGAATATTGCTTTGCATTTGTCGGTCCGTCGGTCCGTTGGTCCGTCGGTCCGTAGACCATATGGTTTCCGAGTGATAAGTAAAGAACCCTTAGGCCTGGGAACTTCAAACTTGGTATGGTGCTTGGTCATGACCAGTTAATGAACCCTATTGATTTTGGGGTCAAGGGGTCAAAGGTCAAGGTCACATTGACCTTGTAGGTAAAAACAGTTTCCGATCAATAACTAAAGAACCCTTAGACCTAGGAACTTCAAACTTGGTATAGTGATTGGTCATGACCAGTAGATGATTCCTGTTGATTTTGGGGTCAAGGGGTCAAAGGTCAAGGTCACATTGACCTTGTAAGTAAAAACGGTTTTCGATCAATAACTAAAGAACCCTTAAACCTAGGAACTTCAAACTTGGTATGGTGATTTATCATGACCAGTAGATGACCCCTATTGATTTTGGGGTCAAGGGGTCAAAGGTCAAGGTCACATTGACCTTGTAGGTAAAAACGGTTTCTGATCAATAACTAAAGAAGGCTTAAGCCTTGGAACTTCAAACTTGGTATGGTGATTGGTCATGACCAGTAGATGACCCCTATTGATTTTGGGGTAAAAGGTGAAGGTCACATTGACCTTGTTGATTAAAACGGTTTCCGATCAATAACTTAAGAAGGCTTAGGCCTTGGAACTTCGAACTTGGTATGGTGATTGGTCATGACCAGTAGATGATCCCTATTGATTTTGGGGTCAAGGGGTCAGTGTCAAATTGACATTGTACTTTAAGATGGTTTCTGACCAATAACTCAACAAGTCAAGTTGCCTTGGTTGATATTTTTTATATTAAACTAAAAATGCTTTTGGTATACACATTTGAAGGTCTTATGTAATGTAACAACTTGGCTGTCATTAATGAGGCCTACATGATTCATAAAATTTATGCATATTTTATTTAGTAACATTGTAATAACTTAAATTGCTGCACACAACCTATAGGGTCACAATAATTATCACCTTGTGACTAGTCATGACCAGTAGATAACCCTTATTAATTTTTTGTTCACTGGGTCAGAAGTCATGCATAATAACCTGATCACATGACTAATTGGCTGCCCATGGGGGGCATACATGTTTTACAAACATATCTTGTTTGAGGTGACTATCATTTTTTATTAATAATGATTGGTGTGTGCTGGAGAATGTTGAAAAAAAATCTATCAAGTACTTACTTTCTTTGATTTTTTTTTCCAAATTGTTATGGTTGCAATTACATTCCGTTTAATGTACTTTAAATGTGTAGGTTACATACTTTTCTTTTTAAAGATAGTTTTTTGTTTGTGTTTATTTCTTGTATTTCAAGGGTTTGTTTAATCCTGTTACAATAATTACAAATATTCATGCCGTATTTTGCAGTTACTCTATATTGAACTTGGCTACAGAAAACCAATATGTGCTTAATCTGGACATGTCCTTATGTATCCAAAAATCGACTTGTGAAGAAACCTTTTCACTTTTAAAAGATGCAAGAATCCCAAAAATAGGATGTGAATGGAGTGAATCTTTATCAGGTATAGATTGAGCAATACATCTTGACAACGCAAATGATTAAGTAACGTTGTATATGCATCGAACGCCAATTTCATCGCAATTAGTGGCTTATTTTATAAAAATTGTACCTCCTATTTGGGCACAAGAAATATTAATTATCTTTATTGATATCTTAATGTTTTAAGTGCATTAGTATCGTTCATGAATTGACCCAACCAAATTGACTACGTTCTGTTCATCTATTTGTTCTATTTGTTTTCATTGATCTCAAGGGACAGTCATCATTGTGTAAGATGTTACAGGTCTAAAATGATATACCGAACTTTATATCAGCGTTCATATATTTATTGATTATATATATTATGTATTCCAATTTTTTAATTGTGAATATTCAGTAAATCTTAATTCAATCCTATACGCAATGAGAGATGTTATTTATTTCATTAACTTGCAAATTTCTTCTCCATATCCTCATAAAGTTGAAATAAATAAGTGTATGATATTCCCTTATGAAACATATTTCAATGCTTTCGACAGATTTCTTTGTCCAGAATATTTATATCCTGAAAGTAGAGATATTTTATGTTTGCTCTAATGACTGAAGATATTTTTCTTTCTTTCAGATTTCAAATTGGATCAGTATTTAGACAACCTCGGAGTACAGCTTGGTGATTTGGAGAATACCTTGACTGACATCGTAGCTGACAAACTGCTTGAGACACTTGGTGTCTCTATGTATATTCTTGACAGGCAATGTGAACAGACAGTTAGCAATGAACAATATATAATAAATGGTATATCGAGTAACAAATGCATTCTTATTTTACATATTTGTGTTATATTTGATATTCGTGGATTGAAGTCTTTCGTAAAACTGTTCATGAAAGACCGAAACAATTTCATCAATGATTTGTTGAACAAAATGAAAAAATATACTTGTATGCTTAATGAATAGAATCAATTGACACACGGATATGTATCATTTAATGAGCTTATGTAAACTGTTAGATGAAATCATATCTTTTCAGAATGTGACGCATTAGATATTGACTTGAAGACTCCTGATATAATGACATGTATCATACCTACACATTGTACCGGAATCACGTGCTGTATAAATATTCCATTGATTGGTAGATCGATAAGTGTTACAGTTGACCTCGATGCGTGCACATACCAACTTACAATTACTATCGAAAAACTCAAACTGGACATACGACTTTTCGAATACGAATGGGGGACATGGCAGCAGTTTGACATTAAAGATGTTTTTAGATTGAAGTAAGGGTTTTGTAAACTGAAAATTGAACAGCATACACAAATTGTGACATTATTTATTTGCAAATTGAAATGCAGAAAAAACATTGATTACCAATATTTTCCATAAACAAAAGTAGTGAATAGGACATTAATAATGCAGTTGTTTAGTTTTTTCAGGTGCGTACATTATTTCCCTTGTTTCCCTGTTGGTTGCAAACAATTTAATTGTATGCAAATATATTTAAAAATATGAGCGCGTATTTTACTTATTTACATGTTATTTTCATGAGTGACTAAATAATAATATTTTTTTTTAATTTGCAAAGAACACATGTTTGTATTCTATTGTTTATAGGTATCGCATTGCTGATCTTGAATCAAGTAAACAGTTTGTTGTATCCGTTCGCGTCCTAGCTTGTTTTTGACGGTGAAACATGCAGCGTTGATGAATCTATTGTTGATAACCTATTACTTCCTAAACCTCTGTGTAACTTCAACGGATCATTCAATATTCCTGGTACATATTATATATTGTTATTGACTGATGTAATAACTAAATATAATTAGACTAATAAGTCAAATATCTTTCTTTTTGAAATTCAGTGATTTAATATCATATATATCATATAAAGTATAGATTTAAGTGACATTAAGCTCACATTTTAGCTGTCGAGTTGAATGAGATATATATTTCAAAAGATTAGTTATTATAATAGTGATGGACCACAAATTGATGATGAAAAATGCATGAATGTCCCACTCCATTTTTTTAAGAATTGAGCGTTACAGATACATTCTAAAATATATTTATAGAAATTTACGTTGGCCATGTGGATATTTTTATAGAAAAATTTAAAATTGAACACAACTATGACAAAATGTCAAGTTGCTTTTATTTTACCAGTTAACTGACCATTTACACTCAGAATGGCATAATGTAACTATAATTATATAGCAGAAATATTTACATTGATGACACTTAACTTTTATGTTTTCTGTTTAAGACTTTAGTCTTCAGAAATGGATCGATGATAACGGAAACAAACAAACAGACACACTTACAGATATTCTTAGATCAATATTATTTGAACAACTTGGATTGACACCTTACTTACTTCAAGACGAATGCGATGTCGGGGTAGACCCCGGTTGGACAAAAGGTAATTTTTAAGTCAATTTAAGGTAAAATCAAACAAGTGAAAAGACAAGTATGCTCATTTAAATGGACAAAAAGTACAAGTGATTTCGAATTTAGATAAATATGATTTTAATTCATTTTTATTGTGATTACTTTTTTGCATGTATTGAATTTGTGTTAAATTTTTAAAAGCAGTTACTGACTTGCTTTTTGTTGTTTTGTTTCAGATTGCCCGCTTAATGGGTCTTTGCCGTCACTTTCGTCAGATATAAAGTGTACCATAGGGGAACGATGTTCTGGATTTACATGCTGTGTAAATGTTCCATTGCTACAACGGTCGTTTTCGTTTTACTTTGACCTAGATACCTGCAATTTCGTACTATCAGCAGGAATAGAGAAGTTGATGTACAATCAATCACTAGTCAACTATGAATTTGGTATGCTGTCTCCATTTATTACAAGAAATGTTACGTTTGTTTAACTCTTTGAAAGTCCAAAACATTAGCTTGGATTATATTAAATATTTTTCAAGACCGATCTAATTTTTACAAAAAAAAAATCTTATGTTTTTGAACTCGTTGAATGTTTCTTCGAAACATTAGCATAGATTTTATCTTGTTTTTTTTTTAATCAAAGATAGTATTTGAATAAATACATCGAATGTTTTATAACCCATTGACTATTAAAAGCATTTAATATAAACTTCTTGGACATCCCAAACATCATAATACTGAGTATTATGGTTTATATGATTATTTATAAGACATATTGTTATTCGTTAATTTACTTGTATAAGATAATGCAAGTTGTTTTTTTAAATCGACGAAGTCCTTGAAATATTGTTTAGAAAATAACTGACTCATAGAATGGCTATAAAATTAATCTAATATTTGCAAAATATCTGATGTTTGCCTAATGATGTCATGGACGAAAGTATAAAGTGTTGTCAGTGAAACAGCTTTTTTAAATTATAGTTTTCTTACCTTAAAGTTCATTTGAATCTTTAAAGTAAGTCATTTAGAAATAATATACAAACAAATTCGGTTACATAGGAATACTTGATTTTTATTCAAAATGTATATATTAAAAAGATTTATTCTTGCATTTGAATCATATGAAAGATAAGATATATTATTTGGTAATATATATAATGCATTTTTTGTTCTTTAAATAGGTCATAAGAAAACAGTCGATTTATTTGGCATTGTAAAGCTATCGTAAGTAAACATTTGTTTCCTTGTGTCTTCATTACAATTTGAATGTCATGTGATCAGTGCGTTATAGCAAAGTATGCAATTCGCTAATGATTAAAACATTTTAAATGATAGCATAAATTTTTCTGTATGCGTATTTAGCATGATGATAACAAGAAATTAACATAAATTGATCATTTCCATTTAAAAAGTTCATGCCAATCATTATATCTGTAACATTATATATATTAAATTTCATGTTTTAAATTTGCACTCCAATAAAACTTTCATTTTGTTCGAACATTATTTTTTCATTACGAGGAGGCTCTTAGTAAATGGAATATTATCCATATTTATTTCAGCTATACCATTTTTGATGACAATACTTTGTCTGTATTCAAACTTTCTGCGGAAATTAGCATATGTTTAGACTCAAACAGTCCATGCAGTCCTGTTATAACATTGATGGATAAAATACAGTTTCCAAAACCACTTTGTAATTGGGACATGCCTTTTAAAGTTCCAGGTATTATGCGAATTTAATTGCTAGTTGTTTCTTATATTTATAAATAATGAACAGTTACAAAATTATTTGCTGTACTTTTTATTTATGTTATTCCATTTAATCATATAGTTTCATGACTATTGTTAACTTTTAATCGTTATTGTAATGATATTTGAATACATTTTCGTATAAGTTAAGCGTTGTTTCTATCTTGATCTATCGAAGACATTTTACTATGCAGATACAAGTATGTCTGTTGTTGACCTTAAAAGGTTTAGTGTAAGAAAACATATTTTAAGGTTTCGACATTGACAATTGGCTTCAAGAACATGGCATAACAGAACAAGCTTTAAGAGACACGTTCCTTGCGCAGTTAATAGACACACTCGGCTTGTCACATTATTTCAAAGATAGCGAATGTAGCCATCAAGAAACTCCGTACAAATACAGTGTGAATGGCTGGAATACAGGTATTTCTATATAGGCTAACGGATTAAATTAAAAATGTTTGAAATATGTAGAAAAATATTTAGTTTGTGTATAAAATTCATATGTTACACACACAAAAAATATGTGCACTTTATTCACGTTATTAGCTCGTTTATTCGAAGAAAATGGAAAGTTATTGTATTTAACCAGGCGTCGGCGTTGGCATGAACGTCATATTTTGGTTAAAGATAGTATCTCCAAAGCTATAGATGGGAATGTGGCTATGGAGCGTGACGGATGTTGAACTATTACATAATCCCTCATGTACATACACAATCAAACCGAGTCGGCAATTTTCATTTTCAACAGATCAGCGTTGCCGTCACACATTTGCGTGCAAGTTATCTGCAAAGGTACTGAAGGGAATAAGTTAAATCTTTACACATTTATTTGAGATCATAATAGGAGGTCACTGTCCAAGGCCGATAACTATAAATTGGATTGAATAGTCGAGTTTCCTGTCTTACAGATAGCTCTAGTCTACATAATCCAAATGTGTCCTACAAATAAATGATTTGTAAGTTGTAAAATTCACGCAGAGGGCCATGCTGTTTGAATGTTTTGCCAAACCATGTATTATTTCATGTCTAGAGTTGTATTTTCTTAAGTATGTATAATGATTACATCAATGCATACATTTGAATACAGCTATTCGTATAATAATTATATTTGAATTTTCAGATTGCCCGTTGGCTATGATGTTGCCTGCATTGCCTGACGAGTTGCGATGCTATGTACCGGATTATTGTACAGCCGTTGAATGTTGCCTTGATGTTGGGTTACTCAAAAGAGGATTTAGTGTTATCCTGTCGATTGACGCTTGTTCTAACAGACTTGTTGTCGGTATAGAGGACCTCAAATTAAACGTTTCTCTTACCGATTATAACTGGGGTATGTTTAAGTTCCACTTCAATCTAGTTTTTTCTATTATCAAATTAATAATTAATGAAATGTTGAGCTTGTTTAATAAAATCTTAATAATGAATAGTTTGACGTGTTTTACACGATTAATGTTTAGTTTGTTATGAAACAAAACTTAATTTCAGTTGTATTAAAATTTAGAAATACATATTGGAAAATATTTAAATTACAAGTGTTCGTTTACTTATAATATATATCTACACTTTATCAAACTAGGATCTACAGAAGTGATTACTTTATTGGGTGTTGTTCAAATTACGTAAGTTGTATAACGTATTTTTTTGTTCTAAAATTTTTATAAATTGGTATATAGCCTTCGTTTTTTTGCAAAAGTGAAAACGGCGTGATTATATTATTAAGAAATGTCAGTTAGATAATAATTTCAAAAAGTAATTAAATAATCAGTTTTAAAATAATTTAATTAAAAATTTAGTTTTACCACTTGCATTGTCTTTTTTCTATTGCCTCCAATTACTTGATTGTTACAAACACAGATACAAAATAGAAAATTATGAGAAAAGCAGACAATATGGCGTAGATGTTGGATTAAAGGTATGCTTTAGCCATGACAATTGTGAATTTCAAACAACATTACTGGAAAATACTACATTTGCAAAACCACTTTGTCGCTGGGATTCAGACTTCTTGATTCCAGGTAGGATTATAAGTTCAAAAAATTATTAAAAAAATGTTGTTTGTTAGTACTTTTTGTTTTATGTTTTGGCTGGATCATTAATGAATTAAAGATTGAATACTGTTTTAGGCGCGTTTGTAGGCTCAAGAAATTAATAGCGATGTCATAACACTTTGAACACACACTTTATAGAAGTTGATCTTTTTTATAATAATAATAATAATAATAATAATAATAATGATAATAAATAAATAAATAAATAATATACTATCATCGTTTGATTGCATTGCATTGTACACATTAGTCATATATTTATCTCTAATTGTCTCTGTTTAATAACCAGTGCACGATAAGCATAATAATTCAACTTATTATGCATTTTATCTTGAACACTTTAGACTTATGTTCTTTGATTTCCTTGGAAAGATAACGATAATCGATTATGAATGAAATATATTAACTTGTCAAATTAGCTAAGATTAATTTACCGACCATATGTTTAGATTTTTCCCTTGATACGTGGCTGGATGAGAATAACGTAATTGATATTACACATCTTCAAACGAATGTGATAGATAAACTTTTGAAGGAGATCGGTCTCAATCAATATCTACAATTAGAACAATGCGACAGAACAACACAACCATTCTCAAAGTTAGCTAGGTTTCAGTCAGGTAATATTTTGTTTTGTGACGTATTTCTTTTTTTCTAGTATATCCTCCAACTATTTGTTTAGTTTGAGTTTCTTTGATATGAATGGTGTAAAAGTTATTACAAATATTTTGTGCAATACTATAGCAAGACTTTTACGAATATATAAAAGCGTACATTTGTTTAAGGGAAACGTTTGAAATTTTAAACCTCCTTTATATGTAAAGTACTTTCTGAATAATATTTTTTTTCTACGGTAATTTTAATTATGAGTGTTTAATTATCATCAGAATGTCGTGAAGAAGTTCAGTTACCTGATTTGCCTGAGACTATATCATGCTATTTGTCGGAAAGGTGCACCAGTATTCGCTGCTGTGTTGATGTCGATGTCATACAAACGAGTTTTGACATAACTCTAAATCTGGACACATGCAACTATATCCTCGAAGCACAAATTGAAAACATGAAGCTGGATGTACCTCTCGTTGATTATAAATTTGGTAATATTTTTGAAAAGGAAAAGTGACATTATGCTCATTGTTGTTTTGCTTCAGGTTGAAATGAATTTAATTTAGTAATTTACATGTATGTCAAGAAAATTTCTATATAATGGTGATTGACCTAAACTTGATAATGAATAAATTTAAGTTCAGAATTAAATATAAAAAACTACCTAACATTATAAAGTCCCACTCACGATAAATTCTGAACGATATTTATAGAAATGTTGAAATAGAAATATAGAAATTTGGACTCTACCTTTGCTCTCGCCATTTACACGTGGATGAGCAAAGTGTTGCTTAAAGTACATTTAAGTTCAAATTTACCGAAGATATCGAATATGGAATAAAGTAAATGTCTCTATATTGTATTTTTTCCGGGGGAAGGGTAGGGGTTGTTCCGTTGCACCAACACATTGAATAATTTATGGCGATGTTTCAGCTTTACTGCTGGAGGAAGACCCCAGGTCCCCCTCCTTGAATTATTTCAGGCCCGGATGGGCACCTGAGTAGAACCACTGATAAACCATATGCTATATATGCTATTCTCATAAAATAATTTGAAACCACAACGATTAGCGATTATTGGTTTGATGTCAACGATCTTAATGACTCGGATACGGAAGCCCCTATGTGAAAAAACAATACTTACAACGGAAGTATATCAACAGTAGAAAATAGTAATGGTTGGACAAATATATGTAGATATTTGAGATTGTTGAAAAATGTTCTGTATATAACTCATGACAATTATAAATTTGAATTACCAAGAACATGCACACTACATGTACTTCCAACGCTCTTTGTTATGTCTTTTAAACGTCAATTATTTCGGCGTCAGCAGAATATTGTCTAATACTAATCAAAGAAATGTTTATAAAATCAAAATATCTTCAGCTACACCTAATTTCCTTCACAACTATAAACTGTTTAATTTTGCCTTAATAAGCACTATATAATAATGATACGCAACAAAATGATAATTGGTGGATTGGGATAATTGTTCACGTGAGGTTTATTGTTTACCTAATATATTAAAATCAACAAATGCCAAATATTGAATTGTTTTCAGGTGAAGAGAGTAAAGTGTATCTCTTTGGCGTCATTAGACTTATGTAAGTCTGAATATGTTATCATATTTCTTTTAGTACTATTTTAGTACTTATAGTATGTTCTTGCATTATGTGTGTTGACAATTCATTTATCGAAATTGATATTTTAAATTGTATTAGTTTTATATAGTTGAGCTGTCATTTGTGACTGAAAAAGCAGTTGAACTGATACTCGTAAGATTATGATAAACTGCTGCTGTATGAGAATGATACGTCATCCTAAGATGCCTTATAACATGTTTAAATGTTTGTCTTATTAAGATAAATTAAGGAAGTTCAAGGATTGTTTTTTAGTTTGAATAAAAAATTTGTTCAAGATTCGACATTCTATGGTATTTATAATTATAACGCACGCGAGTTGTGTATGCTTATTGAATAATAACATGCGTATGGTTTTGTGTACAAGGATTTCCGTGTTTATCTATTTGAGGGATACTCTTGCGTCAGTTTAAAATTATATAATCATCAAAAAGATAATACATTGAAATGTATAGTTTGTACTAGAATTATTGTAGTTGTATTTATGTTTTAACAAGTTATGAATTTGTTTTACAAACAGATTCAAGATAGAAAAGGTCGACGAAACTGCATTTAATATCGATGCAACGATTGACATTTGTTTCGAAGCAAGTGAAACTTGTCTTTTCTCTGCCAAAATTTTGGACAATGCAAGAATACCGAACGTTTTCTGCTCCCATGGACTTGGATTCCAGATTCCCGGTAGACTTTAAAAAGACACTTGTAAAAATTTCACTAGAAATGTTAAAGAAATATAATGATTTGTGTTATATAAGCGTCTACGTTCATTGTCTTATGCTGTGTGGCTACTATTTCGAATACGAAGATTATCTGAAATCCGAATTGTTTAACAAACAAACTTACTTGATCATGGAACCAGGTTGTTATTGATTTATTTCAGAAGTAATGTTTGGAAATAAACAGGTCCTTCTTGTAAAATCTTTATCGCTTAATAAAAAAAAATAAATATATATAAAGAGAATGAAATAAAAGAAAAGTAAAGTCATAGATGTAAGAAAAGATCATTTTCTTACCAATATGTTATTATGTAATCATCATTCCTTACAGACAGTTTTCTATTTCTTTGGCAGGATTTTCCCTAGATGTGTGGTTAAAGAATAATGGAATACGAGCCGGTGAAACTATCGGTGGAGCACTTCTTAGTAACTTGTTCAGTGCCTATGGTATTGATAACTACCTACAGAGTGATCAATGTGTATTGCAAGATTCGAGATTCGATCAAAAGCAAGGTCATTATGAAAGTATTTAAGACTTTAAAACTGTATCAATGTATAATGCATTGATATATTTATGATTATGAAGTGGTAATATCATGCAGTTAGAACTTTATGAATGAACTTTGTGTATTGCTTAATCGATGCTTAAAACACTTTTTTAGTTCAAAACACTACAAGGATTGGTTGGATCCAGTTTAATACATATTTGTTTGAATTTTTTTAGGAAATTGTTCTACAAATCTAGACATAAGTGACATACCAGACGTGGCGTGTGCTGTCTCGGATACATGCCTTGGTGTGTCTTGTTGCATATATTCAAGTATACTCAAACGTTCCTTTGAATTAAGTTTCGAAATAGATGTTTGCCGATATGCTCTTGAACTGCAGATTGAATCTTATAATTCTACCCTGTTGCTTGATACTTCGGAACTTGGTGATTGGAAATTCTTTACTCTCCAGGGACTGCTTAAGATAAGGTTTGTATTTCATGTTTTCGTTCGATCATCTCACTGTACATGAAAGCAAATGTTATGTTCGTTTTCAACAGTCATCCGTATAAATGACTTCATTTAACACTTGTGGTTTGGTTAATATCTAAACACATTAAACTTATTGCTTTTTAATTATATTTTCAAAACGTTTTAGTCATTTCAACAGTTTGTTTTACGTCTGTTACAGTTATCGCATAATAGACGTATTTGAAGATAATGTCTTCATCATCGATGCAATTGTGAAACTTTGTCTGTCTGATAGCGAATCGTGTGTAGTCGATATTCCAATTTTACAAAGAAAAGTGGTTCCAAAACCGTTTTGTCAATCTGAGATAGGATTTAAAATACCAGGTAATTGTATAACATTGACGTTTTTTCACAGACATTAAAACTAAACCGACTAAGTAGCATTTACAGCGTAAAAGTAAAGTGACTGATAATTTATTTATCAAACCATCATATTGTTTACCCAATGTGGCAAAATATTGTGTTTTATTTTATAGAATTCAAAACCTTTTTTGCCGTTTCCTCCATGTTAATGCAAATAATTATTGGAAGAATAGAGTTTGCTTCTTATAATGTAATATTGACTTACATATGCATATTGAAAATAGATATTACTGTATTACAATGAAATCCGATAATTTCAATACTTCAAGTCGCCTCATACTTTCAGATTTTTCACTTGTGAAATGGCTTGAAGATCAAGGTTCAAACAGCGCAGTATCAGTCCTGCCTAAGGATATCGTTAACAAATTACTGGATGACTTACACATTTCAAATTTTCTTAGTCTGGGTAGTTGTACTGCATCTAGTCCTGCATGGAAATCAGGTTAAATTTTGTAAATTAGACATTTTTTTAAACATTACTAGTAAACTGTTTTTAGAACACAAACTTGAATTGTTTCTATAAAGAATGTTTTTGAATATTTATGAATCAACTGTGTATAAATTTACCTCTTATGCCAAAAAAGCCCCGCATTTTGTCAAAACTTTAATAAATGAAATGAAAATATGTAAAAAAAAATGCTAAACACAAAGTTTGCATAAAAATATAAGAACATACTTAAAAATATATCATGATGATTTACATGTAAATATGTGCGTTTCTTGTAGATTGTGAATTTGCCAAAAGCGAAGTTGTGCTGCCACCTGGATTATCCTGTAGTCTGGACAATTCATGTGAAAATATTGCTTGCTGCGTAGAATTTACTCAACTACAGTTAATGTTGGCGTTCAGCTTTAACTTTGATGTGTGCAACTTGGAATTTACCACACGTATAGAAGATATAACAAAAACTGAATCAATCCTAAAATTTTCATTTAACACCGAACATATTATGGACCTATTTGGAATCTTGAAATTAAAGTAAGTTAGAAAGTTAGTTTTTAGAAAGGTTGTTTTTCAAAGTACCAGTTATGTGCGGAAATTAGTATGACTTGGTTAAGGCAGTATGCCTCCAAATTTATGCTTATCTTCATAAAAATTTGAACATGTATATAAAAGTAAAGTACAGTATTGTAAAAAGAACAAGGAATGTAATTTACACATTGCATACTGCACTTACAATTCACCTTAATTACCAAAATGAAGATCAAAATATGCAAAGATATTCCTGATTTCGTTAGTCACGCAGTAGTATTATGGTAAATGCTGTGCAAAATCAGTCATTAGTCCACAAAACATGCCCAACATAATTACTTGAATCTTGAATCATTTTACTTCTGTAACATCTCAGTATATTATTTTCTCAAGTCTGATTTCTTGAAAATTGTTTGCTCATTTGAAGGCATGCAGTTTTATGGCATGTCATTTACAAAACAGTTAAGTTACGAAATGTCTTGTATACGTGTTTATCATTAAAATTATGATGCAGGCATAAGATATTCGAGTTGAAAGGAGCTGGACTATTCTCAATTGACGTAAACTATAGACTGTGTTTAGACGCCTTAAACTGTACCACAGAAACATCAGTGTTTAACAACCTTCAGATACCCAAATCTGCTTGTGACTGGAATACCAGCATGATATGTAAGTATCAAAAGTGACTTTCGTTTACTAAGAATAACACGGTGACAATTTCCGTGTAATTGTAAATCTTTCTGGGTTTACGCGTTTTGCCGTTCGTTTACTTATGACATTGTTTGCTTTTTATTCTCTTTTAATTTAATTGCAGACGAATCTGTTGAGGACTTCTTTCAGTTTATTGACATTCCACCGGCAGAAGTTTTACAGGGAGAAATTATTGACATGTTTCTGCATAAAACTGGACTTAACATTTTTATGTCTGACGAGCCCTGTGTTTTGTCACCTTCGGCGACTACAACTTCCGAGCATGACCAAAGTAAGGCTTTAGCGTTCTGGTTATTACTCTCTGTACACTAGGCTTTAAAAAGTTACAAGTCAGTGACAAAGTTTACATGAAATGTGATGAAATTAGTCGCCGCTTTTATGTCTGTATAATCTTGCAGAACTTTATAAAGTACTAAAAATGAATTTCAGAATGTTCTACAATACAACTTCCTGTGGGTATGGAAAACAAAATGACATGTGTATATGACGGAAGCTGCACCGCTATGACGTGTTGCCTGAACGCTGAATTCATACAACGAACTATTTCATTCGGATACAAAATTGATATATGTGCTAAGAAGTTACATATCTATATTGAAAGCATGCAGTACGATTATGAGTTTACCGACGATATGTATGGAAGGGAGCATACAATAAGTCTTAAAGGCATTATTGAGCTGAAGTATGTATTTTTTTCAGACAAGACAGGTCCATAGAAAATGTACATCCTTTCCATATCAAAGTTGTTACTTACTTTAACAGAAACTGAAGTTTAGCTAGTACAGATCGGTGTCACTATATTCTATATATTAAATACAAGCATTTTATTTGAAACAATATGATAGTTGAATATCACAAGTATGACGGTTAAGTCAGAATCAATCTAGACTACGTAATTTTTAAATCGTCGAAAATAACAGTTTGTTTGATTAATATACAAATCGTTTTCTTTTAAACTAATCCTATCAAACTGTAATAAACAACTGCACAATATATGAGAATTTCATAAATGTTTCTAAGACAGATTTGTGTATACTTATATGTGATAAGTCGTTTTCAAAATGTATGGAAAGTATAGACTGTATGGTGTGCAAAAAACAAGTCTAATTGTTTTATAAATGCTAAACCAATTATCATAATGATTATTAAGTATACTTGTAAAACCATATTGTATTAATCTTAAAGAAAAAGAATCTTTAAAAAAAACAACAACAACAAAACAACAACATAATTTTGGATTGGATCTGATACTATGTGCAGCATCTTATTGATATGCTGAATTAGTTAAAATTAATTTACAAAATGATCATAGTTTAACATAACGTGCAAGGGAGTCAACATGAATGGTATTTTAATGGCTGAAATACGTTAAATGTCAGAATGATACATATACCTTACCTTAAACAACTCTTGATTTAGTAAATACTCAGCACCTTTATTGCTATCTCAATTCATATTTAATTGTAATAATTGGGGCAAATTTAATGTGTGATTTATCATTTTTCAGGACAAAGTTTGACTTTATCTCTGTAACTAATGTATTAGTTATAAACGTTGGTGTAAAATTATGTTGGGACAAAAGCTCGTGTGTTATTGATGCAATGTTATTAGATGGTGTAAAGTTATCCTTACCATTGTGTGATTGGGACAGCAACATTCTTATCAACGGTAACCTAAACTCTATATCTTAAAGTAATACTAAAGAAACGTCGACACTTTACAGAGTGTTTATGTTTGTATTGCAGCTATTGACTTTAAATGTATTATATTTGTCCGATATCAATGTATGTTATCGTTTCAAAAGAGTAGATAATCTTAAAAATTTACGTCTTTGTGACACTTTTCGTCGGGTAACGGCGATTTCGCGAATGAAGCCAAAAGTTAGGCTGGTTACCTCCTATATAAAGCCGGAATAACATTTTATCTCCTTCTTCAGTATAAACATGACTTTTGTAGTTCCCCGAATTTATCAGGTATACTGAACATTTAAAACATTACAGTTTCGTATGATTTATTAGCTATATGTTAGTAACAATATCGCTTCCAAAACGGTAGCAAGGTGATGTTGAACACAAAAACATCATAGAAGAGTATAACAATTAGCACAAGTACCATGATTCTGTTTTATCATAATTATTTAAAAAAGGCTGTTTGCTAAAAACATTTATTTAAATGTACAGGTTTTTCGCTTGTAAACTGGAAGGCTGATAATGGATTAGGCAGTGCTGACAACATAGACGGCTTATTGTCTGATCAGTTATTTGAACACTTACAACTTGCGCAATACCTAGGGGCTCAATGCGATACTGATCATTTTGGCAGTTTAATCACACCAGCAGGTACGTAAAATCTTAACCGGATCTGTAATTACTCATACAATGTTCAAAATTAGTAGAAATAATATGATAATTGCTTGTATCTATTCTTTTAGAGGTTGTGCTAAAATGTGATTAATCGGAAGTAATGTTTAAATGATTTGATAATGTGAAATGAAATTATTTAATCTGAACAGATTGTGCCCTTGCCTTACCAAGCTGGTTTGACGATAACGCTGACTTACACTGCGGGTTCCAAAACTCTTGTTCAAATATTTTCTGTTGTCTAATGATGAAGCCGCTTGGACGTTCATTTACAATAAACGTTGACATTCAACCATGCGAGTTCAAAATCTCGATTTCAATTGAAAAGTTTAAGAAGGTCGTTTCACTGAATGACTATCAATGGGGTGCTAGCGAAAGAGTCACTTTATTCGGCATGTTATCTGTGACGTAAGACGTTGTTCTATCTCTTCATTCAAAATTAATGAAATTCTTGTTTCTTTTAATGACATGACTTTGTTCAGTTAAATTCATAAAAAAATCAACAATTTATACCAAGAAATTTTCATTTTTGAAAGAGCTGTAAACTATCTTCAAAGTGTATATCATGCTAGCTTATTATATATAACATATACCTTTTAATCCATGTGACATGATTTAACCGTCAGCATTTTTATTGTTTTTATCCCTGTACATCAAAGTTTTCTCAAATTAGATCGTATTTGTTTTACAGATATGCTATAGTTGATATTACTGCTGAAAATGCCTATGTGGTAACTTTAAAATTATCATCATGCCTTGACGAATTGGATTGCCTTTTCGATGAGACTGTGTTAGATAATCAAATGATTAAAAAGGAAACCTGCCACTGGGAAGACTATTCACTACCATCAGGTACGGTCATGTGTATACAATAGAAAATTGAGCATTATTAAACTGTAAGAAAGTTTACCCAACCAGTCAAATATCAAACAATGTTTTATCCGGTCTGTAAGTCCAATATCCCAAAGAAGGATTTTCTTCAAACATAGGCTGAAGGTCAAGATTATTATTGAATGTCAAAGTTTTACCTTTTACCCCATGCGCATATTGCGAAAAATGGCCGTTTTCATTGAAAAGCCTCCTGTAACAAGTTCAAACTGCTATGAAACTATGAAAAATGCTTCAATACTAATGAAAGGCTCTGTAACAGCATGCTCAATTGTAAATTCCCTGTTATCATGGCAACAGGGGATGTCTCAAAATTGCCAAAAATCACTATTATGCATTATTTTTTTCCCATCAAAACTGATTTTAAAGTGCTGCAACTTCTAAATGAATTGAGATAGAGTAAAGGGTTTTTAAGCGTCGGTAATAAGTTACCCTAAGATTGACCTGAGGTCATTTTTAGCCTGTCACATGTCCAAAATTTTCTTGGCGATGAGGAGAACTGCCGCCCCCCTTCAAACCCCCCCCCCAAACAGAAGGGGCACATCCCCCTTCCGGCAACCCCCTGATGTAACATTTTGATGATGGGCGGCGCCAAAAAAGTGGTCACTATTTAACAACAACTCTCAAACGAAAAACAGTGTTTGGGGCCTAAATAGGGCATTTTTTCACTGTTTGAGGCCTAAAAATGGGGGGGGGGGAGGGCAAAAAGTTGTCAAAACACGTCTAAATGAGGAAAAAGGTTAACAAAAAAAATGAAAAACCTTAGAATTACCCAAAAACTTGAGCATTATTAAACTGTAAGAAAGTTTACCCAACCAGTCAAATATCAAACAATGTTTTATCCGGTCTGTAAGTCTAATATCCCAAAGAAGGATTTTCTTCAAACATAGGCTGAAGGTCAAGATTATTATTGAATGTCAAAGTTTTACCTTTTACCCCATGCGCATATTGCGAAAAATGGCCGTTTTCATTGAAAAGCCTCCTGTAACAAGTTCAAACTGCTATGAAACTATGAAAAATGCTTCAATAGTGATGAAACTTGGCACAAATGTTGACTAGACCATAGGCTCTGTAACAGCATGCTCAATTGTAAATTTCTTGTTATCGTGGCAACGGAGGGACGTCTCAAAATTGCCAAATATCATTATTTTGCATTGTTCTTTTCTTCATCAAAACTGATTTCAAAGTGCTGCAACTTCTCAATGAATTGAGATAGAGTAAAAGGCTTATCAGTTTCGGTTAGTAGTTATCCTTAGATTAACCTGAGGTCATTTTTAGCCTGTCACATGTCCAAAATTTTCTTGGCGATGAGGGGACTACCGCCCCCCTTCAAACCCCCCAAACAGAAGTGGGCACCCGCCCTTCTGGCAACCCCCTGGGGTGGCGCCAAAAAAGTGGTCCCTTTTTAGCATCATTTCTCAAACGAAAAACAGTGTTTGGGGCCTAAATAGGACATTTTTTCACTGTTTGAGGTCTCAAAAATGGGAGGGGGACAAAAAGCAGTCAAAACACGTCTATATGAGGGAAAAGGTTAAATATTAGACGTTATCTTATCCGATCATGTACCCCTGAAACTAATTTCAACAATTGTAAACTTCAACAAGGCAATGTGCAGAACCCATGCTGCCATTGTTCAGGTTATTGTCAACGTCAACCTTGAATGTTAAATGTTAGACAATTTCATGTCCACGTTTTAAATCGAATACTCCTAAATTTTGAGTTGTGTCCCTTAAAACACGGCTCAAATTTTCACCTCAACAGGAAATATGCAGTAATCATGAAGCCGCTGTGCAGGCTCAATTATTGTCACCCTTGAAGGTCAAAGGTCATGACAATTTCGTGTTGCAGTAAAAATCCTATTCCAATTTTATACCCTATGATCCAGTTTCTTCTAACCTGGCTGTAATGTTCAAATGTTCACTTCAATAAGGCAAAATACATAAACATGTTGCCATTGTCAAGGTTTAAGTTCAAGGTCGCCCTTGAAGGACAAAATTAGAATATTTTGTGTCTGCACTTTAAAGTGTACATTTTTCAAATATTTTCTCTTTCAAACTTACCTAAATTGTTTCTTAATTGCACTACACAATACCCTGTGACATGCAGATATGGTAATGGTATTTGTCACTCTTGAAGAAGTTCTAGCTTTTGATATTTATCGACAAGAATACAACATCTTTTTACGTCTTGAGCAATTATGTGTTAATAAAACATACAATTTGTTGTAACAACAAGTATGCTTAATTTTATCAAATAAAGATTATGACACTAGGCTGTACATTAAAAGTATTGTACGAATACCAATCCATTAATTCATTATTCAGGATTATGTTTGAATAACTGAAATTATTTAAAGTTAAAATGATGTTAGCAAAAACATAATAATTTCTTTGTATACTCTTCAGAGTTCAGTCTTTCTGAATGGGCAGAAAACAGAGGTTTAGACCCAAGTCAATTATTTCAAGACGGAACCCAATATCTAATGGAAAAGCTCGCTATAGACAGATTTCTCCTGAAACCATCATGCAGTTTACAGGATAATATTTATTTGAACGACCAAGTCAATGCAGGTAAATCAGTAAATTAGTATTATGAAATGATAATAATTTTCCTCTACTTAATTTAATGATAATTTATCGTCTCTATATGAACAAGAAAATGTAGCCCATTTTATCCAAAGAAAGCGTAATAATAACTCGCATTAATTTTATTTTATCAAATAATTGAGACTTTTGTTATTTAGTATGACCATTTGAACAGTTTTATATTTGATTAAACGTATATTTCATCAGTTACAGCTTTACACCCCTTTCAGCCTTTTAAGATTGTTTTGAGTTTTTAATGATGTATTTTACATATTTACATTACACAACACAACTTTTCTTACAGGTTGCTCACATGTTGATACATTTGCTTCGCTGTTGCCTATGGCTGCCTGCCGATTGTCAGATGAGTGTTTAAATCTAGAATGTTGTATAGATCCACCCAACATCAATCGCCGCTTCAAAGTTCAATTTAAATTTGATCCATGTAACTACAAATATAAAATAAACATTGAAAAACTTACTTTTGAAAAAAGCCTGTTTGATGTTGATCTTTCCACCGAGCAAACATTTTCGTTACATGGAGTTGTAACAATTAGGTAAAAGTTTATACTCGTTTTTATTTATAAAATCAATACAATTTACATCTATTAGATTTAAATCAACCCGTAAATTTGCCATTTTATTTATCATCAGGTTGACATAGATCAATATAAATTATTTTTTCTTAAGTCTCGATATTGAAGTGTACAAATGCATGTTGCCTATAATATGTTACCGCCTATATGACTGAAATACTGTTGGGAAAAGGCGTAAAATGAATTAAACAAACAAATATAATATATATCCAACATCCTAGTTTACGTGTTGCTCATACCACGTGACTTTTGTGATCTTCGTGAGGCAGAATTAAGGGTAAGGTAGTATATTCTACATGGAATGAATTGAAGAGCTCGCTCATTTATAGGGGGGGGGGGATTCATTAGTTCTTTGGTAAAGTAAATTTATGAATGATCAAACATGCAGTTTTGCGTAAGGATAAAAAAACTAAGTTTTCTATTAAAATACATGTGTATAAATAATGTTATTTTTACTTACTCGAACAAGTTTACTTTAAAGTCATCGAAGAAAATTAATGCTACCTGAACCGTTAATTGTATTTTGCAGATTACAAAATGAAAGGCCATGAGGTTTATACACTTAAGATCAAATCCTAGAGTTGAATCGCTTTCATTATTTTCTATCATATTGATATGAATATAACAAAGTGCCGCCGTTCAATATCATTGAATTCACATTAAATTATTTTGTGCTGATTTGACTTTTCAGTTACCGAGTAGAAGATTTCGCAGTTGATAATGTTTACAAAGCCAATCTTGGAATAAAAATATGCCTTGACGGCGTCACATGCCCAGTTGACCTGCAGGTTTTAGACAATGCTTTGATAACAAAACCAACATGTTTCACAAAACTGAAACAAGACTACAAAATAAAAGGTATTTTTAAATTTTCATACCGATTATGGTAATTTCCTTATAGAATATTTTTGAATATTTACTATGTACAATATGAGTTCATACTTATGACAGCAGATATGATATTGTCTGTTCGTTATTCGTCTATATCAAAATCACTTGACTTTACAAATGACGTTCTCGTTTTAAGTTTGTATGCTTTAGTTAAACGCCCTTTAGGGACTGCGTTTCCTAGAACGTCCTAAGTGTATCCTAAGTCCTTGGACATAAAACCAACTTAGGATTACCTTAAGACCGTTTCAATAAACATTTTAAACTCTGTCAAATACCGCAGCTATAAATCAATTCATGCGAAAAGTTAAGAAATACAATGACTGATCCTTTTATTCACAATGTGTAAATGTCTATCAACATTGCTATTCAGAATCTAAAGGTGTAATAACATTTTCTTTGAAACGCAAAATTGTCTCAGTTTTGGTCTGAAGACTGATGTCAGACTTAGGACTTTCTATGAAACGCAGCCCAAAATTATTTTCAGTTCTCAAACACATTTTATTGTTTACTTAGTTTCCTGCTAGAGTTTCCGTAAAAGAACCATCTTATTGGCAATACAGCTAAACAATTATTTGCTTTAGATGATTCTTCTCTATTAGTACAGTTATAGTGATAAAGTAGTTGTGATGATAGTCAAAATTCCAATGTGTTGCCTATATGATATATAACTACATATTTAGAACTTCTATTTACTGGTAATTATTTGTGTAAGCATCTAATATGTTGAAATCTATTATTATAACATTACTAAACACATGTTGTCTCTTCTTGAAATGCCTTAAATGGCAATTACGACATAAAGGTAATTATCGGTCACCAAGGTGTGATGTTCATTGTATAATGATCGGAAAATATTTCAGAATTTTCGCTGAATAAATGGATGGATAGATATAACACAAGTTTCTCAAAGAACATTCAGCTTATGCTAATGAGTGACCTCGGTATCACTGAGTATCTTAATAACGACGAATGTACAATTGGTCAGGTCGGCTGGAATAAAGGTAAAAGATAAAACAAAATATCTTCTTCAGAAATAATGTAAAGAACCATTTTAACAATTAATGTATAAGCATACGTTTATAACTTATGGCACAAATTTATTTAATTAATGTATGTTTATTCGTTTATTCAGAGAATACTGTATCAAGAATTTGTGCTGAAATTGCTAGCTTATCCAGAATTTTTATGTAAGCGTTTGTAGCTTAAATGGTGCTACCCTAAAGTTTTCATCGGACATATTTATCACGAATATCATTAATTACAAAAAGAAATACGACATATATACTTTTGAGAAGGTTCATATCTTACATACATAATTAATAGCATTCTGTGCGTTTTATTTATTTTATTTATTTATAACACTTTTAGACTTGATAATAACCCAACTGCAATTAGAATTGAAGTACCGATTCTCAATTGGCAAATGTAAAAATACATTTGATGCTGATGTAATTAATAAGTTTGATTTTTAACATCGATTAGGAATTGTTATATTTTAGATGAGTGTGCACTGAGTTTGTCTTTACCTGAGCAGCAGCTGTTCGACATGTCCTGTTCGTTATCAGCGAAATGTACAGAGTTTTCTTGTTGCATACCAGTACCGTTTATCAACAGAAATGTTGGAATCGATGTAAATGTGGATCCATGTGCATTGACGATGGACATAAGCGTCGAACGGCTAAGATACTCTGTCAGTTTGATTGACTACAATTTTGGAAGGCAAGAAAACGTTTGGATTTCGGGAGTTTTACGACTTACGTAAGTAATTTATGATAATTATCTATCAATTGATACGTGTATTCTATCATCAGAAACGTGTATGCTTTTTGCATGATGCAATTTTAAAATTTGACTTTTTAAAAAAGCAGAATACTTTTAAAAAAGTGAGTTATGTTCTATATAATTTTAAATTCTATGTTTTATATTTAAAGAAATGAAACGTGTTTATAATGCAATTTAGACATTTAATAATAATGAAAACGTCTTCTGTATTAACTCTGTATGATCCAAGCTCTATCGATACATACGATACACAATATAGCAGCGTTTACGTTTTACCATCTCGAAATAAAAGTATAAATAATTGATTTATTCTAACGCCAGCGAGCTTTAATTTTTCTCTAGGTTCACAATCCATGACATTGTTCAGAAAAATGAATATTTAGTGTCCGTGAACTTCGAAGAGTGTTGGGAATATAACGACGTTTGCTCGAAAGAATACAGTTTATTAACAAACCAACGGTTACCAAAGCAAATTTGCAACAGTACAAGCGGCTTTAACATTCAAGGTAGAGACATTTTGACATTTAAGTGCATTTGAGAAGGACATTATTTGTTCATTAGTTAAAGAAGTAATTCCACTTTATACGGTACTATACATATATAATATATACTGATAGTTAATTGAAAGTGTACAAAGCTAAGCACCTGCTGTCTATATAGACAATATAGTTTATATTCATTTTCTGCTTGTTTTATTTGTACTCATAATAATTCCAAAATACCGGTATTAAATTAATATGCCAATGGCGCACGCTTGAAACGTAATAGTCTGTTCTGTTTATGTGTGTTAATAAGAGAAATATTCTATCGTAAATCTCTTTCGAGAATATTCCATAAAATTTTTGAAACAACATTTTTTTTCCTGTTTTTAAATCTAATAAAGAATGTCATGTGATATAGTTTTAAACCCTTTTATGCAATTTTAGTGTTCTCTATCGAAATGATATATATGTACAGCGCAACATACAGTGGCATATGATGTTATGTCCGTCATGTAAGGCCAATTCGGGACTACCATCGAGAGCAACGCTAGCACAGTTTAAAATACATCCTTTGTTTATTATGTCTGTTGATTGGAAAAAATAACATATGTTCAAATGTTGCAAACACACTCAATAATTTTAGAGTTTTTCCTTATATAACGTGAAACCAATACTTGAAAGGTCAAGATAAATAATTGTTTCTGTATCATGTTTTCCTATTCGTTTTCTTTATTCTAGAATTTTCCCTTCAATCGTGGATGTCTAATCATGGACTTAATACAGGTGATACACTTAATGAACAACAACGAAATCGTCTTCTAGAGGAATTAGGACTTGTTGCTTTCTTGAATGATAATGACTGTCATCTTGAACAAACTACGTCAGCGCAAAATGGTTGGATCAACGGTAAGTTATTCCCTTTAACAATTATATTTATTTGATTTAATATTTTTTAGTGATTTTCTTTTCTTTTAAAATTTAACGCATTGTCTGTGAATAACATTATTTTATATTCCTTTACATTACAGAGTGTCCCCATACCCTTCAGTTGCCAGAATTACCTGACGGAATAAAGTGTAAAGTCGCTAGTTATTGCACAGCTATCAGTTGCTGTGTATCTATGGATCAGATAGGCTACACATTTAGTGTAGGTCTAGATATAGATCCATGCAGTCAAGAGTTGACAGTTCAAATTGAACGACTGCAGAAGGAAATAGCTTTTATCAATATGGAAGATGGATTATTTGATGAGTTATGGCTTTTTGGAATAGCAAATCTGAGGTATACTTTACTGAAACTCTCAATGTAAAGATACAGACCTTGTATTAAAACGTTTGCGAGAGAAACTGATTAATTTGCAGCTAACGAATTGTTCGTGTTCTTTCAATGATACATGTTTTATCGGAAGATAAAGATATTTACACTGATATATCAGATCACAGTTGTTTGATATAACTTCTATACACTTAGACATAATGCGTGCCTTAGATAGTTCGTATCAACAATTAAACCATTTTGATGTTTTGGTTTAATGACAATATTTATTTTCAGATATCAAGTTTATGACTTGCACGAAGAACGAAAATATCTTCTGACATTGACTATCAGCCTATGTTCTTCCTACGACTCTTCTTGCACTGACTATACGGTGTTCAATAAAACCAAGATTCGTAAAATCCAATGTGACTGGGGATTGAACACTGCTACAGAAGATGGTAATTGGCTATACTGTTTCAGGGCATCACTGATCAGTTTCAATGTTATTATTTCAAATATAAAAGAAACCACTGAAGTGCTAAACCATGCATAACTGTGGAGGAGTAAAGAAATTCGTTATGAAAAGAATAAAAATGCATGTTTTCATCATGTTAAGTTACGTTATACTTTCACTAAAATTAAATTTGCCATACAATTCAACGCAATACTTAGTTTAACTAGAGCTTTATTTTACTGGAATTTATGTATAATTTAAATATACCAGTAATTGAAATTATCTGTTCATTTCAGTGTTTTCAATTTCTAATTGGATGGAAAATTTCAATGTTGATGACACTCGAAATCTTCCAGCTTATGCAGTTGACATACTTTTCAACGAAATGGGTGTTGCCGATTTTCTCTCGCAAAGCCAGTGCATAGTCAATCAATATCCTTTCAGTATAGAGGGTGGAATCGAGAACGGTGAAATTAATTAATTCATTTGAAATAATAAAATGCAAATGTTTGCCCTTTTCATACAGAAGTAAATTGGCTAAAATAAATTATTGCATTCGTTTTTTTGTATTTTTATCAAATGAAAATATGTTAACGAACAATTTAATACATTTTAGAAGGACGGAATTGAAACCGTAGACATCTTTTAATATTCTTAACAGCCGTATGCAAAATATAGAAATATTTAGTTCTTCCACCTTATTGTTGAATATGAATAATAAATAAATAAATAAATTGTTAGATGACTTATAAGTTTCCGTTGTACATGTTCACAGAATGTAGCGGGTATTTGCTGGATGGAAGTGACCTTGGCCCTGTGTCCTGTCATATGAGCTCTACATGCATGTCATTAGAATGTTGCATCAACACTACTGCTCTTCCCCGAAGTATACACGCATTCTTCCAGATAAATGCTTGTGATGAAAAGCTTACCGTTGGAATAGAAAAGTTTACATTTGAAATGAGCCTTGTTGATTATGACTTTGGAACAAAGGAACACTTTTGGTTAAATGCTATATTCCGTATCGAGTAAGTTTTATGTTTGAATTGAACATACCTTATGATCTTTTTTCTTTAAAAATATATATACATAAATAGGCATGTTCTAGACAAATATTGTATTCTATTGACGTAGATTGTCAAATTATAATCAAAATATGCGTTACCTTTAAACATTTTTACTTGTTATTTCATTATTTTAGTTTCCGAATATTCGACCTTAAAGAAAAAGAAAGCTATGTTGTTGATCTTGAAGTCAGTATTTGCCTTGAAAGTGGGTCAGAATGCACCGTGAAGCAATCCATATTGTCTGATGCTGTACTTCCAAAGCCACAATGTTCATTTCAAGAAGGTTTTAATATTAACAGTAAGTACTTTATAAAGTATAACAGCCGGTTACTGTAAACGTTATGCAGATGATAAATTGCTATGTTTATATAAGTGACAGTAAAAATGCATGCATATTAGGCAAAAAAATATGTGTTCATTGCATTATCTTATCTAGATTTTGCTTTAAATTTTTAAAGGTAATATCCGTAAAATTAATCAAACGTATTTTTGAATATAATGATATTATTCAATACACAATATTTCTGACTTAAAACACAAAATATGGTCTTTTCACATAATTTTTTGTTACTGTCTTAATTTGTCTGAAAAAATATCTGTAATAGATCCGCAAAGTTTCTTTAAGTTATAACTCCTTGTATTACGTAAAATGGTCAGGCTGTTTATTCATTCTTTTATACTTTTTTTCTAACAGTTTTGTTAATTTATTCTTTTTTTTTAGATTTTTCTATAACCGAATGGATGCATGAAAAAGGCTATGAGCTGCAAGATGAATTGTCAGAATTGGATTTGTCATTTTTGATGGCTGATCTTGGCCTACCTAGGTTTCTTCAGAGCATTGAGTGTGAACTCTCGGATTCTGTCAAGGATAACAAGACATGTGAGTTTATAATTATAAAATATTGGTCATAATTGATTATAAGTGGCCATTTTTCTTTAACGTAACATCGATGTTGTTACTAATGGCAGTTTTGGTATGGTAATATTTATAGTTACAAGCAGATAAAACTTATAATAATATAAACAAATAAATTCGATACAGGAACGTTTTTTGTTTTCAGCATGTTCCTTAAATCAACTCCTAGTAAATCTTCCAGAAGACCTAACATGTTACCTTCCGACATGCAATGACGTGAAATGCTGTCTGTATGTAAAACCACTGCGAAGAAATTTCATGATTCTATTACGTATTGACCCTTGTCAGCAAGTTCTCTCAATAGAGATAGAAAATATGAAAGTGCAACTTGCCTTCAATGACTTTAAATGGAATGAAGAGCAGTCGATATTTTTGAAGGGTGTCCTACGAGTAGCGTAAGTGTTAATAATATTTATTATTCTGTCGATATTGAATCAAACGTTTTAATTTATTATTATTATATTCTTATCTGTTTCGTCCTTTAAATGATATTTCAGTAAAAGTAGTTTCTACAAATTGTGATTCAATAGGATATATTATTTCTTTACTAAGGAAAACATGTTTCTCAGTGACATTGAAAACCATTATTTTCAACAATTGTATCTTGGTTACATTTTTATGGACATATCTTTAATTTTTATAATCTTATGTTTTATAGATTTACATTAGAAAACCTAGATGGACAAAATGCATTTGTGTTGTCACTTGCTGTAGATGCATGTCTTGAATTTAACACGGAGTGCTATTTCAAAAGCACAATCTTCGACAAGGCAATATTTCATAAAAGATTTTGTGAATTTTCAACGTCGGAAGCTTTCCCAATTACAGGTACGTTAATTTTGTCTTAGAGCTATATTTTAAGCACCTTATATTAAAGTTTCCCATGTCAATATAAGCATGCATTTACGATTCAGCAGGTGGATTAAATGATTCTATTTACTGGTTGAAATTGTGTACACTAGATCGATATATTTATATTTGCTTATAATGAATTAAAGTTTCTGAAATACAGATTTTGTTATTGGAGAACATAACGTAACAATGGCAAATTGGTGTTCGGTACATTGTCGTTCTTATCTTTGCTACGAAACATTATTTTATGTCATTTTCAATAAGTCATTTGCAGGCTTTTATGAACTAAATCTGTTGTAGTAGTACAATTTAGTTCCGTTCAGAAACCCCGGTTATCGTATACAATGATACTTTGGAGGACCGATTATGTTATATTATTGTGTTGGTCATTTATGGATGTCCAAATTACATTAAACTTGGAAAATTTAAATATCAAATTGAAATTTTATGAATATATAGTTACCTGATGATAACGATAAGAATTATCCATGCTCAGTCACCTGTAACTCGCCTGTTCTAAAAATAGAACTATCTACCTATAAAAGGTAGATATCCACGAGTTAACCTTAGTAAAGTCTGGCGCTCATAAGAGTCACCAGATCACTGAAAAATGGGGAGGTTGGGAGGGTATAATAATGTTATCATCAGGTAAGTATATATTAATAAAATTTCAATTTGATATTTAAATTTTCCAATTTTATTTCATATCGCTACTTACCTGATGATAACGATAAGAATTATCCAGATTTCAAAGCAGTACTTCTTGCACTGGGTGGTGGGTTTTCAGTTATTCACTGATGTGTTGTTCATAACATATTTACACTGGATATACACTGAACTATATACACTGATTTACAGTAGTAGAAATCCCATTTATACATATCCCTTGATAAAATACTTCTTTACACTGTATATAAAATACCCTCCTTTTAACAGTAATTATACAAGTTACAGTTATTCATATATCGAAGTAAACCTCATATTTTGTTGACGCAACTCGCCGGTTATTTACAAAATTTTTTTTTTTTTTTTTTTTTTTTTTTACATATTATTGAAGTATTTCTGTATTAACAGATTTCAAATAAAATTTTATAAAAGTGGACTCTCTTGTCCAATCTGCAGCTTCCATTATGTTTTTCAATGGAGTTCCTTTTAGGAGTGCCCAAGAAGCTCCAAGGCTGCGTGTTGAATGAGGTAAAACTTTCCCTGACTCCTTGTCAGACTCTTTATATGCCCTTTGTACAGTTTTCCTTATCCAAGCACCAATGGTTTGACTAGTTACTGGTCGATATGGTCTGCAAAAGGAAATAAACAGCTTTGTTTCATCTTTACCATTAACTAATCTATGAATTTCTGTGCGTTTCAAATAAATGGCTAATGCCCTTTTAGGATCTAAAAGTTTGTTAGATGGGAAAGCCGGAATAAATATATATGGTGATATGTGTCCAGGTCTATCTGTTTTAGAAATTCCAGTCCTTATGAATGTAATGCCTCGATTCTGAACATTGACATTATTTTCTCCCAACTTCAATGAATTAATGTCACTACAGCGCCTAAATGTAGTGACCGCTATTAGAAAAACAGTCTTAAAGGTAACAAATTTCATATGTGTTTTCATCATAGGTTCAAATGGACATTTTTGTAAGGCTGTTAAGACCAAATTTAAATCCCACTCTGGAACTAATTTTCTAGTGGGTGGTCTTGAATTGAAAACACCTTTTAAAAGCCTTATGATAAATCTATGTTGACCAATAGGAAAATTATCAACTGGTGGTAAAACTGATGAAAGCATTGACCTGTAGCCTGCTATAGTATAATATTGTAGGCCTTCATGAAAGAGGTCTGTCAGAAAATCTGCACACTGAATTAAAGTTGCATTATAGGGATCAATTTTCCTTTGATTACACCAGCGACTAAATTTTCTGAATTTACATGAGTAGTCTTGTCTAGTACCAGCTCGCCATGAGGCTGAGAGAAGTTTTCGAGTTTTCTTTGAAAATCCCTCTGTTCTAAAGGATTTGTTGATAATAGCCATGCAGTCAGACTTAACATTTTTGGATTTTGATGAAGAATTTTTGTGTTTGGCTGACTCAGAAGGTCTTTCTGGAGAGGTAACTTGATTGGATAAGCTACAAGATACTGTAACAATTGCGGGTACCACGGTCTGCGTGGCCAACATGGAGCAATTAGTAGAATTCGACAATTGTACATTGTCATGTGCTGTAATAGCCTGGGCATTAGAGCTATCGGTGGAAAAGCATATGCAAAGATGTTTTCCCATGATATTGTCAGTGCATCTATTGCATATGCTTGAGGACATTGACTCCATGAACAAAAAACTGGTAGTTTGTGGTTGTGAACTGATGCAAAAAGATCTATTGAGGGGTGACCTAGTTTCAAGAATATTGCATTCAGAATTGATTGTTTGAGTGTCCATTCTGTTTGTTTTATCACTGTTCGTGATAACTGGTCTGCAAGGACGTTTAACTTTCCCGTCACATGGGCAGCTCTGACAGTAGTTTTGTTTTGAAGTAACATTTGCCATAAATCCCAGGTTTTCTGATTCAGAATTAGGGATTTTGTTCCGCCCTGCTTGTTTATATACTGTACAACTGTGGTGTTGTCTGACCGTATTAGAACATGTTTGTTCCCGAGATATGGAAGAAAATGTTTGATAGTGCGGTGAACTGCTTCCATTTCTAAACAATTGATATGTTGTAATTTTTCTGTTTCTGTCCATTGACCTTGAACTATTTGATTTCCCAGATGACCACCCCAAAGTTTCAGTGAAGCATCTGTTGTTACTGTGATTGAACACTCTATGGGAGTGACAGATCGGCCTTTCAAAATGTTCACTGGATTTAACCACCAATTTAAATGTGGAACAAGGCTTTGAGAAAAATGGTATTGTCATATTTAAATCTTGACTGCATGGTTTCCACAATTGTAACAGATGGATTTGAATCGGTCTCATAAACAATCGTGCATTGGGAATTATCTGAATACACGATGCTATCAGACCAAGCAAGTGAAGATAATCTCTTGCAGTACATGTTTGATTCAGTATTTTTTTGACAGCTAGATACAATGACAATATTCGGTCTTCTGTTGGCATAACTAAACCTTTTTGTAACTGAAAAAGGGCTCCTATGTATGTAATTGTCTGACATGGAATAAGTTGTGACTTCTTTAGATTTATTATAAATCCTAGTTCTACAAGGAGATTTAATATCAGGTCTTTGTTTTGGATTAATTTCTTTAATTCTTGATTTACTATGAACCAGTCGTCTAGGTAATTTGCTAGACGTATGCCTAAAGTCCTCAAATACGCAGTTATTACAGCTGTTATCTTTGTAAACACCCGGGGAGCCACTGTAGGTGTCTTTCTTATTCCTGAAAAGGCGGGAACTGTTTCGAATTCCAATTTGTACCCCTCTTTTATGATTGACAAGACCCATTTGTCTGATGTTATTTCGTGCCATTTTGCAAGAAAATGTTTCAAACGACCTCCTACTGGTATCTTCGGAATCAAACAAAGTGTACTTACCAAGTCATTTCTTTTGATTGAATTTCCCTCGAAAATTGCTGTTTTGACCCTGTGCAGAAGCAGCGGTAGAAGGCTTGTTTTGACTGGCATAAGACTTGTACGGTCTTCTTGTCTGAAAACTGTTTGTTTGTCTTTCGTAATCAAATTGTTTCCTTTTTGGACTGTAGTCACATCTTGACCTTTTAAAAGATTGAAATTCCATCACTGGTTTTCTTTTTGTTTGTTTACATTTGTCCTTGTCATCAGACAGCAAGTCAATTATGTTTTTGCTAATTTCTTTTTTAGACTTAAGTTTACTCTCAAAGTCTTTTCCAATAACGCCTTCATCAGTAAGAGGAAGATCCCACTTATCAATGTCTGGAATTTTCCTATCAATACCCGTATCAGCAATAGTTGCTCGTCTACGAACAAGGTGGTGAAAAGCTCCTGCACGTGCAGTTTGATCAAGTGAATGTGATGCAATAGCAAAAATATCCTTCGTTGACTGGATAGCAGCATCAATATTTGGATCCTTATCCGTCAGTAAAGTAAGAAGTTTACCTAGACCTTGTTGCATATACATAATCATAGTGAGAGCTACACTTGATGCACTTTGACCTTTGTAAGCTAATTTTTCGATATTCTTGTAAGATGAGCTGTATAAACTATGCCCATCTTTGTAAGAAGCCTTCGACCCATATCTGTCTTTGAGAAAAGAATCTACTATTGGATCTAAACTAGGAACCTTCAAAAGTTGCTTGAAATCTTCACTTACTGTGAAATTTTCCAAGGATTCAAGTTTAAAAGTTGACATTTTATTTGGCTCTGGACATCTCCAAACAGATTTCAATATTTCTTCTTGAGATTTATCCAAAATCAATCCTGGTCTAGATTTTTCACTTTTTGATGGCACTGCATCTGGCCCAAACATTTCAAATAAAATGTCACGATTCTCTTTAGACAATCTACAGTTACGAAAACGATTACTGTTCTCATCTTCAGAATCTGAACTGTCTGACAACAATGAAAGTACTGTTTTCTTATTACCATTTGAAAACACAGATGATTCGTCATCATCACCGAGCAAATCAAGACGTTCTTGTCTATGTGGATGGATTGATAAGTTGTCATCACTATGTGACTCATTTTCGGTGTTTCGCGACCGTCTATGGTCCGAAGGTGAAGATATCCGCGGCCTTCTATGGTCCGGAAAGTCGAGATTTCGCGACCTAGCAAGGTCCGAATGTGGAGCTATTCGCGATGTTCTACCATCCGAATTACTGTTAGCAACCGCAACGTCTGTAAATTTACTCTCCATCCAATCCTTCAAAGATTCAAACCTACTACACCATTTCTGTTCCATGCGTTGCTCTAACAAATCCATTTTAGAAGCACGTTTCTTCGTACTCGTCGTGGTTTTCTGTTTACCGGAAGACTCTTCAACCGGTGTAAGGATAGGAATATCCTCGTTAATATTATCCCGCCCCCTAGACGAAGGGGTAGCGGCTGATAAATCAAACGATAAATCTGCCTCGGTCATATTACAAACTAAACTGATAGTAAATATGCGAAGGTGACTCGATGAGCGCCGGAAATTTACTGAAGTTAACTCGTGGATATCTACCTTTTATAGGTAGATAGTTCTATTTTTAGAACAGGCGAGTTACAGGTGACTGAGCATGGATAATTCTTATCGTTATCATCAGGTAAGTAGCGATATGAAATAAAATTATTATTTGTTTTACAGACTTTTCTCTTTTGGAGTGGAAGCTGAATAATGAACTTCATACAGATTTGCCACTGGAAAATTTATTTTCTGATTTATTGCTTGAGGAATTGGGTATTTCCATGTACATAAATGATCCGCCTTGTCTAATGAATCGGAACAAATTAAACTCTGGCTGGACAAATAGTAAGTGAATGCTTTTGGAATGATAATTTCGATGTTCATTAACAGCATATATTATCAATGAAAGATAATGTTTAATTTTAAGAATATATTGTATATAATTTGATGCATCAACATATTGGTATATAATTCAAGTCTTACCTTTTAGAGCATTTATATAATTATGATTTGTTTCCAGGCTGTCCATACACATTAATGAACACGTTACCAACAAACATGGTGTGCTCTTTAGACAACAGATGCCTTAAGCTAGAATGCTGTATATATGTCACTGCAATAAACAGAAATATAGAAGTCCAATACGACATCGATGTTTGTGGGTCAACGGTTGAAGTCGGTGTAGAACAACTTGTCATGAAAGAAAACTTCCTTGATTTTTCCTGGGGTAGTTTCTGTTCTGAAACTCTTTACGTTTACTTAAAGAATTTTTGTTAATAATCTTCCATAATTACACTTAGTTATTACTAACAATTTATGTGTTAGATTATCACTTTTCAAAGCATTTTTGGGATCATGGCTGTAGAAATTATAACATTAAAAGATGAATGAAAATATATATAAAGACAATATTGTTCAAGAGTTAACATTATCATTGCAGGTGAAACAAAGAGGTTGAACTTCGGTGGCATTGTTCGTTTTGAGTAAGTATTTATTATGGGCTCTTATCTTCTAGTCGTAAAGTTTACTCTGTCGCTGGGACAGTAACGATGAAATAGATCGGCACAGAGACACGTACTAGATAACAGTTAGATACTGTGTATTTTAATGTAACTCTATCTCGACATTATATGTTACAAACATAGTGGTGTATATGAACCATTAAATCGTATATATGGGTTAATGCATTAAGGGTGGAATAGGGGCAGGATAATTTTCTCATGTGCACATTAGATGTACAGGGAATTGCCAAGTTAACACTAGCTCCAGAATGTCTACAAAAGAAAACGTAGAGCAATGGTACTGTCAGACGTTAAGGAGCCTACATTTGTTGCTTTGTTTTATACTTTGTGATTATGCAATACTATTCCGTTAGCAAACCAACAGATTGAAAAGAATAGCCTTTACTTTAGTGAAACCGGTATATACTCCATACAAGTAATTTTGTTTGGCTGTTTTAAATATCATTTTGTCTTCTGTAATAACGACGTACACTTATGCTCATAACAAGCTAATTTTATATATTTCTATCTACAGATTTTGTTTATCTATCGACACTCTGCACAAAATATTCAGCTATTTTTCTCGCTGCCGTAAAGTTTGTCAATTCTAAGTTCTCAAAGTAAGGGTAACTGTCCCAGGAAAGGGAGAGAACGGACGAATATGAGCAACAATATTTTGGTTTTAGCATTACAGTCGAGACTGCCTAAGCGACCCCCTGATTTAAACGACTCCCTGTCTTATCTGACCTTGTTTCAGTACTCCAAACGTATTTTCCTATATAAATGGTCTGAATTAAACGACTCCCTGTCCTATGTGACAAGCGACCCTAATTGTCTGGTCCCAATGCAATGTTTGGTCTGATTTAAACGACTTTCACACCTTTTAATTGTCTGTTAATCAGATAAATAAGACCTATATCATAACACCCAGAGGGCCAAAATAATTAAGTCCAGTTATAATCCAGTAGCAAACAAAGTCTACACACCTCTATCTCAATTACACAGTAAACATGTATACATGCAGGTACAATGTATCAAGTGACGTAGCAAGCATGATGCAATCGATGTGTGTGTAATGTACATGATGGCCGTTAAGACTTGTGTTAGATTTTTTCTTTTAATTATAGAGTGCCCACGAAAGATTTTTAAGGCAGCATTTTTTTAATTTACCTTTCTATGGCTGCATAATTAATACGGAAAAAATATTGATACCAAACCAGAAAAAAGCTGTGGATATGGATATGTTTAAAGATCCTGTAACACAATTTTTTCATGGTTTTATTTCATGAATATGATGCTCAAATTAAGATTTGTCAATATTGTAAGTTCAAATAAGCATTATTTATAAAGATAGATCTATCACCCAATTTAACATTTCATGTAAATAAAGGCCATTAAAGGGAGGTAATTAGAACTTTATTTTCTATAAATTCTAAGTCAAATTTTCCAATAAGAAATCAATGCATGTAATTTATTGATTAAATATAATGTGTACAAATATTTGTAGTACACATTTTACATATTCTTTGATGTTTGAAAATTGTTTTATTTGCATAATTATATCCATATACAATGTACATTTTTTTGCAAGTGTGATATACACCCAGTAACAATATCAATCACAAAACATACAGGATCTTTAAGTCATAATGGTATATAGACAGATAGATGATATTTAAATTTAATTTTCTTTGAGACTGTATTTAGAGACTCCCTGTCATATGTGACCTTTATCTGAAGATCCCTTGGAAAGTCACATATGACAGTCTCGACTGTATATAAAAGACAAAAAGGTTAAAATGAATCTAAACTGTTGTCTATTTTTATGTATAATATCCTTGTTTTTACAGTTATTCATTTTCCAATCTTGAAAATGGGGATCAACTTATGACAAGTGCAACGATTAGCCTGTGTTTTGAATCTTCGTCACCTTGCGATTTGCAGACAACTTTACTTGATGGACTTATTTTTCCAAAACAATTATGTACATGGGATAAAGGCTTTGCTTTAAATGGTATTCATTTTTATTGTTTACAAAGAGAAAAAAGAAATTATTTAATTATTATTATCATCGGACAATTTCTGAAATATATGCATAGTCCGATAAATACAATCATGTGAAAAGCATGATAACTTGTTTTTTATTTAAAGAAATTATATGAAATTTCCACTAATTAAGTCCTATCATTAAAAATACTGTAACAATCATAACGAGTTACGGTCCTTTAGTACAGGAACGCCATTTGCAGGTAAATATACGTAAACGATACGTTGCACTGGAGACTATATTTTTTAAGGTTAGTTTGCTATTATTCTGTTGTAAATAATAATGCGAGTATTTCTTTCATGTAATTTCAATGAAATGTATAAATAGTTTCTACTACAATGTTTTATTTGATATTATTCGTAATGCAGACTATATGATCTATATAACATTATTAGCAGGTGCTCGTTTCTGTATAATTGTATTGTAAGTTAATTAGCCAATCATAAATAGCCGTAAGAGGGCGTTGTTGTACAAAGCATATATAAGCAGAGGTATTCAAGGTGAGTTTTGGGCCTCCGTGGCCGAGTGGTTAAGGTCGCTGACTTGAGATCACTGGTCCCTCACCGCTGTAGGTTCGATCCTGACTTGGGTCGAAATCTTTCATGTGAGGAAGCCATCCATCTGGCTTACGGAAGGTCGGTGGTTCTACCCGGGTGCCCGCTCGAGCCTGATATAATGCCCGGAGGGGCACCTGGGGTCTTCCTCCACCAATAAAAGCTGGAAAAAAATCGGCGAAAAAATCTCGGCGGGACCGACTTGAGTGTACGGTCGCACATATGGGCTTTCCGGCGGCGACCTTAAATAAAACGCATTAAAAGTGAGTTTGGGTTTTTAGCTCGACTATTCGCAGAATAATCGAGCTAATGCAGTCACCCATTTGTCGGCGTCGGCGTCGGCGTCCCTGTGGTTAAGTTTTTGTATGTAAGCTGGTATCTCCATAACTACTGAAGGGAATGGATTGAAACTTCACACACTTGTTCTCTGTGATTATCTAAGATGATTGGCACAAGTCCCATAACTCTGATTTGCTTTTTAACATAATTATGCCCCTTTTTCGACTTAGAAATTCTTGGTTAAGTTTTTGCATGTAAGCTGGTATCTCCATAACTACTGAAGGGAATGGATTGAAACTTCACACACTTGTTCTCTGTGATTATCTAAGATGATTGGCACAAGTCCCATAACTCTGATTTGCTTTTTTTTATAATTATGCCCCTTTTTCGACTTAGAAATTCTTGGTTAAGTTTTTGTATGTAAGCTGTTATCTCCATAACTACTGAAGGGAATTGATTGAAACTTCACACACTTGTTCTCTGTGATTATCTAAGATGATTGGCACAAGTCCCATAACTCTGATTTGCTTTTTTACATAATTATGCCCCTTTTTTGACTTAGAAATTCTTGGTTAAGTTTTTGCGTGTAAGCTGGTATCTCCATAACTACTGAAGGGAATGGATTGAAACTTCACACACTTGTTCTCTGTGATTATCTAAGATAATTGCCACAAGTCCCATAACTCTGATTTGCTTTTTTACAAAATTATGCCCCTTTTTCGACTTAGAAATTCTTGGTTAAGTTTTTGCATGTAAGCTGGTATCTCCATAACTACTGAAGGGAATGGATTGAAACTTCACACACTTGGTCTCTGTGATTATCTAAGATGATTGGCACAAGTCCCATAACTCTGATTTGCTTTTTAACAAAATTATGCCCCTTTTTCGACTTAGAAATTCTTGGTTAAGTTTTTGCATGTAAGCTGGTATCTCCATAACTACTGAAGGGAATGGATTGAAACTTCACACACTTGGTCTCTGTGATTATCTAAGATGATTGGTACAAGTCCCATAACTCTGATTTGCTTTTTTTGCATAATTATGCCCCTTTTTCGACTCATGAATTCTTGGTAAAGTTTTTGCATGTAAGCTTGTCTCTCCATAACTACTGAAGGGAATGTATTGAAACTTGAAGAGTTTGTTCCTTTTCGGACAATTTCATGTATTCATATAGGTAAGCATTATTATACTCAATGAAACACCCTTGTGACAAATTTTCGAATAGTCGAGCGTTACTGTCCTCCGACAGTTCTTGTTGTTGGTGGAAGTCAGATTGTCAACATCTAATCTTGGAGCTTTGAAGTTATACCTGCTATATATTGTCTGTAATCCGTGTTCTCTAGGGGGCAACGCTACCGGATAGGATTGCAGGTTTTTATATAGTAGAAAGTAAACCGGGCTGCAGGATATTTGTTGGATAATTGTTTGGAGATAAATAAAACAGAAACATAGGAAATACGAGCATAGTATAATAGGTAGGCATCAAGACGGGTTATATGTTAGAAAGAAATCGAGAATAGGCATAGAGACTAGGAAAGATTTGGGATTGTAACCAAATATATCAATATTGTGTATTGTTTATCTGATATTTGTTTAATTCAAGTTGATTAATTTATATTCCAATTATTTTGAAATCATTGGTCTTCAATCATTTAGGTAAGGAAACCTTGAGGAAATTATTAATATAATATATTGACTACAAATATGTTTATTTAAGCTCGGTACACGTTACAATACTAAATGAATTAAAATTATGAACATACTCTTTCAGTAATGTATTTTCATATATTAAGAGGTAGTATTTAATTTATTGTTTACTATAATACCTCGTTAATACGCAGAAACAATAACAGACTTGTCTTGTGCAGTGTTTTAGATGTTACCTTACTTCACTTCATTATTTTTTCTGGTTCCTTTGAACATTTGATTCAAGCTTATTTAGTCTTGACAACTGTTTACTTAGGAGACTTGAGGGGTGTTGCATTTTTACCAATTTCTCTCATGAAAAGACTCAATCAAACTGATCCTAATTTTGTAAATAATTTTGTTATTTCATTGCTTGAAAGGGATCGCCCGTTCTCAAGAGATAAATACAAATAACATACGCACTTTCAGATTTCTCTTTGCAACAATGGATGTCACAGGAAGGATTGATTCAAGGCATGCCGTGGACAGAATACTATACTGCTAAACTGTTAAACTTACTTAACATTTCTCCGTTCCTGCTTGAAGACACCTGCACCGACATTGAAGGAAATGAATCATGGGTGTCTGGTAATATGTCTATGCTTTAACTGTTATTATTATACCTTAAAAATAAATACATATTCAAAAAATGTTTTACAGTTTGCTCTTAATTTTTTTGTCTTTTATAACAAGTAAAGGTTTAAAAATACTTACAATTTTATGTAAAATAGTGAATCTGCTTAAGCCAGTGTTATTGGGCAAATATAGTAGCTGGTATTTAACAATACTGTCCATGAACAAGCTTATGCAATCCGGGCGAACAATTTTAATTTCGCCGTTTTAAGCGTTCTTTAGGGATTTCGTTTTTCACTCTTAATTTTATGGTCACATCAGCCCAAGTGTCACCCAGTAAAATCAATCTGAGATGTTATATTTACTATCCTCGGCGAACGTTCGGCTTGACATTATTGTTATGTTTGTTAAATTTTTATTTATACTATTTGTCTTTTTTTCTAGTTGGGTTGTGCCAGTTGTTGTTACTTGAATACTTTGTTATCATCCGTAGGATATGTGTTGCCAGCTTTTTGCAAAGCTGATCAGTATTATAAGGCTTTATATCTTCCGATCTTATTTTGAAATTAGTTTCGCTCATTGTTTTCTAATAAGGGCATACGCATGTTTGCACAGGGAAGCCATTCGTCATTTTTCATGGAATAGCAATAACGTGTCTCATTGAAGGTTCCATGGTAGCCTTTGTATTATTCGATCTGCTGATGTTCAGTTATTTCATTTTAAATGCTGATTTTTGCTTAAGCCGGGGAGGGGATGGGCTGTAGTTAGAATTTACCAGTATTATTTATAAACAGGCTCAGTAAAACTTGCAATATGTTAAATTTTTGGCTTTTTTTGGTTTTTGAAGTTTTTTGGATTATTTTGGATAATTCCAGATTGTTCGAAGGAAATAGGAAATGGTCTTCTACAGCTTCCAGAAAATATACACTGTTTAATTGGACAGAGCTGCACTGATGTTGAATGTTGTATTTGGGTAGACCAATTTAACAGATCATTGAAATTACAAGCAAACATCGATACTTGTGCACATGAAATTACTCTTTCTATAGAAAGATATCAATATAGAAAACACCTGTTCAATTACACATGGGGAGATATTGAAAAACATACGGCTTTTTGGTGTTTGTTTCGAATTGAAGGTAATGCCACCACTTTTTACTGGTTATTTATTATACATTTTATAGAATTTTATAATATATCTAATTCAAATTATTTTGAAGTATTTTAATTCCTTTGTTTCTGCATTAATTACTAAAATGAGCATTTGAATGCGCCAGAAAAAAAAATGTACCAAATCAGTTTTTTCAACTCAGTACATAGTATTACCAGTAATTCGTAAGCCTTAAAACCTTATTCTAAAAACTTACATTGTTTTCTTACAGTCTATCAGTATATAACTTGGGTGGAGAAGGAAAATAAATATTCTTAACATGAATGTTAGTGTGTGCCTTGAATCAGATTCAAACTGTCAAAACTGATGTACAAGTTTAAGCGACGCAGTTCCTCCCAAACTTGAATGTGACTGGAATTCTGAGTTCGTTGTGACCGAGTAAAAAGTTTTTTAAGCTTATTAATATCGATTATTGCTTTCCCCTTGGAAGGTGTTCATGAGAAAATGCACAAACGTACCTTGTCATTTTTTTAACAGATTTTGACATAGTGATTGGCTTGAAAAAGGCATGGAATATATCAGGACAATAGTCTTATCACAATCTGAAAACCAAAATACTTTACACGAACGGACCTTAATTTATCTCCTTATATAGGAGATGAATGTTTGATTCAGGGAAAACGAATTAAACATTTACAGATATTAGGCTGGGGACAGGTAATTATTCTTTTTTTCTGTTGTTTTTACTCTTTTATTTAAAGCGTCTGTCCAATTTGGCGTATATTTGCTTGTCAATGTTATATGTAATCAAAATATCTTTTTGTAATCAGTGTTACGAAAATGACTTCATGGCAAGATTTTTTATTTAAATGACACCTTTAATTCGTAAAATTATGTTTTTTTTCAAAAATGTCCTTTTGAAACGAATTCATGAGCTTCCCGGTCAACAGATGCAGATCCCGTCTTTGACTGGTGTAACTGTTGTACAAAAGTTGAGCTACTTGGTCGAAAAATACACTCGATTTGTATTTTTTTCATGCTTGAATCGGCTGATTCGGCATTGAAAACATGAAATACACAATTTATTTAAATGATTTGAGTTTGTCGAAAAAAAACCCTCAGTTTCAGGGTTTTTATTTAAACTGGTAAACATGGAAAAAAAATTTAAAAAAGGTATCATAATAATACAAAGAATACGATATTGATTTTTTTTACTTTCTTAAAAAAATATTTTAACATGAATTAAAAGCAAAAAGGGGTGGGGCCTTCAACATTC